CTGAAGACAACTTTAGCTAATGGAGCACCACGACCTGGATCATGGATGATTGACTTAACGACACCTCTGATGTAACCATGTCTTTCAGCATAATCTAAGGTTCTTAATTTGGCAGCACCTTTTCTACCTTTGGTATGAGAGGTGAAGATTGAACCAGCACCCTTTCTTTGATTACGAATAACTCTACCCATTATTAAATATAGTTATTTTCTCAATCTGAAAATTTTTCAGTTTAATGAGGTTTTAGTTTTTCGTTTCCTTCGCATCGCCAGTCACGTGAGCCTATGAGTTTTGAGCAGTCACAATAAGAATCATGTGGTGACAAGGGCAGTAGCCCTATATACGATAAGATAAAGTTAATCAATTTCATGATGTTGAATGATGTATAGGAGGTTTGAAAGTTCAAGATGGATTCCTTACGTGTTCAAAGATCAGTGATCGTCAGAAAGTAGGATTTCAGACCACCATAATCAAAACCGATAAATGCGATCAAGTAACTCAGTCAGTTTGATGTACAATCTACTGCATTGATAAGTCATTAGCCAACTAACTCAACAATCCCTAATCAAAGGGAAATGCTCAAGCAAATAAAGGTTCTAGAACAATTGAATATCCTTAAAACAAGTCAACTTTCACTTAAGAATAGAAGAGTGGTTGATCAATATGTCTACACATTAAAGACCCATAACCTCCAACAACAAAGAGATAAACTCATAAAGGTATATGAAACCACAGATTTACCAACAAAGTTACAATGTCTTAACTTGATGTTGAATAATTATCTCAGACACCCAAAGTTCATTAGGTTTCATGATGTCAGAGAGATCATTAGCGATTTCAATATATTGAAAGACAATGACAAGCAAGTGTTGGAATCCTTGAAAACTTGTTTGTTATATTGCATTGAGAATACAACTAAAAATAAAGAGACTACCAAACCTATAATTGAGGAAATCATGAAGCTGTTGAAAGATATTGGATTCGGCGATGTTCATACCTCAGAATCCCCATTAAACAATGGAGTCCGTGAACTTATAGAGAACGAAGACCCTTTTAATAGCAGATCCTCAGGAGAGAGTTCAGAAACGATGGATATGAATCAATTATGTGATTTTATCAAGCAACCTTACAAAAATCTCGGTATGCCGTTATTTGAATACTATGATCAATTAGACACGAAGTCCAAAGATCAATTTATGAGAGATTACTTGAAATATAATAGACACAAGCAAAACAAGATAGAGTTGGAATCATTGAACATTTCATCTAACCTACATATCAGTAATTTGATGTCTCAGTTTGGAAGTAGAAATGCTGACATGCTTTTAGGATGGTCCGAATTTGCTGGTACCATGGAAAATCTTAATGAAGACGATGAAATAGATAAAATTATTCTTAAGCACGAATACTGGTTGAGTCTTGTTGGATACAAACAAGTGACAAATCTCATTTTAATTAATAGCTTGTCTCATTTGAGCCAAACTAAATCAGGTTCTTGTACCACAACTGGTATACTTAGAATGCTAGTTGAAAAGTTCACTGCTGTGTTAAAGATAAAAGTAGGTACGGAAGTCCCTGTGCCTGATAATGAGCTCTTGATACTTTTTGCTGCCTTATTCAAGAAATTTTCAATGTTTTGTAAAGTTGATGTACCGGCTGATTTTGTAGGAGATACGGAATCGATAAAGAAGAATCAGATTGATATGAGATTTTTATTCACCCATAGAATTGTTAACTTGCCAACGAAGACAGTTGGTAAAGTGTTCTTGAATCCTTATATTCTTAATAAATTAGATTTCTTAGAAGGAATTTACAGTGACTCAGTATATTTACCAATGATTTATCCACCCAAGAAATGGAAATCGCCTGATGATGGAGGGTTTTTGAATAATTTAAGACCGGTTATCTTACACAACGAGAAGCAGTATCTGGAGTTCTTAAAAACCATCAATAGAGATGGTCTGTTGGATTATATCTTCAAAAACTTGGATTACATGAGTTCCATTCCTTGGTGTATAGACATACAGATGAAGGAGTTTTTGAAGGAATTGGTACACTTAGAAGATGGATTCTTAAATTTTCCAGGGAAAACTACAAAGCAGTTACCTAGAACCCGTCAGAACATTCCTACCAAATCGATAAGAGAGAAATACGAAAGATCGATTCAATTGATTGATGCCTTCAATGATAATATTATTTATTTCCCTCATGGGGTTGACTTTAGATCAAGGTGTTATACCTTGGTATCATTTTTGAGTTATCAAGACGAAGATTTGATACGATCAATTTTCCAGTTTTGGGATTCTAGAGCCTTAGGAGCTTCTGGTTATGATTGGATTAAATATCAAGCTGCTGGATTATACGGATTGGACAAACTTAATTTTGAAGATAGAGTGAAATTCATTAATGATAATATCCAGAACATCAAACAATCAGCCGTGTCTCCCAGGACAAATCTATGGTGGACAAAGAGTGACAAACCATGGCAGTTCTTAAGACATTGTTTTGAGATCACCAAAATCGAAAACTTTGATGGGGAAATAAAAAATTTCAAGTCAAGACTACCCATTCACTTGGATGGATCATGTAACGGTTTACAACATTACGCAGCTATAGGAAGAGACATCAAGGGTGCGAAGGCTGTGAATCTTCTCCCAACAAACAAGAAGGAAGATGTTTACACAGACGTGTTGGAGTATCTATTGACTCAACTTTCTACCAGCGAAGAAGACGTGATCATAAGCAAGATATTATCCCGAAAGATAGTCAAGAGACCAATCATGACTTCTGTTTATGGAGTGACGGTCTTCGGGGCCGTTAAGCAGATGGAGGAGTCACTCAAAGAAGCTAACTTAGAACAACTCTTGACCCGAGAGGAAATGAACTTATACTCTAAGAAACTGACAATCATTTTGTTCCGTTTGTCTCGGTTGATCAAACTATCCTTGGATGAATTGTTCAAAAATGCAAAATTCATACAACTTTGGCTCCTTTCCACCTGTCAGAGAGTTGTCACATCCATTGACAAGCCTAAAGATGGAAAAGAAATTGATTTTAAGGAAATGCAATTCACCAAACCAATGATGTGGTCAACCATAACCGGATTCCCTGTGATACAGATGTATTTCACTGATTCCAAAACTTCAATTTCCACACCTTTGCAACACTTGGCCGTTCGGAAACAAACTGTCATTAAGGAAATTCATACCAGAAAACAGTATAATAGTGTTGCTCCCAATTTCATCCATTCCATAGATGCAACTCATTTACTTTTTACATGTAATTCTTGTCAAGAGAGTAACATCCCCTTTGTTGCCGTTCATGATTCTTTTTGGACATCCCCGGATAGTGTCGATGGTTTGAATACAATTTTGAGACAACAGTTTGTTAATCTTTATGCATCTGACATTGTAAATAAGTTAAGAGATGAAACACAGAACCTCATAAGAGATTCATATCACCTTGTATGGTTTAGTAAGTCCAAGCATAAAAACTTACATAACGAAGTAATGAAAATAAGAGATGGAGGTAAAATCAATATCGTTTTAAATAATGAGATCAAGGACACAACCAAGATTGGTTTATATGAAGATTTGATAGAAAGGTTCCAGCCTGAGCTTATCACTCAAATCAGCAGGGCTAGATATGCCAACTATTCCACAGGGGAACATGTTGACATCAAATCCTTCAAGAATTATGTCCCAATATTAGTTAAAGCGAAATTGCTCCCAACTCCTCCAACTGGTGATTATAATATAGAAGATGTTAAACAAAGTGAGTACTTCTTTTCTTAAAAAATATATATTTATTCATCAACCATTTTCTTTAATTTGGAAAATATTCTATCCCTATGAATAGCCAATTCATCATCACTTTCGTTATCAAAAAACTTTTGACGTTCAAAATCTCCATCGTCTTCGTAATCATCATCATCATCTTCGTCGTCTTCATCGTCGTCTTCAAAGACATAATCTTCATCATCTTCACTTTTATAGTTATCAATAAGACTCATATCAGTATTCTGCACATAATCGAAAAGCTCATCGATCTCATCATTCTCTAGGTCTGTGTTCCTATACTCATTATGAATATCAGTTTCGATATCAGCATCCTCGTCTTCAGGATAATCATTCTGATAGAAATCTTCGGCATTGGAATCTTCGTGGTCAGAATAAACTCGATCATCTTCCGGTTCTGAATTATTATTGAATTCATCGTCACTATTCTCAAAGAACTTGATATACCCTATTTGTGATTTTGGATGGTTGTGATTGGTCATAGTAGACAATTGATAAACATCGTAAACGAATTCATCTTCTGGTTCAGTGGTAACATGGTTGGCGATGGAATGATTCCTCTTCTTTCTTTGTTCGGTGGTGGTGTCGTTATTGATCATGAAATTGTTTACTAAATCTGATAACTCATTTGGTATTGTATCGTCCTCTTCAGTCTGTGACTTTGGTATAACGAAATTCCTTTCCTTGGTGGTCCTGGATGTTTCAGATAACAAGATCAGTATTCCGTCTACAGCAGAAGCATCAGTTCTAGTTAATTTGAAGTAATAATTTTCGTTGGGTGTGACTGTTCCTGAAGCTACTGGCGAAGATGGCTTAGACCTTTTTGCCATCTGAGAGTCAAGAATTAAGGCTTGGAGAGGATCTTCTCCTCTCTTCCTCTTAATTCTTAACATTTTAGGTGGTTCCATAGTCTCCATTATTCAACAAAATTTCGCGATCCTGGTTGTGTGACTTTGTAAATACATCTTTTTGCAGTCAAATCACAAACGCTATATCCCATTGAGAAGAGCCATGCTTGTTTCTTTGATGTATAAAGCTAATAAATCTGCTAGAAATCTAAGTGATCTTATCGTTGGTAATTACTTTGAAGCTCATAGAGACCTTGTGTTGATAACTGGTGGTAATGGAGGATTAGGAAGGGAATTAGTAAAGCTATTTTATGATCGTGGAGCCAAAGTTATTATTCTTGATGTCAATGAAATTGATAACTTGCCTGAAAATGTTGTATTTTACAAATGTGATGTTAGTAACAGACAAGAGCTTTGGCAAACTTATGAGCAGATCAAGCAAGATCATGGGATTGTTACGATTCTTATCAATAATGCTGGTATTACCCAAGGTAAAAAGTTATTGGATCTTGAATATGAAGAAATCGAAAAAGTTATCAGCATTAACTTGCTTTCTAGTTTTTACACTATCAACACTTTCTTACCCGATATGTTATCCATAAAGAGAGGGTATATCATCACAGTAGGCTCCGTTTTGGGGTACATGTCACCAGCAAGATTAAGTGCATACGGAGCATCTAAATCTGGATTAATAGCATTACATGAATCTTTGACCTATGAATTGGGACCTCCATCTTTCAATATCAGTGGTGTCAAGACATTGTTGTTATGTCCTGGACAATTGAAAACTAACATGTATAGAAGCGTTTCTACTCCGTCAAAGTTATTCGCTCCAGAATTAGATCCCTCATATGTTAGTAAAAAATTGATTGAAGCTATTGAATTGGGTAGAAGAGGGGAGATCAAATTACCTTTCTATGGAAAATTTATGCCTGTCTTCAGAGCTTTTCCATGGCCTGTAGTGGAATTCATTAGAAATATTTCAGGAATCGATCAAAGTATGGAGTCTTTCAAAAATCATGCTATTTCATTAGGTAACAGGACAAGTTCTTTACTATCATTGGTGCCTAGTTCAAATTTACCAGAATCCGCCGCAACGGTAGTTACAACAACTACTTACTAACTCTTTTGTTATAGGTTTGACAAAAGAGTCGACAAGTTCTTCTGACACTTTCCAATAACTTTTCTTAATAATAAAATTTGCATATTACTAGCTATATCTCTCAGTTCCTCTCTCAGTAGCAACTTTGGTTGCAAAAAATTGTCGCAACACTCCACAAATGTTTCAGATTAGGAAAAAAAAGAAATTCGCAGCAAATTGAGTGATAAGAAACTTCTTTAGGAAATATATGTAAAGAAAAATTTTCTTCTTAGTTGATGATCACAAGATGACAGAAGTCTCTAAGAAAGTTGAATTACTCGAGCCAAAAATGGGTATAGACATTCCTTATAAATTACCTAAAGACTATAAGGTAGTTACAAGAGTGATAAATTATGATAATATTAATTTTCACACATCTACGATTCCTGCTACAGGTACATGTAAAGGTAAGATTTTGATATTACATGGATGGTGTGAACATTGTGATATGTATTATAGAATCATGCAATACCTCAGCTCTATTGGATATGAATCGTTTGTTTATGATCAAAGGGGTTCAGGAAGAACATCATTAGGGAGATATAGAGGTAGAGTCGGTAGGAGTTCAAGTGTTGTTTATAAAGACTTGGATAAAATGATTGAAGTTTTCAAATTTGGCGATAAAAAAGACAGGACTGTCACAAAAAGTGAAGAAAAATTCTATTTATTAGGACATTCAGCTGGGGGTGGTATTGCATTAAATTATATGCTTGATGGTAAATATAAAGATTTATTCACAGGTATTATAACCACTGGTCCAATGATTAGAATAGCCGAAAACTTAACCCCATCGCCTATTATTGAGTATGCATTGAATTTTGTTGCTACCTGGTTCCCATATTTCCCTTATGGATCAATCAATAAAGACCCTAATATCAGAAGTACTATTACCACGGCAGAAGAATGGCTAGATTATTTACAACAGGAGTTGTTAACTCAAGGAAATACTACTCTAGGTCATATAAAATCAATGTTCGATAGAGGTTATAGGTTAGCTAATATTTCACCTGAAGAAATTAACGTTAACCATGATCTCAGACTATTAACTATCCATTGTGCCAATGATACAATGACTAGTTTTAAGCATCTGAAAAAATTCTTTGATAAGCTTCCTATTAAATACAAAAAGTTTGTTGAATTTGAAAAGGGAACACACTCCCTATTCATTGAAACTGATGAAATTTTCAAATTGACTTGTGAAGAGATTTTCGAATTCCTTGATGATTCAAATTAAATAATGCAAATGTTTATAATTAATGATACATGATTCTACTTAGTACACCATATTACTATGGAACTGTCACCTAAAACTATTTTCTTCTTATATATGTTATATTGAGATTTCTTCCGTTTAATGCTCTCTAATTTTTGTTGTATAAGTTCTGGTTTGGCATAAAGAAGTTCTATCGGAGTATCTAGAAGGTCCAAGAATTGCTCTGGTTCTATGAAAACTCTTAAGCTGTTCATATTATTTAAAAATGTTGCTGGATGGCTGCAAAAAATCATTTCCAAAGGTCGTAAAATAGGATCAGATAGTTTCAACTTACCATGAACCATTTCACAGCATTTCACGATCAAGTGACTTAAGTCGGATGGTATTGTATCCATTAATATGGCAGTTATTGGATAGACCATATTATCCACAGTCAAATCCATCTTACAAATATCCTCCACAGTGAATGAGTTATCAGAATATATTCCTAAACTTGAAGTTTCATCTCTTTTACGTGATTGGCCAGGAAGTATTCTTGCATTATCAAAACTGTGTGAACTGTTATCTGGATCGTCGACCATATCGTCTAAATATGCATTCCCGGGAACCATTTCGTTTACCTCATCTTTGACATAGAACCCTTTACCATATCCAGTGGATATATTATTTACAGTGTTTTCCACTTGGATTTGACTACTTCTGTATAATTGTGAATTATCTGGCGGTACTTCATCTTCTTTGAGTAGATTTAAATCATAAAATTGTAATGGTAAAATGGTGGTCAAAATCTTTTTCTTATCTTTTGGGAACTTGTTGGAAATTTCTCGACACAAATCATTCAATTTTGGTGATGAAGAATTATTGGAAATGTAATTCTTGTTAAGAACCTCTATTTCTATGGCCTTACCCTCCAAAGAATTATTATACATTTTTGGTTTGAAATGGATCAATGCAATTATTCCTAGTTCACTTAAATTCACTGATTCGCCTGCAGGTATATTTAACACCTCTCCTTTGACTCTTGAATAGGATAGCAAGAATTCTTTCATCCTTTCATCATAAACGTCAACTTGGAACATCTGATCAGGGGAAAGGTCAAAAGCTTCCATTACTTGAATATTAGAATACCCATTATATACGCAATTATTAGTTGAAAAATCTGTTATGAACAATCTAAAAGGACCTTTACCAATTCTTGGCTCGATATATAGTACATAACAATACACCATCATTCTGGCATCGTACAGATAAGATTGAGGTTCCTTGATATCACTTATCTTAACTATCTTTGACATGATACAGAGAAGACGCGAAAATGTCTATAAATTAAGATCTATAATCACCATTGATTGTGACATAATCATGAGATAAATCACAAGTCCAGAAAGAAGCTTCTTGATTACCACCAGTTCCTAAATCAATTTCAATACAGAGATCTTCTACACTCAAAATTTGAGAAGCTCTTTCTTCATCAACAGTTTCTGGTTCTCCATTGACTAACAAAGGTAAAGGTTCACTACCATCAGAAGGAATGAAAGAAACAGAGGTTTTTTCAGGTAATACTGAATCGGCAGTAGCAACATCAGCATATCCAACAGCACATAAGATTCTTCCCCAATTAGCATCACTACCATACATGGCGGTTTTAAATAATGCAGAATTGGCAATTGATGAAGCAATTGATTTAGCATCTTTGAAAGATAAAGCATCCTTAACTTTCAAATGAATGAATTTAGTAGCCCCTTCACCATCACGAACAACTAATTGAGATAATTGTTGGGCGAAATCAGTAATTTCAGCTCTTAATATACTGTAACTAGTTGAAGAACTTGAAGTTTGATCGATTAATTCTCCACCGGCAGCACCATTTGCAATAGCTACAATAGTATCATTAGTGGACATATCACCGTCTACAGTAATACAGTTGAAGGATCTGTCAACAGCGTATTGTAAAATCAGTTTTAAAGCAGTATTGGAAACAGGAGCATCGGTAACGAAGAAACCTAATAAGGTTGCCATATTTGGACTAATCATACCTGCACCTTTAGCTAAACCTGCTAAAGTGTAAGTTATTCCATCAATTTCGAAATTCTTAGTAACCAATTTAGGGAAAGTATCAGTTGTACAGATAGCATTAGCACATTTTAACCAATCTTCATGACTATTACCTAAATTTTCATCTTTTGTAATTTCTTCAATACCAGTTAAAATCTTCTCTATTGGCAACAAATTACCAATTACACCGGTTGACATGACTAAAGTAGAGTTTTCTTCATTACCTAAACATTTATCAGTAGCAGATACCATACTTTGGGCATCGTTTAAACCTTTAGTACCAGTAACAGCATTGGCATTCCCACTGTTGATAATGATAGAATTGATATTTTTACCTTCTTTCTCTTTTACTATTTTAGATGATAATTGAACAGGAGCAGCTTTAAATTTATTGGTGGTGAAAACTGCTGATGCTACAGCTCCTTTCCCATATTCATTTTTCAATAATGCTAAATCCAAATTTCCATTCTTTTTTATACCACAATGAATACCACCTACGGAATATCCTTTGGGATAAACTCCTGAGGTGGGGACAAATCTGGCAGCTTTATCGGAATAAAGTCTAACGAACTTCAATAAACCCATTTGTTATTTTTCCTATGTGACTAATCTGAACTGGACTTATCTTTTGCGTATCTTAGGATGTCGGACCCTTCTCGACATGTCGTACTCAACCTACAGTGCGAAAATGAAAATTTTCCAAAACCTCAGGTTATATAATGAGTAGAGTTGGGAATAAAATGTTCAAAGAGCTTACCAGCTCTAGAATTCTGAGACAAGTCTCCAGAATAAATCAAATACATGGTGATTCATCCAATGCATATGTGTTCAATAATGTCAAAAAGTTCGAATTAATCTTCCCTGTCAACAGATCATATATGGAATCTTATGGTATAAGACAATTTTGGAAATACAATTTACCAGTTTTCAAATTTCATAATGATGACATTGATTTCATAATTAAGAAAGTTCAAACCACTGATGCAGAACTTGAGAAATGTCCAGTAAAATTAGTGATACATGAAGATTCCCAAACCAAAGAGATTGATTGCAAAAACTTAGAACCTTCATCCATCTTATCACAATTACTTGAAATAACTAATGCTGAGCCAGTACCAAGTTCAACCTTAGAATCTTTAACTTTAAAACCAAAGGCATCTTACATTAAAAATTAGAATACATTATTAACCCTGTAAATATATATATATTAAATAATCTATGATTTCAAAAATTCTAACAAGGCATTTTTACCTTTAATTTTCATTAACTTTTTGATACTTAGTATTTCTTCATTTGTTAAATCTTCATTTGTTGAGTCTTCATTTGTCTCATTGGCTGCTTCGCCGTTTAAAGCTGCAGTAACTAAATATTCCAATTTAGAATTATCTTTCCCATTCTTAGCATTATCTTTGAAATATTCAGAATTTTCAATAAACTCACTTTCAACTTCAACTTCTTTATCTTTTTCATTTTCGTAATATTCAATAGTCTTCAAAATATCTTCTTTGGCTTCCTTATTGAACTTTTGTTGCATTCTTCTATTTGGTTTATTGGGTTTCTTGACCTTAGTTATGAAATCCAATAATATCAGTTCTTCAGGAACTCTATAAATGAAAGAATTTACCTTATTATTCTTAATATTCTCTTCATCATTGACATTAAATGGATCACTTTCATCTGTCATTGTAATAATTTTCTTCAATTTTGAATTAGGTTTACCGATTATACTATTAGGAATGGAATAATTATTATTAAAGAAATCTGGAACCTTAAAATTTTCATGAATATCATCGTTATTATCTAAGGTATTCACACCTTCGGGATTGAAAATACTTTTGGAATAGGATGGATCGAATCTTTTGAAATCTTCCATTTCATATTGAAGGTATTCTTGTAGTGTTGGGAATTTATCACTATCAGTTTTAAAAAATGGTTGGTCCCTGTATTTAATTAAGAAATTAGAATTGTGGAGAATCTTCAAGAAGTTATTGTGCAACGAAACATCCAAAATAGGACTGTCTTTTAAGTTTCTCTTACCAAAGATATTTATCGGTATCAAATTCTCAATATGATTAGGACATCTCCATTTTGAACCGATAGTCTTGGATTTATAACAGGGTTCTGTTAAACAATCCATATGCCATACTAGAGAACAATAATCACAATGAACTATGAAACGATTTTCTAATCCTGATAACCCACAATTATGACATAAATAAGGTTTACCTGATTTATCATAAAGAGAATCAACTTCCAATGAATGGTTATAATTAAAACCTGGGATTTGTGAACCATTCAATTTTGAATAACTCAATTCTGGTTTTAAAGTTCCATCATCATACTGACCATGAGCATCAGTTGACACTTTCATGAATGTATTATCTCTTAATTTTTTAGGTAATTGGAATTCAAAGGGGTTCATTGACTCAGTTTGATTTAACAATTGACCAAACAAACCAATAGAATTCCATTTTTTGGTAATTTCTGGATGTTGTTTGGCTAAACATTCTCTACAACTCCAATTATCTTCAGGTAAATCATCTAATGGAGGATCACAACAAATGAAATGAAATGATTTAGGACATGTTTCACAACAAATGAAAACACCTGAGCCCCCACATGCACTACAAAAATCATCATTAGATGCATCATCCAGTTGACTTACATCACCTTCATTTTTATTCAAAGTAGGGGCCAAATTTGATGACGTTATGGATTTCTTGGGTGAAATAACTTTTATTCTTTTAGATGACCTCAATGGAGAATCTGAAAGTTTTTCTATCTTAACTTTTGGTGTACCGACAGATTTCTTCAGTACTGGAGTGGAATTTTTTGATTTAGGATTTTTACTTGGTTTGACATTTGTTCGTATTTTACTATCTTGAGTTAATTTATAAGATTCTTTGGTAGTGAGGTTCATTTTATATTCCTTTTCATTTTCCTCTACTGGAAATTCGATAATTATCGGTTCTTTATCATTGGTTTTAGTCTTTTTGGATTTCGGCCAAAGAGAATCTTTCCTCACTTTCGTTGGAGGAAAAGATTCCAATGGTACACCAGAATATGAAGGTTTTGGTGGAGCCAAAGGAGGTTCTACAAAGTCTCCCTTCTGCAAATTGACCATCTTTACTTTATTTAAATCAACATTCAACATTGACGTTATATCTTTATCGTGAAACGGAGAAGCCAGTTTTGAACTGTCTGAATTTATTATGGGACTATTCTGTAACCCTGGTTCTTCTAATTTGAATATATATGTCTTATTAGTCTTTATGGTGTTATGAGTAGCATCTTCTAACATATCAAAGTCTTCACCGTTATGATTATGATTATAAATTAGATGAGTTTTCTTACTGGCCAACTCAGCACTTTTTCTCTTCAGCCGTTTTGGGGTATCAGAAGAAGTTGAATTTTTGTGGTCACTCCCTGCACCATTTGCATTATTTCCGGAAGATGACCCATTCGACCCTGTGTCAGATAAGGGATAATTGGACATGCCTGTAAAGGAAGTACCTGAACCCATGGTTTTCTTCTCATCCATCATCTACGAATTAACTTGTGGAAGCACCTTTCTATCAAAGACAAGCGACGATTTCTTATTAACAGCTAGAACTTATCCAATCAAGCAACAATCAATCACAGTTAAAGTTCAAAAATAAAAATGTTGATAATTTCCAATCTGAAAAAAATATAGGTGGTTCTGGTGAGTGTTCAGAAAAATTAACGCGACTAATGGTTAGATCAAGACGAGATAGTGAAGATGATGAGGAAGCCAGTTATGAGGAATCCGATGGGGTTGAACATTCCGACTTTGATGAAGGGGATGTTGATGTCCAACCAGAGCAACAAGAACAACAACCACAACAAGAACAACAACCACAACAGGAGACTCGTAAAAGGCAAAGACTTTCATTAAATCAAATGAGACAAATAGGAAACCAAGAAGAAATTCAACCAATAATTCCACCAGAAACTGTCGAAACTGATCAACCATATAGTGAGGGGACTCCTGAAACTCTGGGGGTTTTTGAAGAAACTGTACTGAAAGCTGTTAGAAACGTAATAATGAAATCTTCCACTGATAAAGGTATACGAAGACTGAATCTCACCTCAATCTCAAGAGGGTCTGTGTTGAATGATATAATTAAAAGTGCCAACCAATCACTTAGTCATACTTTCGGTTTACACTTAGCAGAATCTGCAGATGTGAAGGGTAAATATTATCTCAAAAGTTGTTTGACAGTGAAAGAAAAAGATATACTCGATAAATTATGGCCAAATACTAAAAATGTACAACAGCAAAATGGTAGAAACATAAATAGTGAAGAATATTTCCTTTCCAAATATCAACATAATCAATTACCTAGTGATAATTATGAATTGGTTAAAACTGGTTTATTATCGATAATATTAGCAGTATTAATCATTGAAAATAATCATATCAGTAAATATGAAATCACCAAAACTATGAAAAATTTTGGTGTTGCAAGTGATTTGAATAAAACCAATTCCAATTTCAATTCTAATCTTGAATCATTGATAACAGAATTCGAACGGAAAGAATATATCAAAAAGGAAAATATAGGGAATAAGACTACCAATGGAGCGATTGCCAATGTTCAAGATGACCATTATATCTATTATAATATAGGAGATAGAGCATTGGCTGAATTCACACCTGAATCATTCTATAGACTAATCAAAACGGTTTATGGAAAGGAATTTAATTCAACTGTATCTAAAAAGGCAATCTATACCATTCATGCCACCTTTAAAATTCCGCTTGAACAGTTAAATTTTGAATCCGGAGTTACTGATAGTGTAGATGATAGAGAATCCGCTCAAGGCATTGCCGATGCTCAATCACCATCACAACCACCAGACGATGAAGGAGAAAGTAATGTCAAAGCTGAAATGAATGATTTGTAAAAGATGTTCCACAACTTCATCTTCCATCAATCCTAATGTTTCAGATGTATTTATATATAGTAATGAATTAATGTTTACGAGCTATCAACACTTCTCTATTAACTAAAGACGGAATTGTCTCAATCAGGTAAACGGAATATCTTATCTGCAGCGAAAAGAAAAATTCACACTCTGAAATCCGATTTAGGGAAATCAGCCTATGATATTTTAACCCCATCAAAAGTCATTGACATCTAATTTTTTCATCTGAAAACTTTATTAACTGAAGAATTCACTGCTAATTAACTATTTATTGATTTTATAAGTTGTTAACACCAAAATAACCAACCTTTTGAACAACTTGAACAGAATCTAAAAATCACGTTCAATTCTCAGAAAATCCTCAACTGATTTAACTTTTTTTGTACGACGAAGGTTTTTTGTAAATTATTGATTCGATCTAAATAATTTTGAATTAAAACCGTCAAGAAATACAAATTGATAATTTAAAATTCACAATTGAATAATTATCAATCATATTTGTGAAGAACTTCATTTTTTCAAACATTATCGTATAGATTATTCCACATTACGTTCACAGATTGATTTTTCATCATAGAAATAATGGCTTTAGATAAATTAGATTTTATTGTTTTAGGAACCTTATTATTGGCCGTTGTTGCTTATTTCGGTAAAGATTTCATCTTTGCTGGTAAAGAAGATGGTACATCAGCAGGTTTCACTATTTCCAATGTTGGAGGTAAATCAAGAAATATAGTTGAAACTCTAAAGAAAAATAATAAAAATTGTATTATCTTATATGGATCTCAAACTGGTACTGCTGAAGATTATTCTAATAAACTTTCAAAGGATTTAAGTAGTAGATTTGGTCTTAAAATTTTAGTTGGAGATTTATCAGATTTCGATTATGAAAATTTGAATGAAGTTCCTGAAGATGTTTTAGTTTTCTTTGTTTTAGCTACTTACGGTGAAGGTGAACCAACTGATGATGCTGTTGAATTTTTTGATTATTTGGAAAATGAAGCTGATGATTTATCAAATTTGAAATATAGTATTTTCGGTTTAGGTAATACTACTTACGAATTTTATAATGAAATGGCTAAAAAATGTGAAACCAAATTAACTGAATTTAATGCTGAAAGTTTTGCTCCAATGGGATTAGGTGATGATGGTGTTGGTACTTTAGATGAAGATTTCTTGAAATGGAAAGATGATGTTATTGAAAATTTAAGAAATAATCTTAATTTTGAAGAACATGAAATGAAATTCGAACCAAGTTTCGAATTAACTGAAGATTTGACTTTAACTTTTGATGATGAAAATGTTTCGTTAGGTGAACCTGATAAATCTTATTTAGATTCTTCAAAAGATTTAACCAAAGGTCCTTTCAATCATTCTCATCCTTACCTTGCTCCAATCACTTTAACTAAAGAAATTTTTAACTCAAAAGAAAGATTTTGTGTTCATGCTGAATTTGATTTATCAAATACTAACTTAAGATATACTACAGGTGATCATTTAGCTGTTTGGCCATCAAATTCCAATTATAACATTGATAATTTTGTTAAATGTTTCGGATTAGAAGGAAAATTAGATTATATTTTCCATTTAAAAGCCTTAGATTCAACTGTTTCAATTCCTTTCCCTTCACCAACTACTTATGGTGCCGTTTTAAGACATTATTTAGAAATTAGTGGACCAATTTCTAGACAATTCTTCTCAAGTATTGCATCATTTGCTCCTACTGAAGAAATTAAAGCTTATGCTATGAAATTAGGTAACGATAAAAACTTATTCGCTAAAGAAATTCATCATTATAAATATAATATTGCTGATGCTTTATTAAAAATTTCTGGTGGTAAAGTTTGGGATAAAGTACCATTTGTTTTCATTATTGAAAGTATTAGTCATTTACAACCAAGATATTATTCAATTTCTTCAAGTTCATTACTGGAAAAGACTTCTATTCATATTACAGCTGTTGTTGAATCCGAATCATTGGAAAATAGATTAATTACTGGGGTTACCACCAATTTATTAAAATTCATTGAAATTGAACAAAACAATAAAACTGAAAAACCAATTGTTACTTATGATTTGAATGGTCCAAGAGATAAATATTCTAAATTCAAATTACCAGTTCATGTTAGAAGATCAACTTTCAAATTACCATCTAATCCAAAAACTCCTGTTATTTGTATTGGTCCAGGTACTGGTGTTGCCCCATTTAGAGGTTTTATTAGAGAAAGAGTGGCTATCAAAAAATCTTCAAATGTTGAATTAGGTAAAACCTTATTATTCTATGGATGTAGAAATTCAAAGGAAGATTTCTTATATAAAGAAGAATGGCCAGAATATTCAAAATCATTAGGTGATTCCTTTGAATTATTCACTGCTTTTTCAAGAGAAACTAAAGAAAAAGTTTATGTTCAAGATAGAATCTTGGAAAATTCTAAAACCATTGCTCAATTAATAAAAGATGGAGCTTTCATTTATGTATGTGGAGATGCTTCAAGAATGGCTAGAGATGTTCAAAAATCTATCGCTACTATTATTGCTAATGATAGGGATATTCCAATTGAAAGAGCTGCTGATATTGTCAGAAGTCTTAAAACTCAAAATAGATATCAAGAGGATGTTTGGTAATTTAACTTACCCTTCATATTCTTGGTTTATATAAAAAAAAAAATTTATATACATATTAATTAGATCTTCTATTGATAATCTATATCATTTTATTTCTTAATACAATATCTCCATTCTGGGTTGGAAGATTTGTAAATTGGTTGTAATTGATGTTCAATATCTAACCAATGTTTATATTTATTCTTTGATTTCAAATCTAAATCATAAATATTACATGTTAATAAGTATTTCTGGTTATCGATTTCGATGATATTATTAACATTATGATGACTAGTATGAACATTATTGGTAATATCGAATTTTTCGAATTTTAGGAATAACCCTACATCTCTTAAAGTCATTACCAATGATAAATTAGCTGAAACATCGTTTGGTGAAGTAAGGTTTTGAATTAAATCATTCTTATCATTAATTTTTTGGAATTGTTTCAATTTCTGGAAAACGTTATTTTCATTATTTAGGAATATTTTGAATAATTGTTTGATGGGTATATTATCATTAATCTTCGACATGACACCATTCGACACTTTACTAAAAATATCCTCAATACCCTGGTCAATAGTTTCTTCATACAATAAGTCTAAGGGACAAAAATGTCTTTCAAATCCTTTAAGTTGATTCAACAGACATGTTCTGCAATAATTATCTTTCTTATTGTCATATAACCACTTTGGTTTCATTTCTAAAGTAATGGAATCAAAATTGTCACTATAATATAAATTACAGTTCTTTGAGAGAACTTCCCTATCGAAATCACCGTCTAATATATTAGGGATCAATAAACCATATCTTTCAAAAACCATTAATTTATCATCAGTACCTTTATCTAGATCGTGAACGAAATCTTCGGTTAAAACAACCAATTGAATATCAACAATGCTTTGGGGAAATAAATGTTTACATCTTAATTCAACAAAATCATAAAGTTCACATGTTGTAATATATTGATCATCATCTTTAGATAATCTGACTCTGAGTAATTTATGAGTCAAATAATCATTCAATCCAGTATATTTGAAAAGGATATTGGCATTGCCTTTAGCAAAGTATTTCCAATCATTTGGACTCGTTAGTTTGGAGATTTCCATATCTTTATCATGGAATATATTATCGTTCTATTTTTAAGCTTCTTTGGAATCTGTCTACTCAACCGATTTAACCCGTTATACTTCTTGAACAAATCAAATGAGGATGGTAAAGTTTTTTTCCCTATACAGATTTTCGGAGGTACTTATTGTAATTGATCTAAAGTAAAAGTAAGCACAATAAAGATCAAAACTCTGTTAAAGATTGTTCAAAGGATATTGAAATGTTATTGTCAATGCTCGCCTTGAAATCATGTATATACTCCGGTAAACCATAATATATATGCGGATGCGAGGTACAGAAATAAGGTAGACGGGCTTAGAAAAAGGTTCGTTGAGATATCAGAGAAGGCCATTGAAACATTAGCGAATAATAAATCTTAGCGAATAGGAAAGCTTAGCGAAAAATCATGATGGTATTTATTGAATAGGGAATAATCATGATGCTATTTACTGAATGATTATTCACTGTATAGTTATTTACCAGATTGATGTGGACCAATTGATCTGTAGGGTTCAAGGTACTCACTGATTAAAGATCTTATTGATTTCCTCTTTAGTAAAGTTTTTCCCATTGGGAGCGGTTGCATTGGAACTGGTAAGAACTTTACAAGGACCTTGAAATTCTATCATAATAGATTTTCTGAATAATTTATTTATAACGTTCAATTGAAGAAACAATAATCCATTTTGGAAAAAATACTTTATCCTTCTCATTACGAAATTAATGTCACCTACAGTTGAAGATAATCCCATATTTTCAATGGTTTTCTTTGTTTGAATAGCCAAGTAATTATTAAATCTCTTTAAGAATTGAGGAGCGGTGAAGGGCCATGAAATTTTTGGTAATGGAGGAAGTTTACTATCATTTTTCAATATAGAAAACCTTGATGGTAAATTATTTGATGCAATTAAACTATTGGTATCGACTATCACTTTTTCACCTTCCAAAACATCTAGTTCCATAATTTCATTACCATCATTTACCAATATTATACCTTTACCCGAAGTTTTGAAACTTGACCACCTATCAAGAAACTCAAATTTATTCAATTCAAAATTATAACCAGTCCAGGCAATTAAGTTCTCGTCATTATAAACCATCCATTGATCTCTATAATCAATATCAATTAACTTATAATGATTCTGTCTATTAGGTTTCAATTTTCCTCCAATAATTAAACTTGTAGCTTCTTGACATTGTAAAATTTGGAAATATGTCGATTCACTCAATTTCCTATTAACCGTAGAAAGATGTTTCAAATCTCCATTGACTGCAATTAATGAACCTAATCGTATATTTAAATTTGATGATTGAGGTAATTTAACATTTAATAAATTTGTAGGATTTCCAATTGGTGAAAAATGGGGTAGTTCAATGAAAGGACCATTTCCAGTCCCTTGGAGTAGATTTCTAGTAGCTATAGTCTCTGATATATCAGGAATCGATGAAGCAAACCGTATTATGGTCTTTCTAAACATTAGTAGATATCGCGAAACTTTGTACTGAAAAAAAAAAAGAGATCCTAAGAAAAAAGATCTGGAGGTTATTCTATTTTAACTATACACAAATTGGTTAGAGAAATTTACCTTAATCCCCCAAATGAGCCTACCCTTAAACAAATTGTTTCATCCATTCATCAGTTTCTAATATTGATTTAAGATAATCATCACTTATTATAGATTTATCAGTTTCATTGAATACTTTAACGAAATCAATGAATAAGTTCCAGAACTCAACACCTTTTTGGAAATCTGCTAACAATTGACTGGCAGTAATACTATTAACTCCATGGACATTGATGTTAAATACGGTATTATTGATTTGATAAACTGAATTAAGTAATTGATCTTGAGTATTTTCAATAATTTGTTCTTTGGATAAATCCTTATTCAATTTCTTTTGTTTTAAACTATATTCGAAATAAATTTCGGCAATTACACCTAATAAAGTATTATTAATGTCTTTGAAAAAAGGTATTTGACCAATGAATTTATTCCAATCATTCTTAGATTTAAGATCAACTTTAAGATTATTATTCTCTTGACGAACAATTAAATCAATTAAACAACTTTGTAAAGTATAAATCAAGTTTTTGGAAATGAATTTTAAATGTGATCTGAAATTAAGTAAATTTCTTGAAATAGGTCCTTGATAATTAATAGGAGCAATGTTAATTTTATGAATTGAAAATATTCTTGAAACCAAAGTAATATGTTTTAAATCTTCTTGATCAACAGTACTTGAAGAAACATCTTTAAAATGTCTAGCTACTGAACTAAATTCTCTATTAGGTTCATTTAATTTCAATACATCTGATTTAATCAACAATAATAATAAGATCAATTGTTGGAAAATGTCATTACTGGTTTTATGTTTAGTGATAAAAGTCTTTAATCCTTTACCATAAGAAGTTAATTGATTGGTCTTTTTGTCAATTAATCCTATTAAATAAAAGGATCTTAATAACCCAGTTGATATCACATCGTTATTACTGGTGAGTTTAATGTCTTTAGTTTCTTTAAAAGAATCATTCAAATTAATGAAAAAGTCAGTCAATTTAAAATCAGGTTTATCAGTTTTCATGATTAAATGTTTTAATTGTTGATTCATGTTAGGGTTCATTCTGTTATTTAATTCCAATGTTTCATCTTTATACCAATAATTGACTTTAATTTTCTTAACTTGATAATATCTGGCTAATAATTGGGTTAATAAATTGAATAAAGAATCCAAATTATCAATGTATTCTTTAGAATTGATTAATTTCTTATAACTATCACTTAATGCTGCCTCTAAAGTTGGTCTGATATTCAATTTTCCTTGAGTTATAGCTTCTAATAATTCAATAGGAGCTAAACCATTAGAAAGGTAGAAACAAAATTCCGGTGGTAATCTTTGAGAAATTATATCATGAACATCGTTAGGTATTTGAATAATTTTATTTTGTTTATCATGACCATTCTTTTCACCGTTACCGTTCTTTTCCCCTTCATTTTTCTTTTCATCAATTTCAAAAGTATAAATATCATCATTGGAAATTAATCCTAATTTTTGAATCTCAGTACCATACATAACAACATAACCTTCTTTATTTAAGATTGGAATAAATTTAAATGATGAGAATCCCTTTTGATATAATTCCGTACATCTTTCATCATTTAAATTATAGATGAATCCATATAAATCACTTCGTGGATTCCCATTCATATTAATATACTGATATAAAATATCTAATGCAACTTTAAAATGACTTAATTGAGGATATGGTTGAGCTGCACTTGGTTTTGGTAAAGGAGGTAAATTTGGGAATGTTGTTGGTTGTAAATTACACCCTACCATTATACTTAAATCTAATAATTGTCTGTCAGTTAAATTTAATTCTTTCAAAACTTTTACCTTTTCAATGAATCTAAAATCTTTTGATTGAAATTCCATACCAAGGATGAATTTTTCAATTTTTGTTAATAACAAATCAGTTGATCCATAAATAGAATCAATTAATCCCACTTGATATAAGTAAGATAATTGAAATGAAGTATCATAAGGACAAACTAAATATTCAATATCATGATCAATGAACAACTTAATTAAATCATTGATCATTGGTTTGAATGGTAAAGGATCAGTAAATGATCTAAATGATTCGTTATTACCATAAGCCCCAGGGAAATTGTTGTTAATATTATTATCTTTTTGACTAATTCTATTCCAACTAGTATATAAATGTTGTTCATTTGAAGATAATTCGTTTACTTTTAAGTCATCAACTTGTGATTGGATATTTAAACCTTTTATTATGAAGATTGGTTTAATATTACATTCTTGAAATACTTTTAAATCACTTTGAATATAATCTTTTAATGAACTTGGTATACCACCAATGGCTGATAAAAATTGTTCTTTCTTAGAAGTATATATCCTACTTAAATAATGTTCAGCATCAATTCCAATTGTGGCATTTTGAAGGATTTCTATTGATCCAGTGCTGACCAATTTCCTTTCAAACAAATATGATTCTAATGATTTAATTGGCATATTTTTGAATCACGTATCGTTGACGTTATATTTTTAGTTTCGTTCGAGAGTGAGACTTTTTCCCGATTTACACGGTAATGGTACGACTTTTGGCTGCGAAAAAAAAAAACAAGAGGTAACTTTAACTAACATAGTAAAAAATTATTAATATACATTTAATCTTCACCAAATAAATTATTTAAAGGACCATTTTCAGTGAAAGGATCATTCATCAAATCATTGGTTGAGGATTTTTTGGTTCTTGCCAAAGCAGCAGCTTCTAATTGCTTTTTCCTCTCTTTCATTTCATCTAAATCATTTTCATCATCTTTATTCTTAGATATTTTAATTAACTCTAATAATGCCAGTCTTTGATGTTTTAATGATTTAGAATTAACAAGTAAATTTTCAAAATTAGAAATATGTGAAGAATTAATATTTGATAAATTGGTCATAAGAATTCTTGCTGGATAATCATTTTTTGATCTTAATGTACAATATAATGTTGTTAAACATATAGCAGCTTCAGAATGAGTTTCAACAAAATAATCATCACATAATACTCGTAATAATGAAGGAACTAAGTTGTCACATAAGAATTTGTCAACTTCTTCATCCATTAATAAAATATCATTTAAAATATTTCTTAATACTAATATAGTATTAAATGAACATTTAGTATCTTTAAAACTTATAATGTGACAACATAAATTCAAAAATGGTGCTAAGATTTCTTTATTGGCAATAATTAATTTTTTACAAGCAATTTGAGTTTCATTGGTAGTTTTAGAATTAAATTGGGATAAAATATCCATCAAGTATCGAACAACTGTTGCTGTTAATTGTCTTAACATATGTTCTTCCATCATTTCTTCACTTAAAGTTTCATCATCTTCATTACCTTGTAATTGTAAACCGTTATTATCAATTTTTTCCCATTTGTTCACTAATACTCTATCCAAATCAATAAATGATTTAGGTAATAATTCGGTCATAAAACTATTGACATATTTCACAGGACAATTTCTAACCACACTTCTAAGACAACTATTAATCATATGTTTCCAACTATGTAATGTTATACCTATCATTTCTCCGGTAACTGCATTCCAAATCATTGATCCAATATTTGGTACTTCATATAAAGTATCTTCTAATTGTGATAATGATCCAACAGTTAAAAATGCATACTCTCTAGTATATCTTATTAAATGACCAACCGAATCAGCAAAATCTCTCAATGTTAAAGCTGCTTTAACATTCTCTTCAATAAATGTTTCTTTACTTTGAATTGAGACTCCTTGTTGCCAAAATCTTTCTAATGTACTATATTTTACAAATGATTGAACTTCAATAGGTAAATCTTTCCAATTATTAGGATTATGGTAATTTTGAATTTGAGTTAATAATTGTAATACATGAGGAATAATAGGTTGAACTCTTAATTTCCATAATTTCAATAAATTCAAGTATTCTGGTGAATCATGACTTAATTTTTCAATACTATATTGAATAAATATCCTGGTAGCTCTGATAGGGAATATTGAAGACCAATGATCTTTTAATTTATTCTTAAGATTTTTACCTTCATCATCCATTTGAGCTTGTAAAAGATCAGTTTCAGCAGTAATACCTCTTTTTTGGAAATATTTAGCAATTTCAACAATTCCAATTCTTTCCATGAACCAATGAAGTTCAGTTAATCCCTTTTCAGTTTCGGGTGAAGACCATGCCAATAATTCAGGATCAACTATTTTAGCAAATAATTCATCTTTATTATCAATTGAAGATCTTGAAGCAATTACCAATAAAAATGATTTGAATGCCACAACTTCATGATCACTAACTTTTTTAGATGATAAAATATTTGAAATCACATTTTCAAGATCATTAAAGATCTTCTTCAAAGATTCAGGCATTATGTAAGCTAATCTATTTAATTCTGTACCACAACTAGTTCTCAAATCTCTAATTAATTCCTTTTCTTCATCATTGATATTTTCAGGATATTCGAAAGTGGCAGTTATTAAGATCTTTTCCAAAACTTGAAACATCAAAGGACTAACATCTTTCAATAAGGGAGCAAATTGAACCATAGTTTGTACTTGCTTTCTAATTAATAATGGACAAGCCAAATTCATTGCTAACAATCTTTCACCCAAATTTTCCACTAAACTATTTAATCTATTATTGATTGAATCGAAATCTTCACCATTATACCAAATTCTCCAACGAGATATACCTCTAATACAATTTTCAATTATATTGAATTGAGAATTACCAAAATTGAATTCTGGAGATTTTTCATCTAAACTGTATTTGGAAATACAATTTCTACCGATTTCACTACTGAAGAAATTTTGTAATCTATTCTCTAACCACATTAATCCATCTTCAGGTTTCTTACAAACAGCTATACGTACAATATCTTCATTAAATTTTTTATAATTGGTTAAAAATGAGGTTGAATCTGAAGATGAATCGAAATCGATTTCTAAATATTGTTTGGAAATATCTTCTTCGTCAGTTATTAAACTATAATTAATGGTTCTATTAGCAGTTATTTCTAAAAGATCCATTAAGATATTATCAATGTTTAATTTAGATGATAATTCATCGAATCTCAAGATCGTTACCCACATCTGTAAAGATAAGCCTGAAATTATTAAACTTGGATGATTGGTTGTTGACAAAACCAATTTAAGGTAATTATTTATATCTGATTTATCCCAATCGATTTTATTCTTGAAAGGTAGGGAAATGTTTAAATATTCACTTAAAGAAACAATCAATTCCACAGTCTTTTTCAATAATGAATATAATTGTTCATCAAAATCGTTTATATCTATAACGAGACTTTCATAAAATTCTTTCAATTTATTGATACCATCATTGGTAAAGATTGAACCGATAAAGAATTCAAAATCATCACTATCAGAATAATTCCTGGTGAATAAAATATGTAAACAATCTATAGCTAAAGTTTTCAATTTGATATCAGGAATACTCAAAATGCTTATTAAATTTTGTAAAATATTTTCATTCTTTAAAATTTCCGGCTGAATCCAATGTAAACAGGTTTTGAAAGTCGATAAGATCTTTGGAACAAATACTTGACAATTCTTTGATTCATAATTATTTGAAGATAAAATTTCAATCAAAAATGTTGACCAATGTTTGAACCAACCTTCAGAAATATATTTACAAATGATCACATTTTCATTGGTATCATAAATTTTATTTAAAATATCATTGGGTGTAATAACCAAAACACATAATTGATTTAAAATGGCTGTTCTTTTCATAGCTACAGGATCATCTAAGATATATATATCTTCAAATAATGTTCTTATTATGATAAGACACAATTCTCTTGTAGTTAAGTTATTATTCCATAAATTCCATAAATCTTGATCCATTGAAACCCAACCATCTAACATATCTTGCTCTGTTACTTTATTTTCTCCATTATTACTATTATTATTCGTTGTTGAAGATTGAGAATTTTTAGCTGATGTTAAAATCTTAACTAAATAACATCCCCATACTTTTTTGGCTATTGATACCCATAAGAAGGAAAGTTTCTCTTTTATATAATGAGGATCGTTTTCATCTATTTTGTTGGCTAATTCGATAATCCAATTTCTAATAGTTAAAGTTTTTGAACTATCAAAAGTATGAAATTTCTTATTAATTGAATTTTGTAAAAGTGATAAGCCAAAATGTCTGACAATATAATTATCTTTGTTGTTATCATATAAACTTAATTGATAACCCCAATAAGGACTTTCATCATTTGACTTTACTGTTTCCAAAAAATTTTGTGCCTCTCGTCTTTGATTGTTATTAGATTTGTTATCATAGACGGTTTTTAAAGCATTTATAATTTGATTTAATCCGTTGCTATCCATGATATTCTACTTATTAAATGACACTACCGGGGGACCTAGGGGATTTTGGAAATCCAATTTTTAATTCAACTGAATATTCTTTAATTAATAGGTTACAATTAAGGCTCAATTGAAGGGCGGTATTTTTCGCGAAGTCTTTAGGGGAAATTGAGTTATCAATTACACAGACCCTTCCACTATGGAAATGTGTGGGTCACTTACCGTAGTAAATTTAGGCGAATTTGTCGTACGATTATGGTACTAAATTTTGGGTTATTTTTTTTTTTTATAGTGATAAAATCCAGAGTTAATATGCATTTTTATTATAAGTAAAATTTACGTTTATCCTTTTCCATTTCAGGTCTGAATTCCCATTCAGTTTCTTCTTTAATACCTTTCTGTAATCTTCTTAATTTCAATGTGAATTGGGGTCCAATCTCTTGTAATCCAACTTTTTCATCACTTTTAAATAAATATCTGTGTCTTCTGAAGAATATATAATCTCTTTGATTATGTAACGTTATTACTTGTCTACCTTGAAATTCAGGATTTTTTGGGAAAATAGATTGGAATAATCTACCAACTGTTTTACCTAATCTGGTATTAAAATTGTTTAAAATTAATTCTGGTGTATGATTAGTTGCTCTACCATGACCAGAAATTCTTTTACCTTCTGTTATTGAAGTTATTGAGAAGTAAAAAGTTGGTCCATTTGGTAAATGAATAAATGTTAATCCTGTAACTTTTTTATTGAATTCATTCAATATTATTAAATCAGTATATTCCCTGTTATTACAAAATTTAACCATATCTTTGATGTTGAATTGTTCTTTACGTTTAACAAAAGTAACATTAGGTAAAAAATCCATTAATAAATCGGCAAATTCGTAAGCTTGTTTTTTAGCTTTGTGATTAGTAGTTAATAAAATCTTAGGAGGTTTACTATTATTAAATATTTCATTAAATTCATCTTCACCTTCAACTTCTTCAGCAATGGTTTCATCGAAAACTCTTTTAGAATCTAAAGTTTCTGGTACATTAGTAGCTAATCTTTCAGTTTTTAATTCAGGATTACTTCTTTCTTCTTTGGCCCTTTCTGCTCTTAATTTATGTTTGGCTTTATTCTTTTCATGCTTTAATTCGGCATAGACTTTTTGCCTTTGTTGTTTATTCTTTATTCTCTTCAATGTTTTAGCATCTTCTGACATGATTGATCCTAGAAAATTTTGAGATGAGATGAGCGAGCATGATAGATAAAGCTTTAAAATGGTCAAAATCTATCAAACTTAAAAACTGGAATTTCAATGATATCATTGCTCCAGGTCAAGTAACTCATTTGAATAAGTTACTTGGGACTATAATACCGGGTAGATCTCAAAATTTATTGGGATACCATTTTCTCTTTGCTAATCAACTGAATGAGAATCTAGGTACTGATGGATATGATAATTACCAGGCACCTGTGTCAGATACACAATTATTTAGGAGAAGGATGTGGGTCAAAGGGGAAATTGAATTCATAAATCCATTATCTTTAGGTAGTTATGTGAACTGCCAAGAAGTGGTGTCAAATGTACGATTAATGAATAATTCAACGTTTGTAGAAATAGTGAGGCATTTCAAATCTGAGACTGACCCTATTTTGAAAGAGAAAAGAACTTTGATTTATACTAATGACAATTACAACCAACCACTGGCTAGTGTAGTCGATTCCACCTATCATCATTCCATCAATTTCAATGTAGATGATACTCAATTATCAAAATATAGTTTCCTCACCTATAATCTACATAAAATTCATCTAGATAAAGAGTATAGTAAAAATGAAGGATTCCCCGATAGAATCGTACAAGGACCGTTGCTTGTAACCATAATCCTCAATTGGTTCCATACCAACCATCCTGATCTCGATATCTCCACTATAAAGTATAAAATAACCAATCCGGTTTATGTTAATGAGCAACAAGCAATCTATTGGAAAAAAAAGGGGAATGTTTTCGAAGTTTTAATTACGAATGGAATAAATATTTCCTTGAACTGTAAAATTACCCTAAAGGGTATTAATTAAATACTAATTAGGAATTGTTATTAATAGGAGTATAAACGTTTAGTCGTGGATTCTCACTACCATTTTATTACTTATCCCGTGGGAGAGGTTCTCACTCATACGGCTCATTTTACTATTTAACAATGTGTAAATTTCGAATAAAATCTGATTGTTGAAACTTAATTGTTGTAAGTTACTGGAAATAAAAAGAAAATAAAAATGGTTTCAGCTTTATCTTTAATTGCAATTGCATCATTAGCTGCGGCTCTTGACCTTGAATCTTTATTCGGTAGTCAATATCCTGTCAAATATTGTAATACTTTCAATGCTCCTTACACTTGTGAAAACAAAACCGAATATTCCAATGAATGTTGTTTCGAAAAGGATGGGTTTATGTTATTAGCTCAATTTTGGGATTACGACCCAAGTTTAGGGAAATTAGTTTCTAATTCAACTACCAATTCAACATCAACTAATTCAACAACTAATTCAACTTCAAGTTTGAATTCTACTGAATTTGCTGGAACAGATTCATATGAATGGGGAATTGGTTATTTCGGTGAATGGTTAAAATCTCAATGGTCAAGTCCAACTATCGATCCATCAAGTCATATGCCAATTGATAAATCTTTCACCATTCATGGTTTATGGAGTGATAAGTGTGATGGTACTTGGGAACAATACTGTCAACCAGATTTAGAAGTTCCTGAAGATGCTGATTTGGAAGAATTATTAGTCAATGATTTCAATAAAGAAGCCTTATTTAAATTAATGGAAACTTATTGGGTTAATACTGCTGATTCTAATGTCGCTGGTGATTCCAATCAAAAATTATGGCTTCATGAATATAACAAACATGCTACTTGTATGAATACCGTTAATCCATCATGTTTCACTGATAGTTATAAAGAACATGAAGCTGCTGTTCTTTTCTGGCAAAAAGTTACTCAAATTTGGGATTCTTTAAATACTTATGAATTCTTGTCTGCTTCAGGTATCGTTCCAACTACAGCCAAACAATATAAATTGTCCGATATTCAAGAAGCTTTAAGTAAATTCCATGGTGATAAAGAAGTTCACGTTGGATGTACCAAAGCTGGTATTATGAATGAAATTTGGTACTATTACTTATTAAAAGGTAGTGTTTTCACAGGTACTTATAAATTTGAAGATGCCCTTGGTTCAAGTACTTGTCCAGAATACGTTTGGTACATTCCAAAATAATCTACAAAAGTTTATACCCGTCTTTCGAAATATACATTATATGATTACTTGTCTTCCGTGGGGACAAAATGTCCTGTTGCGGACGACATCTTTGCAATCAATGGAATGTAAATCAAACAATAAACTTTAATCCCCTTATTGGATTGCCTCTCGTCAACGTGAAATGATAGTTAATTACCCAGGCTACCACGATTTCTAATTTATGTCACAAATAATGCTGTTGAAGATTTAGTGAGGAAGAATTTAACCGGGATTTTTTTTTGGGTTTCGAACTTATCAGGACTCTTAACTCCTTCAAACTGTTGCATCAAATGTATGCAATGCAAACACAATATTTCCCATCCTACCCATAGTACTTCTAGTAATGCAATCACTAGTTACATTGATTACATTGCGCATTAAGTACCCCTTGCGTCTTTGTTCTAAACCTTAATCTAATCCAGGTATCTTTCACCTACACGGCTCTCTGGGATGATTTCACCAAAAGAGTGAAAGTTTAAGCTGAATTTCATTGTAATGTGAATCTTCAAATTAATATAAATAGTGCCAGTGTATCTGATAAATCTATCAAATATGTTACCTTTAATCACATTATTAACTATTGTTTCAAGTGCCTCTGCTAGATTTATCGATATCACTGCTAGAGACGGTTATCCTGTTGAATCATGTGATACTTCAAGTTTACCTTTCACTTGTGGATCATCATCAAGTTCCAATACCTGTTGTTTTGAAAAAGATGGATTGATGTTGCAAACTCAATTCTGGGATTATGACACCAGTGTTACAAAACGTAGTTTGGAAGAAAGGGAAGTTTTAGAAAGACAAACCAGAGAAGTTCATGGTGAAATTGGTGTTTCTAAAAGAGCAGGTACTCCTTCAAGCTCAATGGACACTGATAAAGTATTCACTATCCATGGATTATGGAGTGATAAATGTGATGGTTCATATGATCAATATTGTCAAAGTAATCTTGAGATTCCTGATGGTTATAATGTTAAAAACTTGATCAGTAGCACTTTCAATAAACCTGACTTATATGATTTAATGGATACTTATTGGTTAAGTAACAGTGGATCTAATGAAGAATTGTGGTCTCATGAATACAACAAACATGGTACTTGTATGAATACCATTTCTCCAGGTTGTTTCACTGATAGTTATCAAAAATATGAATCACCAGTTCTTTTCTGGCAAAAAGTTACTGAAATTTGGGATGGTTTAAATACCTATGATTTCTTAGCTAGTGCTGGTATTACTCCTTCAGCCACTAAACAATATTCCTTCTCTGATATTCAAGATGCTTTAAGTAGTGGTCATGATGGGAAAGAAGTTCATGTTGGATGTGATAGTGATGGAGCTATCAAAGAAATTTGGTATTTCTATTTATTGCAAGGAAGTGTTTTCACCGGTAATTATCAAGCTGTTGATTCTTCCACTGCTAACAAATGTCCGGACCAAGTCTGGTACTATCCAAAATAATTGTTTGATTCCAGTAAAAGTTTATTGTTAATAAATATATAAAATTTAAGAGAGTTCTTGTAAACATCATAGCATTGAAACATACAAACCTACTTAGACTTAATTGGCAACACCAATGACACCACAAGCAGCTCTACCACCAGCATTACCAGTAGTAGCAGATAATTCATGACCACCTTTACCTAAGTCATCGGTACCTTCATGAACAACAACGGATCTACCGATGATTGAGTTAGGACCAAGTAATTTTAATAAAGTATCTTGTTTAGTACCTTTGGAAACACCACTGGCATCAGAAGTAATGTTACCAACGTCACCAGTGTGTCTGTTGGAATCTTCTGGAGCACCATGGGTGGTAGCTTGACCTTCAGAGGTTTTTTCAACATTGAAGTGAGGACCAGCTGAAGTACAACCGTTGGTGATATCACCTAAAGCATGGACGTGGAAACCTCTTAAGGCATTGGCATCTAAACCACTAATATCCCATGAAATAGTGGTTGGATCACTTTCTGAACTTTGTTCGAAGAAAACAGTACCAGTAACTTTTGAATCACCTCTAATAACAGCAACTAAATATTGTTAGTAATAGTCAAAATCACCTAGATTCAATTGATTATGGGGATGTCAGTTCATAGCATCCGAATCGACCCATAGTGTCAATTGATGAGAAAACATCTATTATCACTTATGAGTCAATTAAATTACTCAAAATGAAAGGCCAGGAAATTTGCTCCAAACTCTTCATAAATCCGGTCAAAAGCCTTTGATTAACAATCAATTACTTTACATAACCTTAATTGACAGAAATTTGTCAATTGAATCCTCAAATTTTAATAAAACATACCAGCTTTAACCATCTTGTAATATTTAAGAAATAAATTTGTCGACAAATTTCGAGAATTAAATGGATCGCAATCCATTAGTAATTAAGGGGAAGGGCTGGAATCGAGTGAGTTTTTGATTAGATATACACGGAAATTGAAACAATTCGGGCACAATTGATATGAGTCAACCGATTAATAGAACTGTATGATTTGCCTCATTGGTCAATTGATTTTACCATCAGACATTATGGTTGTGATCGGGATCTGATATCGGAATAGAATTGGACCTCACCGATTCATGTATACTAGAATAAAAAGGAATTGACCGATTTGATGATATGCATTGGACAGGTTCTTTCGAATAAGAACACTTTTTTAAAGGGGAATTTTCGAATATTTATACTATGTACATAACCATTAAAGATAACCACTAGAGTTCGCATGGGGATTATGGGTTATTCTTAGTCAATGGGTCATCGTTGTGTTTCTTTGACTCCTTTGGTTTTTTGGTCTTAGCATCCTTATTCTTCTTCTCTAATTCTTCAATATCTGGAACTGTGTCAATTAAATAAAACGTATAAGCTACACTGCCTAAAATAATAACTGTATACCATAAGACTGCTTTGTTCTTCAACTTAGAAGTGATAGTATTGATAAATGTCATATCACAATCCTTGATCTAGAATATCCGCTGCCTAGTAACACTTATATATATATTTTCCCACACAAAAATAAAAATTGCTAAACCCTTCCAGTTTCTGCCTCACCTTTAAAAACCTTTAAAACCCTTTGATCACTCATTTCTTAATTTGCCATATAAATATCCCTTGAACCTCAATTCAATATATTTTATAAATCAAGAAACTTTATTAGACTTAATCAGTATAGCATGAGTAGTATTAAACAATATATCGTCACCTTAAAGGAAACCTCAAGTGATAAAGAAGTTAGTGATATCAAAAAGCAAATCAGTAGTTTAGGTGGTGAAATCACCAATGAATTCTCCTTAATCAAAGGTTTCACTGCTAAATTACCAGAAGTTCATAGTGAATCAATTAAAGGTCATGGTTCAGTCCATAGTATCGAAGAAGATAAAGAAGTTCACATTAGTTAGACAATATACACTTATCTGATATCACTTATCGCAACTGAGGGATCATTCAGAGAGTTTTCCAAAATTCTGGTAAATTTGAGGTCCTTCTACCTTGAAAGAGGCTAATTCCCATATATTGGTTCTTAAAATCTCTTCAACATCCTTCAAAGTGCCATAAACTCTGATTTATTGGTATTATTTCATATGTTTCAAAGGTGTAAAAGACCGCCACCTTATCTATTATCCGCACTACTTCCGTACCAATATTGTGGGCTGGCTAGGCACTACCTGATACCCCATAAATTGCTTGATCGCACTTCCCCTATAAAGTTAATTAAAGACAGTGTGTTAGTTTAAAATTGGACTTTAATAGACTCGATTGATTCTATTAATTGCCTTTAATCTATAACACTTCAATCAATTGAATCCGAAATTCCCTTATTGTCGTTCCCGTTAACTCAATTGCAAACATGTATGAGAAATTCAATTTACAGCCAAATCTTAAACCTATCGACCATTTATATGAACTGAGATTAAGACAGTTCATCAACACCGGTGGTCAATATCCTTCACTCAATTTACCCAAGTTTTATGATTTAGAGAGGTTTGATATTCCAGATTTGAAAGTTTGGAAGGTTCCTGACTCTCCTGAAGGTAATGCTCCTACTGGTACTAATCGTCCGTTATTCAAAGATATCGATTTTGACTCAATTGAATGGCAAAATGCTAAGAAAGGAGATAATTTTGGTCCCAGTTGGAAAACTTTTTGGTTTAAATTTACTATCGAAATTCCTGAAAAATGGCTTAAATTAGGTCAAGAAATCGATTTGGAATGGGATTGTAATAATGAAGGTATGATTTATAATGAATCTGGTTTACCTTTACAAGCTTTTAGTGGAGGTGGTGAAAGAACAATCTTCAAATTTCCTGATGAATATTTGACTGCAAAACCTCAAATTTTTTATTTGGAAATCTCTTGTAATGGTATGTTTGGTATTTCCCAAGATGGTAACGTTGACCCTAACAGGTACTTCAATTTGTCTAGGGCTGACGTCTTATTACCCAATTTGGATGCAAGAGGTCTTTATTATGACTTTTGGATCTTATCTGATGCGGCTCGTGAATTACCAAGCGGTTGGCAAAAATATCAAGCCGCAGACATTTGTAACAAGATAATGAATACTTTTGATCCCGAAGATGTAGAAAGTATTAAACCTTGTAGAGAATTGGCAGCAACCTTGTTGAGTAAAGACATTAGTTCAGATAAAGTGTTCCTGGTCTTGCCTAATGAAAATTCAGCCAATCCTATTGATGTCTATGCTGTTGGTAATTGTCATATCGATACTGCTTGGTTATGGCCGTTTGCTGAAACCAAAAGAAAAATTGTTAGATCTTGGACTTCCCAAATTAAAATTGCTGAAGAATACCCTGAATATATCTTTGTAGCATCACAGATGCAACAATTCAAATGGTTGAAGATGTACCATCCTGAGATCTTCAAAAAAGTTAAAGAAAAGTTTACTACAAACCAATTTTTACCCATTGGGGGATCTTGGGTTGAAAACGATACCAATTTACCCAACGGAGAGAGTTTAATCCGTCAATTTTTATTAGGTCAAAGATTTCAAATCAATGAATTTGGTTTACCATCCACGATCTATTGGTTACCTGATACTTTCGGATATTCTTCACAAATTCCTCAAATTTGTCAAACTGCTGGTATTGAAAAGTTTTTGACTCAGAAGCTTTCGTGGAATAATATCAATTCATTCCCATTGAGTACTTTCAATTGGGCAGGTATTGATGGATCTCAAGTTTTGGTTCATATGCCTCCTGCTAATACTTATACTGCTTTAGCTAATTTCGGAGATATTGTTAGATCACAACATCAACACAAGAACATGAGAGATGTTCCAACTGGTTTGTTATTGTATGGAAGAGGAGACGGTGGAGGAGGTCCAACTGAAGAAATGATTGAAAAAATCAGAAGAACAAGAGGTTTCGCTAATAAAACCAATGCTATTCCTACGGCCCATTTAGGTAAAACTGTAGAAGATTTCTATGAGGATGTTATGGAAAAGTCCAATGGTGGTAACAGTTTACCAACATGGAGAGGTGAAATTTATTTGGAATTTCATAGAGGTACTTATACCACCCAAGCAGATGTGAAAAAATGGGTCAGACAATTGGAAATCAAAGTTCATGACTTAGAATACATTGCAACTTTGGCAAGTGTCAAACATGGTTACAAATATCCTGCAAAAGAGATTCGTGAAATTTGGGAAGATTTATGTCTTTGTCAATTCCATGACGTTATTCCTGGTTCATGTATTGGAATGGTTTATTATGACGAGGTCAAACCTATGTTGAAAGACAATTTGTTAAAAGCTGAAAAATTAATCGATGATACGTTAGAATCATTGAAAGGTGAAACAACATTTTTCAACTCCTTACCTTGGGAAAGAAATGAATTGGTTGAAGTTGAAGGATCGACCTTTAATGACGTCAAAGCCACTAAGATTAATGATAAGTATTACATGTCAGTGAATTCCAGGAGTGGACCCAATGAAATCAAATATCCTGCTTCTGTTAGTAGTAAAGAAGGTATCTATACCCTTTCAAACGAATTACTTAAAGCAGAAATTGATGATAATGGGGTTATCAGATCCATCTATGATATTAAAAATGATAGAGAAATCATTGATACCACTGAAAATAAACAATCAAGTGGTGGAGGTAATCAATTATTACTTTTCGATGATGAACCATTAACATTTGAAGCTTGGGATACTGAAATTTATTCTTTGGAAAAGTTTAAATTCTTAAAGGGTGGTAAAGTTACCAATGTGACCAATAATTCCTTGAAATCATCAATCACTGTTAAACATGAAATTTCCAAAGAATCTTCCATTGAGACAGAAATCTCCATTGAAGGATTATCATCTGAATTCAATAGTAATAATTACATCAAATTCAAATGTAATGTTGAATGGCATGAATTCTATAAATTCTTGAAAGTCCAGTTCCCAACCACTATTTACACAGCCCAAGAAGCCAATTATGAAACTCAATTTGGTATCACCAAAAGACCAACTCATTACAATACTACTTGGGATGCTGCAAAATTTGAAGTTTGTCACCATAAATTCATGGATTTATCCGAATATAATTATGGTGTTTCTGTGATCAATAATTGTAAGTATGGAGCATCGATTCATGGTAATTTAATGAGGTTATCATTATTAAGATCACCAAAAGCCCCAGACAACATTGCCGATATGGGCTCACACGAATTTGAGTATGCAATTTACCCCCATGCTGGTTATTTAGGTGTTGATACTGTCAAATTGGCTTACAACTTTAATTACAAATTGGATAAATTAATGAAGGGAGATTTAACTGATTTAGTTAAAATCAAATCCAAATCTATTATTTTATCCCAATTGAAGAGAAGTGAAGATGACGAAGAAATTTCCCTTGAAGAAAATATAGCCACCAAAAATAAAGGTTCAAAATCATTCATTATCAGATGTTACGAATCTTTAGGAGGAAAGGATAAAGCCACTATTACTGTTGATTTGCCCATTAGTAAGGTGTTGAAGGTTGACTCCTTGGAGAACAAGTTACTGGAAATAGAATTTTCAGGAAATTCCTTCGATATTCAATTAAGAGGATTCGAGATCACTTCCTACAAAGTTATCTTATGATCAAAAGTTATGATTTTATATGTTTTTAAAGTTTATGGTTTTCGTTAGATCGTCGAACTCTATTTCCTTAATCGAACACTCTTCTATTTACCATAATATTATTCTTTTATCAATTAAACTTTAATAACTCCTTTAAATCACATGGCCCCATACCAAATAGTAAAGTGACACAACGCCGATTTGAATTTCTTTTCTCATGTTTCATATTTTTTACCTCAACTAGTGAAAAATGGTAATATTTACCAAAATCTGAAACGCGAATTTTTTTGACAGGAGAGTTTCCAACTTATATAGAACAGCACATGAACTTTGTGGGGACTTATTGTATAAATTCCATTGACAAAATTACAATACACACTACTGTTATGTAATTCTTTGAAAAAATCTAAATATAGAAGAGTTCTAGCAAACCTCTTACTCGACAAAAATGTGGAAAAATCCTGAAACAATTTGCCGAGTGTGCATCAACCGTCAAATTTTTTACCTTTATTTGTTTATGAATTACTTGATATTGAGATGCAATGAGGTTTATATACAGAATTTTCGCTAATATGCAAGATTTTAGTATAGGGGCCTCGACACGAATCGAGGAATTATGTCATTGCCTACATTTATGTGACAAAAATTCGTGTAATAAAGGGGTAACCAAATATTTTGAATTGCCTCAAAATAAGTGGTACTTTTTGAAATCATGGGTTATTAACCACAGGACTATTTAAATCGACCAACTGCCACTTGTAAAATTTTTCTTTTATATATTTCTATCAACTACATACATTCGCTTAAAATGAAATTCTCAACTGGTTTAATCTTAGCTGCTTCCGCTCAAGCTACCTTAGGTGCTTACGCTAACGTCACCTCAACTGCTACTGCTTTACAAACTACCGTTGTTACCATTACTTCATGTTCTGATAACAAATGTACTGAAGTTCCAGTTACCACCGGTGTTACTACCATCACTGATGAATTAACCGTCTACACCACCTACTGTCCATTAACTTCAGAAACCACTGCTGCTGCTGAATCATCTGCTCCAGCTCCAGTTGTTCCAGTTTCATCTGCTCCAGCCCCAGTTGAATCAACTACTGAAGCCCCAACCACTGTTGCTCCAACCACCGCTGCTCCAGAATCATCTGCTCCAGTTGTTGCTGAATCATCATCAGCTAACTCAACTGTTGCTGCTGAAGTTACTTCATTCGAAGGTGCCGGTAACAAATTATCTGTTGGTATTGCTGGTTTAGCCGTTATTGCTGCTTTATATTAAGTTGTTTATAACTTCTAGCTTTGCATCAACATTTATTTCGTCATAGTTTTTGGGCTTATTGAATTCTGGATTTAAAAAAAAATTTATACCTTTTTTGTTTATTATTTCATATACATAAAACATCATTATCTCAACACCACTCCTCTAACATGGCGCACAAGGCATGGCGTACAAGGCTTTTCTGAATTTGAGTGTCTCGTCTAACAATTTTCGGCAATTTCGAGAGATCTAGAATCCACGATCTGCCTTTGACAGGTGCGAAAATCTGGGGTAGTACACTATTATACATTTATATTAACACTTCTATATTATCATCAACTTTCATATGATCAACTAATGATTCAAACTCCTTGCTATATTTGTAAGCATTGATTTCACTTATACCAAAGGCTTTGATATTGTTGATTTCAATATCTTCATTGAATTCCAAATATACTTCTCTTATAGGAATTTGTAAATTGACTAAACTTATGGGTAACTTTATATGGTTGACCAATTGATCCATTTCGATTTCTTTAACTTTTATGAATTTATTCAAATACTTGTTGGTAGGTTTCTCGAAATTAATTCTGAATTCTTTTAAATATTGAAGTAATTTTTCATACTCTCTTTTAGTTGACGGTTTAAGGTATATACTAACCACTTTAGACTGATGTTCAACTTTTTTGATAAGCAAATCAGTCAATATTATCGAACTTGATAACTTTATACCAATGGAGCACTTTTCATTCGAAAATTTGTTCATATTACATTGCCAGCTATCACCACCGTCTATTAATACATTGTTTGCGTTGGATTTCAAATTAATGACTGAAGGAGATGACGAGATCAAATAATCATACCATCCTAAGAATATTTTCCTATTCAAAGATCTCTCCCTGTTGGGTATTTGAGTCAAAAATCCCAAAATTCTCGAGCCCAATTTGTAGTCAGCATAATTGGTATTTATTGATCCTTTGGAGAAGATATCCATTAAGTTGTCCAACATGATCTTATCTGAAGATAACTTGACGTTTGTAGTATTGAAATTGATATTATCAATCAATTGATTCAATTTATCATATATCACTCGATTATTTTCGTTCATTTTTTCTTTGATATATTTTTCAAAATTATGTTTTGGTAATGGATCTTTGACTTCTGATACGAGCTTTTGGATGTATTGAGTTAAATATTGTTTGTTCTCATTGAGGAAATCCTCCCATTTTATTACATTAGCTTCTTGTGTATAACTTTCAATGAAATTATACAAATATTTGTTAAATTCCGGAACATAATGAATTTTACCTTTATCCATATATATGGGTAAATATTGAGGTAAGATCTTAACAATATCATCGATAATTTTTTCCTTGAAAGTTTCTACATTTTGGGATAATTCCTGTAATTGACTGAGTTTTCCATTGATAATATCCAATTGGCTATCAAATTCGTCAAGATTGCCTAAAGTTTCTGAATTCTTGACATTCTTCTGGAGGGTTTCCACATCTTTTGATAATTTATCTATTTGCTTGAAATCTTTCAATCCCGTTTTACTTATTTCGTTATTTATATCGTTAAATTTCTTACTTATGATATCGAATTTGGAGTTCAAATTGCTATTCAAATCATTCAAGTTTGACTCGATCATCTTATTATTCTTAGATAATCCCTCATTGAATTTGTTCAATCGAACAATCTCGTAATCAATCTCGTCAAACTTAAGGTTAAGATCTTGGAAATTGTTAATTGTATTAGATTTCTTATTATTGAACAAAACTACAATTATCAATAGGAATTGGATGAAAATCACTATATATGAAATCGTCGAAATATTGAATTTGGATACTATATGTTCAGTTTTATGTTTGCTGGTAGCCTTGAGGTCGATGATTTCTTCCTTCTCATCAGTATCTTCTTCAACTTCTGTGTCATCATCGAAGTCATTTAATTCATTGTCTGTTTCTTCTTCAATTTCTTCTCCTTGATCTTCTTCCTCATCTTCATCTGGAGTGAAATCTTGATCCTCATCGTCAACTTCGTCTGAATCATCCTTTTCCTCTCTTTCCTTTCCAAATTTCAATAATCCTTTCTTGAAGAGTTCAAAATTGTTATTGAATTCATCGTCATCGTCATCATTTTCATTCAATATTTTTAGCATTTCCTTGTCGGTATTTTTCAATTTGGGTAAAGGATTGGCTGGTCCCACTTTACTATTCAAATGAATGGAAGCATCATCATCAGTATCCCCTTTGAAAAATGGAATCTTTGGGAAACCTGACATAACGCGTTAATTTTTCAGATAGATCAAAAAGAGTGAGAATTATATATATTTGAATTTTTATACAAAAGCTGGAAGCTAGTTATATTTCACTACCCTGGAGGGGCTAAAGAGGAATTGAAAACTCTCTAACTATAACTTTTCCAAGATAGTTTCGACAGATGAAAGTTCAGTGAATTCTGGACCTTTTTCATTACCAAGATAGATTATTTCACCATCTTTAACTAAAGCAGAATATCTACTTAATCTTTGACCAAAACCTTGAGCTGACATATCAAGAATGAAGTCTTCACCCAATTGAGCGCTAAGTTTACCGTCAATATCTGAAACGAACATAAAGTAATTTTCATCGTCAGTATAACCTAAAGCTTTTCCCCAAGCTGACATGACAAATGGATCATTTGCTGATAAAACAATCACTTTATCAACCCCTTTAGATTTGAGATCCTCTAAGTGTTTCAAAAACCCTGGAACGTGTGGTCCTGAACAAATTGGTGAAAAACAAATTGGAATTGCTGTAATCGCAACGGTTTTATCTTTCAACACTTTTTTCAAATCAAACCCTGTTGGAAATGGACATGATAAAATGTCTTTGTTTTCTTTGGTAATTGGAACCCATTTTAAGTTACCTTCAGTTGGAAATGTTGACATAATTGGATATTTGGGAGCTTGGTATTTACGATTGTAATATCGAGTCAATGGCTAATTTTGCACCCTTTTATAATTTTTTCTCCGTTTGCAACCGCAATTAAATGACTCCCCGTTGATTAGTTATATTCCCCATTTTTATAGGGGTAAGTGGTTATTTCGGATTTTAGATTACTTATTGATTCTTGGATCTATCGATGGATTTATCAAAATTTAAACCGTAATTTTTTTTTCCGTAAGATTTATTTGGTGATTTTTACAAATTTTTTTGCAACCAAAAGTTACGAAGTTTATAGAAATTCCAAAGAAAACAATCAATGAAAAAAAAGTCGAGAGGCTTGAATCTTTGGCCGAAGAACTAGATTCGTGAACATTGGTAATTATTGATTATATATTAACCTAGGGCCCAGAATGTTGACAAATTGAACAGGAAAAAAATACTTCAAAACCATTCTCGGCCGATTTTTATTTTTGGAAATTCCGGAGATTTCAAGTCATCAACTGCAGGCCACACACGTCTATCATAGAATAAAACTCTTGACGATCGATAATTTTGAATATGCTATATGAATAATTTAATGAACGAGCCTAAAAAGTAACCCAAATAACTTCCTACGAGTAAAGTAATTGGCCAATTTTGCCAAGGTCTATCCCAATCTAAGGGTATTGGGATAACTCCACACCATGTTGCAATAATTGAAGCTAAAATACTCAATAAGATGGAATTATTCCAAATGGATTTCAAATCAATTTTTTGAACAATAATCGAAAATTTGGAAAAATTTAACTTGAACAATACAATTACCGGAGTGAAGATGATCAAGGAAACATGTGCCGCTAACAAAAGTGTTTCATATAAATGGCTAGCTAATGGAGCTCCCATCAAGATTACAATTCCAAATACTGGTAATGATAAAAATATAGGTATAATGATCGAACTAGCCAATAATAAGAATAAATTATCTTTGTTCTTCTTCTTCTTTCCATCACCTGAAACATTGACATAAATCAAATACCCATAAACTATTTGTGCCATAATTAAGGTAGTTAATCCTTTGACCATAACTTGTTGAACATCTGATGTGATCCCATAGTAGAACATTCCGTACAAGATAATTGGTAAATGAATAGGTAAAGTCATTATCTTATTAGTTAAGAAGGGTATTTCGTCAATCTTGGGAGGTTCAACCTCATCCTCTGATACTTTATCAAAAGTAACCTTTCTTCTAGCCATGTTGGTTCGCGTCGAAATTGAGTGAGAAATTAAAGTGTATTTATATATATTACAAACTAATACTGTTTTCGAAATCAATTAAATCTTTCCAAATCTCTTGATTGTCACGAGATATCTTGGAGGAAATATTCTTCTTTCTGTCATCATTTAATTTTGCAAACGTTTTGATAACTCCAACATCTAAAATTGGTTTACTATTGGAATCGTTAGCATTAAACTTCAAACCTCCAAATCTATTCAATCTTGGGTTTAATCCACAGAAATGATACTCTTTATCAGTTAATTGTTGTTGAAGAATATACATTCTTCTGTAAGTTGATTCATTTATGGGGAAAACATTGAAAAATGATCCCTCAGTGGTACTACCTATATTTTGAGTTGTTCCATTTACTAAGTTTGGTAATTGTAATAAACTACTAACATTTGCATTGATATTGAATGATGCTTTAGCAACAAGTCTTTGACCATTTGATGAAGTTGGATCTTCAGGATCATACTTTAATAAGTGTAATATGTTGTTGTTGTCACCTACCAAAATATAAATTTCTTCATTTTGACTGATAAAGTCACTACAACTTACATCAATTGATTTCAAATCTTTACCTAACATGATCATTCTGAAAGGTTCGGCATCAAAACCAACTAACCAAATCGATTTCAAAGTATCACCAACAATCAAGAAATTTCCGAAACTTTTAGCTTCACTTACATAAACAGAACAATCTAAAAATGCAACTGGAACCACACCATCATCTTGTAAATCTCTGATGATAATTTTTTGTCCTTGACTTACTAAGAATCTACCACAAATTTCATTTATGGCTGTCACTGAACCTTTGGTATCTTCTTTATAAACTTCTTTGAATTTATGGTTTGTTTGTGGTTTACCAGGTTCGGGAATAACATCAATAATCTCATAGACTTTGAAAGAACCATTAGCAGCTAAATCTTCGATCCTTATTTTACCTGTTCCGATAACAATGAATTCTCTTTTGTGTTTGAATCTTCTTGATGAAGATCCAACATCTAATAACATAGATTTGACATTTATACCAACTTCATTATCGTCCAATTCGAACTCATCAATAACTGTCCAAGTCATTGGAGATATTAATTTGATGAAACCTTTGTAAGCCTTGGCACCTGGTTTATCTTCCATCGTACCAACAATTGGTAAATTTTCTTCATCAACACAATTATAGTCTATTTCTTTATAGGTAGATACAACAAAAGTATTTGACTGTTCATGATATGTAACAGATTTTATTGTTTCACCAATTTTTACTCTTTTAACTGGCCAGTTGTTATCATAATTGAAATCCATAGGAATTTCACAAATTCTAGTATTCTTCTTATCATCTAAGAAAATTAATTGATTGTTTGAAAATTTACCAAAGGACATAATTGGTATTTTAGTGAATTTGAAAATTCTAGGGATCGAATGATTGGTTTTCAAGATACTGTATGATTTATCACCACTCACAAAGATACCCGTTAAACCATTCAAATCTTCAATATAGAATAATTTCATTTCAACTTTGGTGGCTAAAGTATAAGAATTATGAGGAGCTCCTGTAATCAACAAATCTTTCTCTTTCAAGAATTTGAAATTCTCCCCGTCAAAATACAACTTATATAATAAAACCTCACCTCCCATGGTCAAGATAGTCAAATATTGATTTTTAGAAACCGAATTACCAATATCATTGAAAATGACTTGTTTTATGAAAGGATCAGGATAAACACTTCTACTCTCGAAGAAACTTAATTGTGAAGTATCGGTAAATTTATCGATATCGTTCAATTGATAACATCTTTCGTTATGAAATCTATTGAAAAGAACAATTCTATTATCACCTGTGACTAAAATGAAAACTTTTTGTTTGGGACCTAATTCCTCTTCTGTTTGATGAGATTCGGCTGAGTCTTTGTGAGCTGATTGTTGGAATTTTCTCTTTCTACTTTTGATCAATAAATTGACGTCTTTCGTCACAGCATTCAAAATATTAGAATTGGAGATATAACCAGTTGTAATCAAAGTATCAGATAAAATTTTTGGAATTGGAATTTCAGTGAAATTTTCATTATAAGTGTTAATAGCTAAGATCTTCACTTCCCCATTAGTTAAGAAAATCATCAAAATTTCATCACTACAGAAACTATTGAAAATTTCAACATCATCGTCATCTTCGTCGTTTCCTGACTTTATAACATCATTCAAAATCATTTTCCTTTTAAATTTGTTATCATAGATCTTGATTTGTTTGGGTGTAATCTGAATGATGAATTTTCCGTTATTTAACTCATGAATTGCTACAGTCAAATCATTATTTATGAAATTTTTGGCATTCAATCTGGCATAGTTTTTGTTAATTTGGAAAATTTCCGATTTTTTATTACCATCATCACTTGTTATTAAGAAATTATTGGAAATCCATAATTTATTGACAGTGGAGAAAGTTAATGAAGACTTTATCACCGGCTGTATACTTGGGGCGAATATATTCATATAACTTTGACTTTCGATTCCCGAATTAGAGAAGATTGATAATTCTTGATAATTTGGATTGACCAAATTACTTTTAAATTTTTCATTCGAATAAAACCCATAGGTAAAACTTGATATGGGCCCGTTGTTAACCAACTCATCATCGAATTTAATTCTCAACTTACCATCCTTGAAAGTTAACTTTTTATCGTCTTCATCATCATACATGTCATCCATATCATCATCTTCATCATCGTTTCCTTTATTAATATCTTGATCTTCAATATCATATTTACATTCAATTAAAGGACTATTGGTACATTGACTACTGATGAATAACAAATTGTTTTCTAAGCTGGCAATTTCACCTGGATGCCTAACTTCAACATTATCAGAATCTTCTATTTTCTCCAAAGTAATCTTTTTGATTGCTTTCCCGTCCATATCAAAATTCAAGTAGAAAAATTCTCCACTCTGAAGAATTATCAATATTTTATTGTCATTAGGAATAGGAGTTACTGAACAGTTTTCTAATCTTAAGTTCAAGTCGGTGTTATCAACGAATGTTTTGAAAGTATTGGTGGTCAATGGAGCGTATGAATTGGCAGCAATTTTTCTTACAATCCCACCATTATCAACATGAACAAAACAATTGGAACCTATTAATAAAGCACCATTCAATGGTTTGGGTAACGGAACTATTCTTTCTATGTCATAAGGCAAATTATCAACCTTCAAAACAGTGGTGGAGTTCTTGGTGTTCAAATCCAATGATAAAACAACATATGAGATATTATCTTTTTTAAAAAACAAATTCCCTGCCCAAACTTGTTCATTGGAACATAATATACCAATGGTTGAATCTCTATAGTTATATAAGAATTGTGCATCTACAATGGTTCCAATTTTAGAATCTAATTGCTGACCATTGATTAAGAATGAAGTGCCAAAGATTTCATCATCCAACTTCAAGATTTTATCATCATCATCAATTTCATTATCTTCCTCTTCTTCATCATCGATTTTTGCAAAAGGTAAGAAGGTCAACAAATTTTTAAATCTTAAACAAAGACAGGAATTCTTTGGTTCAACGATCAATGAACTGGTGGTTAACTTTTCGAAAGTTGCATTTTGAATAACATTTTCATAATAATGCAATGATACTGTTTGAATTGTTTGGAATTTATGATCCCATTTAATCAAAGATATCTTTGCAAACTTTGTAGTGACTAAAAGATAATCTAATTTGGGATTTTCCAAAGTTTTAATGGGTTTTATACTTATAATTGTTCCATGCAATTTGAACTGTTGAATTAAATTTAACTTATAATTTTTACCAATTTTGATTGTTTCGAAGATTTGTAAAACTGAACTTTTACCTATGATTAAATGCTTCTTATCTGGCGATATAAAGTTACAACCAACACATTGTGATATCTTTGTTGGCTCAATGAATTCTTTATAAGCATTCATGGTAGTTCGCAAAATTTTCCACTGTTAAATCTGTTGATATCAGAACTGGAAAATTGTATCAGAGATAGCGGTGAACTAGGTGTATTTGAGAAATTCTTATGATCTCTACGTACTAAATAAATGTTCTTAGTAATACAGGAGCAAAATGAGTATTCAAATGACTGTTTTGAACGAGTAATAAGCTGTTTTACGTTTCGATTGTTAGACAAGTACTCTAGAAATTATTGTTTGGGCAAATCAGAGCAGTCAATATCAAAAGGTACACTCACAAGTATATAGCGCAACTATCGAAGGAACCATATATGTTGGCTCATCAGAGGTAAAGTCATTTTACATCAACAAGAAAACCTTTGAAATTGCCATAACTCCAAAAGGAGAGGACTTGAGGTCAATTTTTTTAATCAGGAGGAAAATTTATCCTCTATTTCACAAGAGATCTAGCGTCGTACTCCTAAAATCTCCTAAGGGTTATGTGTTAATAGAGATTTAAAACATAAGTTCTCAACCCCTAGATCGTGAGTATGGATTTCGGAAGAGATTAAATGAGAGCGGTTTTAATATGCACCTTTTATTGTTTCTAAAAAAAAATAATATACAAAATCTAATATCGTGAAAGCATTATAAAATCCTATGAATGAAGTTAATCGAAATTTTAATCTAATCATATTAATGATAAGGAGAATGAAACTAAAACGGTTAATAAACCGGATTTTACCATCATACCAGCACCTTCGTAAGTATTGATTGAGAAGGCAGATGATGATTGTTGAACAACTGAAGCAACAGTAGTTGGTTTGACTGGAGTTTCAGTAACAATGTTGTTAGTGATAACATCAACAGTTCCTAATGAACTAGTAGTTTCAGTGGTTAATGGACAGTAGGTAGTATAAATGGTTGAATCTTTAGTAACGGTAGTTAAACCAGTGGTGACTGGAACTTCAGTACATTTATGATCTTTACATGAAGTAATGGTTACAACAGTTGTTTTGATATCAGTAGCAGTTTCAGTAGAATCTGAAGTTGGAGCTGGAGCTGTGGTAATTGATTCAGCAGCTTCAGTTGATAATGGACAATAGGTAGTGAAAATAGTTTCAGTTCCACCAACGGTTGAAGTGAAAGTGGCTAAAACTTCAACTTCGGTGGTGAGATGACAAACAGTATCACAATGAGTTTTGGTAACAGTGATGGTTTCATCTAAAGTTGTTATTATTTCAGCAGCAGTAGTAGTTGAAACAACAGATGAGTCAACATCGCTAGTGTATGGGACACCGGTAGTAATAACGGTTAAAATACCATCAACAGTGGTAGTGTAGGTAGTGAAACTTTCTAAATCAGTAGTAGCATAACAGTTACTTTGAGTATCACAAATAGTTTTGACGACTTCGAAAATATCATCAGTGGTGACGGTGGCATATTCATAAATGGTTGATCTGGCTTTTGAAGAACTAACATCAATTGAAGCTGGATCGGCAGCAGCAGAAGCTGGATCGGCAGCAGCAGAAGCTGGATCAGTTGGAAGTCTGATAGCAGTAGTAGTATCGTTACTGTAAGCAAATGATGAAGGAGCCAACTCTAAAGTACTACTTGCACCACATGAAGCACTATCACAAGTGCTTGAAATTATAGTGGAAGTTAAAGTTGGTAATTCTGAAGATGATGCAGCTAAAGCAGTGCTAATTAAAACTAAGGTAGCTGATAATTGTTTGAACATTGCAAATATAATTAATTATTTAATGAGTTATTGGGGGTCAAACGTTTGACTTAAATAGTTTTACTTAGATCAGCTGGTCTGAATCGAAAGCTGGCATTTAGATCAGAATAAGAAGGTGATCAATTTTTTTACGATACATTCGTCCAAAACCAGCTCATAAACGAGTCTTCAATGCAAACCTTGCATGAAATTACCTTTTAATGGTAAATCAACCAGGAATAACATGGCTGCAAACGTAAAATTTCCAACCAGCCATCTCGGAAAATTTGAATTTTTTTCGCAGTCAACTGGTTATAATTCTAAAAATACACTTAATCTCAGTCTTTTGACCAGTTATTTAGAATATCACGAGGCTTTTGGAGTAGAGGTTACTTGTTGCCGTAACTTTTTTAGTATTATTTTTGAGCAATCCCAACTTTAAATCTGATTTCGTCGTAGAATTACTGCTTCGAGGCGATGATGCTCATTTCCTATTGTCCGACTACAATCTACTAGTACATTTGATCCAGGCATATCTTATTTTTAACAATTGATTTACATATTCTGCTGATCTTCCATAGATTTAGCGAAATTTGGTGATACTTTCTCTCAGTGAATCGATTACCCTCTCATTAGAGCATTATCAAAAACTCGCAAAATCTTCATGAAGTTTTTGATTTGGTTAATACTATTTTTAATAAATTGTCAAGCAGAGGTAATCAAATTAACTGATTCTAACAAAAGACAAGTATTATCTGCATCTAAAAATACTTTAATTCTTTTCCAAAAACCTAATTGTAAATACTGTGAATTACTTGATCCTATTTATAGTCAATTAGGTGAATTATACGACAACGATGAAGAATTTCAATTAGCCAAAACTAACGCCGCTGAAAATAGAATATTGAAGAGTAATTTCAAACCAACTAGATATCCTTCAGTGTTTTTGTACAACAATGTAGCCAAAACTATTCAACCATTCAAAGGAAATCGTAATTTGATCGATTTGGTAAATTTCATTAACGAAAATACCGATACCATCAACAAAGAGTTAGAGTCTAATATTTTCGAGATACGAAAGATTGAAGAATTCAATCAAAGACGTAAAAAGGGGAACTTGATAGTATTCGCTTTGAGTTATTTACCTATTTGGCAAGATTACCAATACCCTACCCATTTTTATCAGCAATTATCTTATCAACATAATATCAAATTCAGTATTCTTTTCATCGACTTGATAGATTCAACCAAATTCCTTGACGAATACAAAATCAGTAATTACCCATCAGCTATATTCTTCAAATCACCCACCAAATTCAAGACATTCAAAACTTTCAGTAAAGATCATTTACAGGGGAATAAATTGGATGAACAGTCATTGACAGATTTCACTTATAACTTGCACTCTGAGGATCATGGACATTGGTTCGATGGTACCGATGAGTTAAACGAGTACTTACAAAACGAAAAGTATCAATATGAACGAGTAGGACATTATGGACTCAATATAAGACAAAATGAAGTTATCGTGGATGAATCTTCTTACGAAGAAATGTTGGATAAGATGGATTTTTAAGGTTGTTTCCCAACTCCTGTTAGTTCAATATATGTAAATGCATTTATCCTCTCTAAAAATTGTTCAACTAAGACCCTAGGATCAAACCAGCCACCACACGACTTAATCCAAATCATAAAAAATGCGGTGAACCTGAATCTTGACAGTTGACCAAAATACCACGAAATGAATATTTTTAGATTCTTCGGTGATTTATCACATTTAGCTAGTATATTGTTATTGTTATATTCAATTGAACGTAACAAATCCATCAACGGTTTATCAATTAAGACTCAAGTGTTATATGTTGTTGTTTTCCTTACTAGATATTTGAATTTTTTCTTCAAGTATGTTTCGTTCTATAACACTTTAATGAAGATATTCTTTATTGCTTCATCCATCTACACTGTTTACATCATGGTAGCTAAATATCAAAAATCGATCAAAGAAAATGTCGATAACTTTCCAGTTAGATACTTATTAGGTGGTGCAGCAATTGCTTCATTAATTTTTACTCATAAATATACTGCCAGTGAAGTTATCTGGTCATTTTCTTTATGGTTAGAAAGTGTTGCTATTATTCCACAATTATTCATTTTACAAAAGACTGGTGAAGCTGAAAATATAACAACTCATTATATTTTTGCATTGGGATTATACCGTGCCTTATATATTCCAAATTGGTTTTATAGATACTTTGCTGAGGGAAGATTTGATTATGTTTCAATTTTATCAGGAATACTCCAAACTGTTATATATTCTGATTTCTTTTACATTTATTATACTAGAGTTTTACATGGTAAGAAATTTTCTTTACCAGTTTAAAATGTGACTTGAGGAAATTATATAGAAATGAACAAACGATCAAACGATCCAACGACTAAACGTGATCTTCTTTGAGAGATAGGTTAAAACTTTTGTACATTTCTAATCTCTCTTCAATGGATAATATTCAGTTCTTACACCTTCTTTAGTGACAATGAAAATTTCCAATCCATCACCAACTTGAATGTGTCTTTCAGTTGCTGACGAGAATGCGTCTTTGACTAATTCCAACACTTCATCCAATTCCAAATATCTCAATGGTTTCTTTTCAGTTCCATCACTACCTGGTTGATATTGATTTTTGAAATTAACTTGATTGTCCAAGAAAGGCATGATTAAACTTGCAGCAGCACCTCCAGCTCTACATTGTTCTCTTTCATATGAACCAACTGGATCAAAGGAGTAAACACATCCCTTACCTTCGTCATCCAAACCTGCAATCAAAGTACTGACATAATATGGGAAGAATCTTTTACTATATAATAAATGACGGATGTATCTAGCAGAACTTGCAACAGATAATTTCTTGTTATTATGATCAAATTTATACCATTTCAATTGATTTCTGAACCTATCAATTAAAGCACTACCATCAGCAGCAAATCCATTAGCTGTCATTACGATATCATCACCCACATTAAAGATTTTTTGTTCATATCTTGAATTTATACTGTATCCTTCAACTTGTCTAGTGTCACCAGCTAAAACAGCAAAGTCCTTACCCGCAATTCCTAAAACAGTACCCCCATTATCAGAATAAGGGTTAAATCTGTGTTCTATTGGGGTGGTGTGAATTTCTGAAGAATATTCTGATGCAACTGTTGAATTCATTTTATCGCCACTATCTTCAATCTCACTGATTTTATTTCTCAGTTTCTCACTTTAAGTTTCTCAATTCACACAAAACTGCACTCAACTAACACGGAGAGATAAGAGGTATTTTGATTGGATGAGTGATAAACAGTCATTCATTAGAGTAAAGGCTTTATCTTAGGTTACTCTGGTGACGGTGAAAATCAAATAATCTGCCTATCTCAGTTTGAAACTCTCGCGTTCGTTAGTTGAGGAACTATCTACATAGTTTTGCCTCTAAATATCTTTCTGGCCATCTTATGATTTGGCCGACTGAAATTATAGGCCCAAGAAGTCATACTAGGCGAGTTCATGGACCAAAAAAAATCTTGGATACAAGAATTCATGGGCAATCAAGTTGAAAATTAAAGTAGGGATGTGTGATAGAATTTATTTAATATGTACAAGTCTGTTATTTGGAATTTTGAATTCTATTGACATAAGTTTTTGATATAACGTTCCATGATTTCATATATCTAGCTAAACATTGGTTAGCACAATTATCTTGTTGAGGAGTTAAAATATTTTCAGGTACTTGGATACAATGTTCGAAACAGTTTTCTGTTACTTTGTTGATTAATTCGGAAGCATTGGCAACAGCTAACTCTTGCGTGATATCATTTTGAATTTGAGTTTTGAGATCACTTTGGGTAGTAATTTGTGGTGAACTTGATCCAAAAAGTGCCATCTTTAGTTGATGAGTGCGAGTAACTTAGATTTGAAGGGTATACTTAATGTCGCAAAGAGTGTCGTTTTCAGAGACATCGGTATTTTCAGCTATCACCGTGATAGTGGGAACTGGAAAAGGTAGAGAGAACTCCATTGGAGAACCCTCGAACAAAGAAAAGTCTCATAAGAGAAATACGGGGCCTGAAAGTTGAATCATGAGTACTTGAAGGTATCAGAAAGATGAGAGTGACCCAATCAAAAAATCAAGAATCATTAATCCGATTTTTGTTCACACTTACGATGACAACAGCATATAATATCCTTGTCCATTACGAAGATGGGCCAGACTTTTGACCTTGGTATGTTTCGATCTTGAGCAGTATTTTCAGAGCTACTATTTTGGTAGAGCTCTCAATTTTAAGACCGACTTTACTCTCTCGGAATAAAGTCTACACCGTACCGAGATAAAATATATTAGTGTGAAATCCTGGTGTTTCATGAACATTTACTTTCAGGTACACTTTGAGAATAGAATTAACGTCTCAAGTCAACCTTCCATTGAACCTATAGTATTATTGCTAAGACTTGAATATTGCTTGTGATTTCATAAGATATTTTAGTAATAAAGATCGCACATTTCCTTATTCATCTGAAAGTACAAAGTTTACTAATTTACTCAACTATAGTTTATCATGGTTAATGAAACCGCTGATATACATAGTTTATCATCCCTTGAGTCAGAGCAGTCACAACTAAATAACCAAGATCCTCAGGAGATCAATATAAGACAGTCTGAAAACAGTAGTGATAATAATGGGGATAGTGAAAAACTGGCCGAAACAGGTACTGGGGCGTCTGTCAATGAAACCGGTTTGAACAGCACTCAGACAAACATGTCAACTAAAACCAATCGTGTTCCAATGAAAGATCGGAGGGGCCTATTATCCCACTTAGCTATATTACCAGAATATGAAGATCCAAGAGACTATCCTAGGCAGATCAAATACTTCATTGTTTTCATAATAGGATTTGCAGCTGTTGTGGGACCTATGGGGACATCAATTCTATTACCAGCCATAGATGATGTCGTGGAAGATTTGAATACGACCACTATACTTGTAAATATATCAGTGGGTATTTATTTGTTATCGTTAGGAATATTCCCACTTTGGTGGTCATCATTGAGTGAAAAATATGGTAGGAGGTCTATCTATTTGATATCTTTCACCTTATTCCTCGGATTTAGTATAGGATCGGCTTTTTCACCTAGTATTTCAGCATTGATTGTATTCAGAGTATTATGTGGGGGAAGTTCCGCTTCAGTACAAGCTGTGGGAGCTGGTACAATCGCTGATTTATATCCCCCTGACCAAAGGGGTAAAGCTATGGGTTGGTATTATTTAGGACCTTTGATGGGACCATTCTTATCTCCCATCATTGGAGGAGCTGTAGCTGAAGCATGGGGTTGGAGGGCAACTCAATGGGTTTTGGTCATAGCTGCTGGAATGGCAGATTTTTTGATTATATTTGCGTTGCCTGAAACCTTGAGGAAGCAGGATAACTTGGCAAATGTAAGAGAATATCTTCAAAAGTTAAGAGCTCAAGAAATAGAGGACGAGGACACCTCGGATAATCTCAATGATTCGATATCAGAGAAGGATAAAGAAAAGAATGCTTCGAAAACACAGGAAATCAGCGACAAGGAAAACAATCTTCTGAGATTGCCCTCATTGCAACAAATCGATTCTATGTTGAGTGAAATTTCACGGTTAGAGTCGAGGTCATCAAGAGGCGACAACGAAGAAGGGCTTTTTAACATCGACAACGGTGTTGGGGACTCTATCACACCTTATTTATCTAGATTAGATACCAGAAAATCAGACTATTCTAAAAGGGTGCAGATTGAAGCTTTACAAAGTCGATTAAGCAAAGAGCTTGATGTACCAAAATCCAAAAGGGAAAAGTGGGAAAATTTTAAATTTGAATCATACGAACTATTGATCAAGCCTTTACATTCCCTTGTTCTACTCACGTACCCTCCAGTGATACTAGTAATATCACATTCAGCTATTTGTTTTGCAGCTATTTATTTTTTCAACATCACCATATCCTATGAATACAGCCGAGCTCCTTATAATTACAGTACACTAATAGTTGGTTTATTATATATTCCCAACTCCGTAACTTATATTTTGGCCTCAATTTTTGGGGGTAGATGGAATGATAAATTATTGAGAAAGTATGCTGACAAGCATAATGGAGAGTTAAGCCCAGAGTCAAGAATTTCATGGAATCTAATCATTGCCACTATCTTATACATTCCCGCATGTCTAATTTTCGGATGGACATTAAAATATCATTTGCATTGGGTGGTACCTTTAGTTGGTACAGCATTGTTTGGTTTCTCCTCTATGTTGGTAATCGGAGTTTCCGTCACTTATTTGGTAGATACATTACCTGGTAAAGGAGCTACTGGTGTTGCATTAAACAATTTAGTAAGACAGATTTTGGCAACCATAGCCACATTCGTTGTGGATCCATTATTGGTTGCCTTAGGTCCTGGTATCTTGTATTCAATTATTTTAGGAATCATTCTTATTTCATCCTTTTCATTGGTTTATTTGAAAGTTAATGGTGACAAGTTGAGACAGAAATATGACATTAGTGCTTACTACGATAGATTATAAATACACGTATAATAATGAATCAGGTTTTTACGATCTCTAGTGTGTTTCAGGGGTTGCTAATTACCGATAAATGTGAAACAGGGGGCTCGTAAAAAATATCTAGATCGAAGTGCAATCCATCGATTTATTGACAAAAACAATCAGGAGTGGATAGATATTTTGAACTTCATATACAACCATAGGATATATAGGACAATGGAGAAGTCTCACACCCGCTTAGAACTCTAGTACCTAGAGTAGAGGAGTGGTTGGTCGCAAAGCTGCAAAAAAACAATTACCTATCCTAATGCGGAATAGTAATTGAACAATAGGATGAAACAAATGTGCATAAAATAAAAATATTTTTTAGAAATGTGGTAATTTCTGAAACTATTTAAATTATGACCAGTCCCTGAATCACTTCAACGTTCTTATTCACTTACAAGCATCATTCATACTATCGTAATGGGAGGTAGAAAAGTTACGTATAATATTTCACCTCAGTTTCAAATTATTAAACCTTTAGGCCAAGGCGCATATGGATTAGTGTGCCTTGCGATACACAAACCTACACGAAGAAAAGTGGCAATTAAGAGGATAGAAGCTTTTGAAAATCCTCTAGTGACTTTGAGAACCATAAGAGAAATTAAATTGTTGGATAAATTCAAGTTTCATGAAAATGTGGTGCAATTATTAGATATTCAAATGCCAAAGAGTATCAATGAATTCAATGAGGTTTACATAATTGAAGAATATCTTCCCAACGATTTACACACGATTATTCATAAGTGTTTGTTGAACGATGACCATGTTCAGTATTTCATTTATCAAATATTGAGAGGTCTAAAATATATCCATCTGTCGAATGTTATTCACAGAGATTTGAAACCTTCAAATATTTTGATAAATGAAGATTCTGACCTCAAGATATGTGATTTTGGTTTGAGTAGATTATTGGTAGATGAAGAAGATCCAGTAGATGGAGGCTCCAAAAGGAGACAAAAACAACAGATTTCGAATCTAACTGAATATGTGGCTACCAGATGGTATAGGGCCCCAGAAATAATGTTAACTGTGTCTAATTATTCAACTGCTGTTGATACATGGTCAGTGGGATGCATTTTGGCAGAAATGTTTACAGGAATACCTCTATTCCCGGGGAAAGATTACAAACATCAGATTTTATTGATTACACAATTATTAGGTAATCCAGCATACAACGAAGAAGAGAGTAAATGCATCAAAACAATTCGGTCTAAACAATTTCTACAAAGTATACTGAACTATCCTAGATTGGATTTCAAATCAGTGTTCGAAAATCACCCTAATAGGTTGCAAAAATATGGATTCCAAGAAATTAATCCCCTTGGAATCGATTTATTGGAGAGATTATTGGTTTTTGACCCTAAAAAGAGAATCACAGTCCAAGAAGCTTTAGAACATCCTTATTTAGCTCAATATCATGATGTTAGCGACGAGCCCACCACCACCAAGATACCTCCTTTCGAATTTAGATATGACTACGAAAATAAGGACGACTTGAATACTGAAGTGTTAAAGATGGAGTTATACAATTTCATTCATTTCTACAAGGAAATAAATTCGACTAGTTAAATAGGTAATAGACGTGTTAAACTAAGCTCCTTTGGCACTTTTAAGATTCCTGAATTGGATTATTCTTAAGAAACCTTCGATGAAATGAAGTCCACACCAAGCAACACTTTGTGGGAATGGAACCCTGAATCTTATCATATTGGGAATAGTATAGTAAACAATTTCACCAATATGAATAGCATAAAGACCTGCAACGTAAGATTTAAAGTTTCTTTCAATGGACCCTAATAAATTCCAAAATTTGGCAGGGAAATAAGGAGATATCGATGAAGTAATTGGATCGTTGGCCAATAAACGTTTCAAAAGTCTCATATCATATAACCCGATTATGCAGATAGCAAGTAATGAAGTCATAAGAGCAGTATCTTTGTTCAATCTTGGATACTCGGTAACTTGAACATGTGAATAACCTTGTTTGGAAGCAGCATATTTAGCCATAGAAACCAATTTAGCTTTCAAGTCAGACATATCTTTAACAGTAACATTATCATCTTCTGGGATATCTTTCCATTTGAAAGTTTTGGTTTGCTTCGAATTGGATTTAGTAAAATAAGTGATATCCATTGACTTTTCATTAATGGCAGAAATTTGAGCTGATGATTCAACTAATTCTGATAATTTGACGTTACCATAAACTACCAAATAATCTACAATTGAAATTTGATGACCTTTGTTCATATGACTGATGATTCTCTTACTTGGATCCATGATTGAATTTGATTTTTTAAAACACTCCAAAGTTTGAAAGAACACTTGATTTTGATTTTTGTCATATGATTTGAGAATGCATTTTGCTCAAACACTACCATAACCAAGAAAGCGATTCTTTTAAGAATTTTTTGTATTCACACATAAATAACAATTGACCAAATAAACTTCCTCTCGAACATTCGGAATTATTTTGATAAAAAAACAACCGAAAGGGAATTTTGCTGAATTTCGTCGAACAGCAATAAATGGTTGCAAAAATCTTTCGGAATAATTCCCGAAGATCGCACTCTCGTAAATTTTAACCTCCAATTAATTATGTACCACATGAGCCGAAATTCTAATGGACAACTTGCCTAAAAAATTAAAGCATTTACTGGCGAAAAGCCAAAGTAACCTAAAATCTCAAACTCGGAGAATTTGGATAAGCTGATCATCGACATGCCCCTTAAAAACTATTTTTTTCGTCCCATTATTAATCCCCAGTAATCATACCACCACACCAGATAAGGTTGCGAAGTTACTATAAATATCTTCTTATCAGTGCTTATTATTTTCAAGTAGATCCCAATATCTTCAGATATCCTTTAACCCATATCATTGATATTCACTGATCAAGTTAACCGAATTTATCTGACGAATATCATTCAAGGGTCTTTAGTAACAAAAAGAAATACTTAGGGAGTGTCGCATATTTTTGCAATCGTTTTTCGCCCTTATTTTATTAGAAACCCCCCAACAAAAAACCCCCTTTTAATTCAGGAACTACCCTTTTCTAAATTTCAATTAAAGGTTTAAACATTTCCACATATTCAAAATTCCAATTGAAGACATTTTTAAGTCATGGGAGATTATCTTACACCAAGTGATTTACCATCACCAAAATTGAAAAGAACCAACACCGGTTTTACCCCCACCGAGATTAAATCATTAGATGCAGAAATTCCTGAACAATCTAAAGCAGTATGGTTAAAATATACCAAATTGAAATTATTGAATTCAAGATCTAAGAATGAAAAGAATGGTAAGAATGATGAAGAAACTTTCGAAGAAAATTTCATCAATCATGTTGAAACCACTTTGGCTAGAAATATGTTAAATTGTGATGCCTTAGCAGCTTATCAAGCGTCTTCAATTACTATTAGAGATGAATTGGTCATTGATTGGGCCAACACTCAACAAAGACAAACCATTCATGATGGTAAAAGGGTTTATTATTTCTCTTTAGAATTCTTGATGGGAAGAGCTATGGATAATGCTTTAGTCAATTTAGATTGTAGAGATAACACCAAAAACTCTTTGAGTAATTTAGGTTTCAACTTAGAAGATGTTTTACATCAAGAACCAGATGCTGGTTTAGGTAATGGTGGTTTAGGTAGATTAGCTGCTTGTTTCGTCGATTCTTTGAGTTCAAAGAACTATAGTGGTTGGGGTTATGGTTTGAATTATCAATATGGTATTTTCAAGCAAAAGATTATTGATGGTTATCAAATTGAAACTCCGGATTATTGGTTAAAATTTTCCAACCCTTGGGAAATTGTTAGAAATGAAATTCAAATTCCTGTTGATTTTTATGGTTATGTCTATGAAACATATGATGAATCAACTGGAAAATCTAAAAAAGTTTGGAACGGAGGTGAAAGAGTTTTAGCTGTTGCTGTAGATTTCCCAATTCCAGGGTTCAATACTTCTAACACCAATAATTTAAGATTATGGAATGCTAGACCAACTAATGAGTTCGATTTCACTAAATTCAATTCTGGTGATTATCAACAATCAGTTTTAGCTCAACAAAGAGCTGAATCAATCACTTCAGTCTTATATCCTAATGACAATTTTGATAAAGGTAAAGAATTAAGATTGAAACAACAATTCTTCTGGGTTTCTGCCTCCTTGCATGATATTGTTCGTAGATTTAAGAAGTCTCATGACAACAACTGGACCAAATTCCCCGAACAAATTGCTATTCAATTAAATGATACCCACCCAACTTTAGCTATCGTTGAATTACAAAGAATTTTGGTTGATTTAGAAGGTTTAACATGGGATCAAGCTTGGTCAATTGTTACTCAAACTTTTGGTTACACTAATCATACTGTTATGCAAGAAGCTTTAGAAAAATGGCCAGTTAGTGTTTTGGGACATCTTTTACCAAGACATTTGGAAATAATTTATGATATCAATTATTTCTTCTTGAAAGCTGTGGAAAAGAAATTCCCTAATGATAGGGATATCTTAGCTAGAGTTTCGATCATTCAAGAACTGGAACCAAAATCCGTTAGAATGTCTCATTTGGCTATTATTGGTTCCCATAAAACTAATGGGGTTGCTGAATTACATAGTGAATTGATCAAGACTACTATTTTCAAGGATTTTGTTAAAATTCTTGGACCAGATAGATTTACCAATGTCACCAACGGTATCACACCAAGAAGATGGTTAAAACAAGCTAATCCTGAATTAGCTCAATTAATCAGTGAATCATTGAATGATCCAGATTATAAATTTTTAACCAGCTTAACTGATCTTAAAAAATTGGAAAAATTCGTTGATGATGATGAGTTCTTGAAGAAATGGGATAGAATTAAGTATGCCAACAAAATCAAATTAACTAAATTGATTAAATCTGAAACCGGTATTGATGTTGATCCAACCGTTATGTTTGATGTCCAAGTTAAAAGAATTCATGAATATAAAAGACAACAATTGAACATCTTTGCTGTCATTTATAGATACTTAAGGATCAAGGAATTATTGGCTGAAGGTAAATCAATTGATGAAATCAAATTAAAATATTTCATTCCAAAATGTTCAATCTTCGGTGGTAAAGCCGCACCAGGTTATTACATGGCTAAAACTATCATTCATTTAATCAATAAGGTCGGTGATGTGGTTAACAATGATCCTGAAATTGATAACTTATTGAAAGTAGTTTTCATTCCTGATTATAATGTTTCGAAAGCCGAAATTATTTGTCCAGGTTCAGATTTGTCAAATCATATTTCTACTGCTGGTACTGAAGCTTCAGGAACTTCTAATATGAAATTCGCCTTGAATGGTGGTTTAATCATTGGTACAGTCGATGGTGCTAATGTGGAAATCACTAGAGAAATCGGTGAAGACAATATTTTCCTTTTCGGTAATTTATCTGAATCAGTTGAAGAAATAAGACACGATCATATTTACCATGGGGTTAAAATTTCAGACAACTTAAATAAGGTATTTAATGCCATCCAATCAGGCATGTTCGGAGAAGCTCATGAATATTCAACTTTAGTAGATAGCATCAAATACCATGGTGATTATTATTTAGTCAGTGATGATTTCGAATTATTCTTAGATTGTCATAAGAGATTAGAAAAAATCTATGGTCACCATGGTGGTGATGAAAAAGATTTAGACCATTTACATAGATGGGTTAAAAAATCAGTTATTTCAGTTGCCAATATGGGATTCTTCTCTTCTGATAGATGTATTGACGAATATGCTGAAAATATCTGGAATATTGAACCTTTGAATCCCAATTAGATAGTGTGTAGTTCGAATTTTACAGTTTTGTTGTTTAGAGTACTCTTATTACAAACGTAATATTTATTAAATTACATGATAATGTATAAGTAGATTAACGACCTCTTGAAGTAGTTTTGGTATGTTGACCTCTGACTTTTAAACCCCAGAAGTGTCTGATACCTCTGTGGGATCTGATTTTCTTTAATTTTTCTAAATCATCTCTTAATTTGGATTCTAAGTTGTTAGCTAAGACGTGGTAATCTTTACCATCAACTTGATCTTTTTGTCTGTTTAAGAACCAAGCTGGGATTTTGAAGTTAGTTGGGTTTTGCATGATAGTAACAATTCTTTCTAATTCTTCTTGGGTTAATTCACCAGCTCTTTTGTTTAAATCAACATCAGCTTTTTTACAAACCAAGTTAGAGTATCTTCTACCGACACCTCTGATTTTGGTTAAAGCGTACATGATTTTGATTCTACCATCAATGTTGGTATTTAATAAACTAAAAATTGTTAGTATTCGTTATTGATAAGAAAGGATATTCATATGAAGAGTCTTGAAAAATTTTTTGTGGTCCCACTTTGATGTGATACTTGTATGTTTGACCTTTATATGGCTCGAGTAACTCATGGGTGCCTTGATTATGTGAATGTACTTAATTTAAATGACTTGAAAATTGGATGAAAACGATTTTAAGGAACCTTTAAATTCACTCATGATTTAATGAAATATTGGTATTTCGGGTGATTCTTACTCTCTACTATATGAACTTCTTAATTATGATTATTGGCGATAATAACATACCGTAAAATGTGTTGGAATGAACCTTCTTCTTGAACAACTAATGACATCTTGGTTTAGTTTCAATAATAAATTTTTTTTTTCAATGAGAAAGTTTTTCACCAAGAGTCTAAGTCGCTTCGAGACATTTTGTTGAGGGAGTGACATTTTTTAACTATAGTGAAAAATAATTCGCAGTCACCATCTTGTTAGGGCTTCAAGCCCTAAAGATGAAGTGTTAAACAAAGAGAAGTTATATGAAGAATCATTTAGTTTCATTTATTCTTAATCTATTCACAAGTATTTATTCACAAGTATTTTCCAATGAACCATTGTAATGCCGGTAATTCAATATAAACTCTATTGGCTTTCAAAATATCTCTAACTTCAACATTTTCTTTAGTTAAAGCTTTAACTTTATCACCTTCTATGGCTTTAGTTAAATTTGATCTTTCAATATCCGTTATAAAAAGTAAATTCAAATTTTTCAAATGATGTTGATTTTTAAATTGTTTGATGGTTTCAGGATAACCATATTTAAAATCAATGATTGATGAATCAGATTCATTCAATTCTGATGATTCGTTATTTCCTACTATGTACAATTTACCATCTTTATATTGTTCCGATAAAGCAGTGGCCATGGCTTTATTATAGATTTTGTTTGGTAATTCAGTTGACCAATCATGAGGAGCTGTGATAACATGAGCTTTGATAGGATTATATCTATGAGGTGAATTGGCATCACCAACTCTAGCTTTACCTGAACCCTTTTGTGGTCTTAATTTCTTATGTGAGTAGATAGCATCACCTTTAGTGAATACTTGTGTAGTTTCAATTTTAGCTTTATCTTCTTCATAAACAACAGCACTCCATAATATATCTCTTCTGGTTGGTAAATTCAAGAAATCGTTTGGTAAAGCTACAAATTCTTTTGGCTCCAAACTTGGAAATGATCTCAATGAACCTAAAACATATTTTGGTGGTTCTTGAAGTTTAAACACTTGGGTGTTAGCATTTGTAGCTAACGAACGTACAAATGATTTAAACATTGGAAGGTTGATGAGAGAGAATTTTCGCACTTCGCACAGTTCGTTTTATATTTTAAACATCTGACTTGGTATCATTAGTTCCATCTTGAGATTGATGGGATTCATCTGATTGTGACCTTTGTGATTCTTTATAAGGATGAGTTTCGTCGTCACTATCGATTATGAATTCATCAATGTGATTGACATTTTCTCCTAATTCAATATCTTCAGCAACATGATCGTAATTTCCACGATCATCAATTCCTCTGAATTTATTTAATGCTTTAGTAATGAAACCAGGTTCGTTAGCATCACCGTCATGGAATTGTCTCAATTGATCGGCCCATTGGACGTTCTTCTTTCTTCCTGAAGGTTTGGTCTTTATAATGGATGATGGTCTGGTTCTATAATGAGAATATAACATATAAATTCCCCATAAGATAATGACGAGGACGATGAATTGAATTATTCTAGTAAGTTTACTGGATGTTTCGTTTTCATCATCACTATCTGAATCTGAGTCTGAGTCGGATAAATCGGTAGTAGTTGATGAAGGTGAAGATGAAGCGGATGTATCACTAACAACGGATGATGGTTTTGCTTTACCAGTAGCTTTTGACATAGATGCAGATTCGATTATAGAATTGACATCGGCAGACTCTGATGGTGATGGTGATGTTAATTTTCTAACTCCTAATGGATATGTCTTGATAGCTCTTTTCTTGCTTCCACCAGTTGCTTCAAAGTCAACAATATCGTAATTTTGCAATAATATATCAATTAAACTTCTTGATACCTCAGGTTTGTCAAATGGAACCATATGAGAAGAATCGAAAACGTTTACAAAAGTCAAATTTCTTTCAGTTTTGATATAACCACTGATATCATTATTATAAATCCAATCAAATGTTTCATCACTCTTGAAACCTGTCTCTCCATTCCACTTCATCTCTTTAATGAAATTTTCTGCTCCAATATAGTTACAAATGATATCTCTATTACCATGGAACAATACAATAGGAATTTGTTCCAAAATATCAGGTAAGATTTTTACTGAAGGAATTGAATGTTTAGCATTGAAGTTTCTACCGACTTTTCCTGAACATTCATGCCATTTCTTGAATAATTTTAAGTTCAAATCATGTTGAACTTCTTCAGAATTCAAAAATGGATTAACATTGACCAAATCAGGTGGCCAGTTCATTCCACAAGATGGGTATGAATCTTTCAATGTGTAATCATACATATTAAAACATCTTTGATCTTCATTCATGGAATGATCTAAAGTTGCAAATAAAATCTTATTCAAAATAACTTCACAAGTACGACTGACAACTTCAGAATCACTTAAGGTATCTCCTGACTTGGAATTGACAACATTTTGACATTTTTCATGTTGTCTGAGAATATTACCCCATTCGGAATTCTTATTATCTATAATATTGGCAGCCAATGCAAATGGTAAATATGATAAACTTTGTACATCAGGAGCAATCCAACCATTACCGATTAACAAACCTTTCAAATTATAAGGTTTATCGGTGTTTTTGTTGAAGTCTAAAATAGCTTTAGCTATGTAAGGAATATACTGACCAGCATAACTTTCACCGGCGAAATAAATTTCATTTTCTCTATCTTCAGGAAACAATTCATAAAATTTCTCCAAGAATTTCAAAAATTGTCTTGCAACTTGATCAAGATCATGATCATATTCTTTTGTGTAACTAAACCCAGTGCCCGCGGGTTGATCAACAAACACAATATCACCAGCATTGTGCCAAGATCCTTCGTTTTTAATAACTTTACCATCATCACTAATTCTAAATGGTCCAGCTTCCATTAAAGCACCATCCATTGATGAACATCCTGGTCCACCATTAAGCCAAAAAATTGTACGTTTCTTGAATTCAGGGTCAATGTTATTATCAACATATTTCCAGAAGAATAAATTGGTATCATTCTCTTTATATATCTCCAATTGTCCCGAGAACATAAGGGGGATTTCATCATGAGGCATATCGAATAAACCTGGTAACTTCTTCACAAGGTATTCATCTTTGGTATCCCTCTTTAAGGCTTCAAAGGAGTAACACGTAGCGGTGGTGACCAAAGTCAATAAGATGAAAATTTCCTTAATTAACTTCATTACTCCGATTTAAAGTAGGCGCATCAAAATTGATTCCTCACTATCAACAGACAAAAATTAGTATGGATTACGTAAGCGGAGCGTTTTACTCGATTTTACCTTTTATGGAAAGTTGCAAAAATTGAAAAAAACGATTTAGAGAAGAAATAAATGCTAATATATGCAAACTATGTAATATACAATTTATCTCCAGTTACCTTCTCTTAAAGATAATAAACTTTGAACCCCTTCATTAACTCTTTTATTGTTACTTATTTCAGCTAAAGGTTTTCTTTCTTCAGCAGCATTATTTAATAAGTTTTGAATTTTATTATTTTTACTTTTCTTAGTAGGGTTTTCTTTGTTATCGTTACGTACTTTGAACTTACCTAATTTGAAAGTTCTCATTGAATTATTTACATTTGTAAGTGATGAATGGTTTTTCTTTTTGGTTTCATTGAGTACTAAAGAATCTTCATTTAAGATGGATTTATTAGGAGTTGATTGAATTATTTGTGATTGATTTAATTGTATAACTGGAACGATTGGTTTTGAAAATATCGATGATGCTGATGATGATCTTTGTTTTATTGGTGATGAAGTTCTAAAAGAACTATCAGGACTTGAAAATGATTGTGATTTATTTAATGATGGTTTGATTGGAGTTGAGGATATAATTGATGAATTCACAGTATTGTTAACTGAATTACTGATGGAATTATTCATGGAATTTATGATAGATGAGTTATTAATCGAAGTATTTGGTGAATTATCAATTGAATCTGTTGGTGGTAAAACAGTTATTTCTCCTTGACTATTACTTTGTTTTCTGATACTTTGTCTTTTATTTTGAAACCAAATTTGAACAGCTTTTTCAGTCATTGAAACTTTGTTAGCGATTTCAATTCTTCTTAATTTATTAGGAGTTGAACCTAACATGAATTCTTGATTTAAAATATTTAATTCATTTGGTGAAGTTCTTCTTCTTTTCCTTCTAGCTAAAGGAGCATTATCGATTGAAGGTTCTTGGGATGGGAAAGTTTGAAGTGAATGACTAATAAAAGCAAAAGCTTTATCAGTTTTTCTCTTTTTTTCTGGTGTTACTTTTTTTTCACCTTCAATAGATTTTTTAGGTGATGGTGATTGTTTTATAACGGGTATAGTGATAGCAGGACCTGGTAAATTTAAAGATTGGTTTTCCTTCTTGATAGGATTCATCATTGGTAAAATTGGAGTTGAAACTGTTGTCAAAGGAGTGGCAGGGGCACTAACATTACTCATTATAGATTCTGTTGATACATTTGAACCATTATAAAAAGTATCAATTGATGGTAATTTATAGTGCAGTTGGTCTTTTAACAATGATGATAATGGTGGTAAGTTTGGTTTATTATAATTCTTTTGAGTTAAGTACATATTGAATGTTGATGAAATGAAAATTAAAAAGAATGAAAGGTTTCCAACCAAAAGGTGTTTTCTAAAAAAAATATATGTCTTGTAATTTCAAAGGATTAGAAGTTATTTATATTCCTCTACAAATCAATGTTATTTCCCTGTTGAATTAATTAAACATTTTAACCTATTTAGATTTTAATTAAATGTAAACAATTTAGTCGCAAATTCGTGTTTCGAGAATAATGGTTGCAGGTACATCTGAAGGGAATTCCCAAGAAATGGGGCAATTTTAGAGATTTGAAAGAGTAGAAAAGAGCAGAAGTAGAATTCAAGACAATTTGAAGTCTAGTTGGTAGTCATGGATCATATTTAAGTTATCATAGGTATCAAAACATCAATCATATGTTATGTGCCTGTTTCAAAGCCCGCAGGTAAAAACGCGAAATATTAATATTCCAAAAAAATTTATGCTCAAAATAGGCATCTATTAACCTGTTTGAGAAATGTTATTATTGAGATTATCTTTGATCTGAAGGGATGAATTATTGAGGAAATTTTTGGGGCTCCTAAGGGATATTACACCAATTAATGATAGGGGTTCAAACTTTAAGGTTTTGAGGTAGATGGTTGACAAGTAACGTGAATTAGATAAGTAGGTTGAAAATAATATTGTTTATGAAGTTTTCGTCAACTACTTGACGATATTGACGTTCTTTTGACCCTTAAAAGCATTCGATTGTTTCGATGATGTTGAAAAGGTTGTTTTTACCCCTTTCGTAGTATTAAATTGTCGCTTATTTACTTTTCATTGTTTGAGTGAAAATACGTTTTGGTAATTATGATGACCTAAAATGACTGCAACTACTTGTTGATTGCCGAATCCCTGAATTTGTACTAATTGAGATATTATTGTTTGAATTGGGAAACCATTGATCTATTGTTTGCATATCGTGTGATCTGTAGATTTTTGTTAAAGTAAGTCACTCGATGTAAACATTGGTTGATGATGCATTTAGCTCACTTGTCATCAACTATCATGGTGGCAGTTATGCAATACAAACTTTCTTATCCACGCATCAACTGGATCAATCGTTTATTCATTCAACCAATTCGAAATCTTCCAATTATTATTCTGTTTTTTTTTTTTCCTTGAATTAAACTTTCTGTACCTTATCATAAATTTTGCAGCCTGCGAATTTTACAACTCTGCATCATAATCTTCCATACAAAAACATTCATTTTTTAAAAATTTGTTTATGTTATACCATGAAACCATTCAGTATAACTAAGACTCGTCCAATAAGCCGATATAACACCAAAAGTTTGAATTTCACAATTTTGACCATGTTTTGAATTTGCCAAGCCACTACCCCCGAAGGGTCTAAATATGCGAAAGAAGTAAATATTCTTTGTCAACTATGATTAAAATACTTATTTTAATAGGTATTTTTTGTACCTACATTTATCATTGTTCATTTTATAGAGATGCGGTCAACGAAGTATCACTACATCCTTTGACTGACGTTTATACCCAACAATTGCAAGCTTTGAACTTAACTGTTCGTAGTCCTATTAGAGTTAACAAGCAATTAATTCATGGAAGATTCTTACATATAACTGACATTCACCCAGATTTGTACTACAAGGAAGGATCAAATGTGGATCAATTGTGTCATAAAGGGGAAGGAACAAGTGGTAAATATGGTGATGCCATCTTGGGTTGTGATTCTCCTATTATTTTGATGGCTGAAACTATCAAATGGATTGAAAGAAATTTGAAAGATAAAATTGACTTCATCATTTGGACAGGAGATAATGTTAGACATGATAATGATAGAAACTTCCCAAGAACTGAGCTCAATATCTTTGATATGAATCAAAATGTGAGTGATATTATGTATGAAGCTTTCAAAAATCCCGATACTTCAAATCCAAGAAATTTATTGGTTGACTTAATTCCAAGTTTAGGTAATAATGATGTTTATCCACATAACTTATTTGCTCCAGGTCCAACTTTGCAAACAAGAGAAATGTATAAGATTTGGTCACCTTTCATCCCCCAAAATCAATTACATATTTTCAACCGTGGAGCTTATTTCTTTAGAGAAATTATTCCAAACCAATTGGCTATATTATCCATAAACACATTATACTTATTCCAGTCCAATCCCTTGGTTGATAATTGTGATAGAAAGAAAGATCCAGGTTATAAATTATTCGAATGGTTAGGAGTAGTTTTGAAAGAAATGAGAGCCAGAAATATGAAAGTTTGGCTTTCTGGTCATGTTCCACCAAATGAAAAGAACTATGATATCAGTTGTTTGAGGAAATATATCATTTGGACCTATGAGTTCCGGGATGTCATTATTGGAGGACTTTATGGACATATGAACATTGATCATTTTATCCCATTAGATGCTAAAGCTGCTTATAAATCGTTGAAAGATCTGAGAAAGGATAAAAAGGGTAAAGCTAAAGGTTTAGATTTTGAATCCTTCGAATTAGACGATGATTATGATGACATTGATTTTGAAGATATCGAAATTCCTGATTTCGAAATAGACATTGAATCGAATCAATTTGATGATGAATCAGAAGACGATGAAGTTACTTTGAAACAACAAGAGCCAATGAAAATTCTTGGTGGTACTCCTAGAAATAAAGTGGGATATTTGGAATCTTTAAGGGAAGAATATTATGCTTCAATCAAAAAACGTCTGAAATCAGGTGTTAATGGTGAAAGATATTCGATTGCTCACGTCACAGCATCTGTGATACCGACATTCAATCCTGGTCTAAGAGTATGGGAATATAACACCACAGGTTTGGATACTTTATTATCTACTTCATCTAACTACGAATCTTGGGATTCATTTTTCGAAGGGGTCGATAAATATATGGAATATTTAGATTCAGTAGACGACAATGACAATCCTTATACTGCATTTGATTATTTCACTTTCAAAAAGGATAAGACCATACCTTCCAAGAAACCTGCTAACATACCATTAGGTCCAGCTTATACTGACCAAACATTCTCTCCTACCAGATATACACAATATTATGCTGACTTGTCTGCTATAAATAAAGGAGATAAACCATTCAACTATGAATATGAGTACAGTACCGATGATAAACATTATAAAATGCAAAGCTTATTGGTGAATGATTGGTTAAAACTCGGTAGAAAGTTAGGTAAACCAGTCAAAGACAAACAAAAGGGTACAAAAGTTGATAAAAAATTAGAAACTCTTTGGGGTAAATATTTGAAGCATTCATTCATCGATTCTGATTATGAAAATTTAGGTTACGGTTAAATAATGTGTATAAATATATCTATATCTTATCTATTGAGTCTCAACTTTTTTTTGCAACAATCGACGCGATGGATATTGAATCAGGTGTTTATGAAACATCAGATATCGAAAGTGAGCCAGATATCCATGTTCCTACTGCTAGTGATAACCCTGATATAATTGAGGAAGAAATTAATACTGGCGAAGCATTTAAAAGATTTGATAATCAATTCGTCCAGGGGAAAATTAATTTCAATTATTCTGTTGATAGATCACTTAGCGATAGTGGTTTTAAAACACAATTTAAGGAAACAAAACAGAACAAATTGAACAGAATCTTGAGAGAATTGCATGAATTGGATACCGAAGATGAGGATGAAGAAGTTGACAAATTAATCAAATTAGCAGAAGATTTGAAATTGAAGAAAAAGAACGATTTGAGTGGATTTAAGGAAAGAATAATGAAAATATTTGAAGGCTTGGAAACCATTAGTCACGAAAATATAGAAGCAGAAAAATTAACTGATATAGATGAAGTTCTCGAGCTAGATAAGAAAATCAGTAAACTTGAAGGGAAGTTAGGAGACATCAATGCCACCAAATCAATCGATCAGATGCTCAATGAGTTAAATAGGAAAGTCGATATCATACATAATCCAGAGTACAAAATTGACCAAGTTAATGAATCAATCAAAGAAATCCTTGAAAAGACTGAGTTCATTAACAATTATAATGAAGTCAATGAAGGCTCTTTAGAATTATTCAAAAATGACAAAATCAATGAGCTTTTGACATTTCTACCTAATCTCCAGTCTTTTGAAAAGTCAAGTGGTTTATTGATACAAAGATTAAAGTATTTGAGTGAAATTCATTTGAAAATAGGTAGTTCTGTTGAATTTATTGATAATTTAGACCAAAGTTTGAATAATATGGATAATGAAATCAACCAGTGGAATGAATCATTGAACAATATCAACAACAAATTGGATTCTTACCAAGAAATGTTCGAAAAGAATAAAAAAGATATAGATAATTGGATTAACCAATTGAAAGAATCACGTGACTAACAAGGTTATCTATCTCGCTACAAATAACCCGCATTTTTCTGGTCGCTTAGATTTACTTCCATTTTAAATCGATGAGGGATCGAACTTTGGGGAACGGAATAATATAAAACCTGTCCATTCTTCCAATTTTTTTAATCAAGGAATTATGTTTAAGGCTTTTAGTTTAACTACTAGAAGATATTTATCTCAATTGTCCATCAATAAAATTCCCAAGATTGGCAATGAATCAGTTAAAGAGTTTAACTTGAATTCACAAGATTGGGAGTTATTGAAAAAATCAATTTCTAAATATTCATCTACCAAAGAAATCCCATTAGTTATTAATGGTGAAAAAATTTTCAAAAATGAAACCTTACCAATGGTAAATCCTGCTGATACCAAACAAGTTCTTGCCAATGTCTCACAATCATCTAAAGAAGATGTTTTAAAAGCCATTGAAGCTGCAAAACAACTGAAATTAAAATGGATGCAAATGTCCTGGTCTGACAGATCATCTATCTTCTTAAAAGCTGCCGACTTGATCTCCACCAAATACAGATATGACATGTTGGCTACTACTATGTTAGGTCAAGGTAAAAATGTTTATCAAGCTGAAATTGATTCTGTTGCAGAATTGATTGATTTTTTCAAATTTAATGTTAAATATGCTCAAGAATTATACCAACAACAGCCTGTGGAAACTTCCCCAGGAGTGTGGAATAGAGCTGAATACAGACCTTTAGAAGGTTTTGTTTATGCTGTAACTCCATTCAATTTTACTGCTATTGCTGGAAATTTAGTAGGTGCTCCAGCTTTGATGGGTAACACTGTTGTATGGAAACCTTCAGCATCTGCTGCTTTATCCAACTATTTGTTATTGGAGATCTTAGAAGAAGCTGGTTTACCAAAAGGGGTAGTCAATTTCATTCCAGGGGAGCCACAAATGGTTACTGACTTGGTTTTAGAAGACGAAAAATTCTCAGCTTTACATTTCACCGGTTCAACTAAAGTTTTCAAAGATTTATACGTTAAGATTTCTCAAAATGTTGCTCAAGATAAATACATTGATTTCCCAAGAATTGTGGGAGAAACGGGTGGTAAGAATTTCCATCTTATTCATTCATCAGCTTCAGTTAAACATGCCGCTTTATCAACCTTAAGAGGTGCTTTCGAATTCCAAGGACAAAAATGTTCAGCCTTATCCAGATTATATGTTAGTGAATCAGTTTGGCCAGAATTCAAAGATATTTTGATTAATGAAATGTCAACCATCAAACAAGGTAATGGATTGAATGATTTTATGGGTCCAGTTATTCACCAACAATCATTTGATAAATTATCCAAGGTTATTGACGACGCCAAAGCCGATGCTGAACTAGAAATCTTAAGCGGTGGTGAATATGATCAATCTAAAGGATTTTTTGTTAAACCTACTTTAATTGAATCCAAAAATCCTAATCATGATAATTTCAAAAATGAATTCTTTGGTCCTATTTTAACTGTTTACGTTTATAAGGATGCAGAATTCTCAAATATCTTATCAAGCATTGACAGTATCACCAAGTATGGATTAACCGGAGCTGTCTTTGCCAATGATAGGGAAGTTGTCAGAGAAGTTGAAGAAAAATTACGCTATTCAGCTGGTAACTTCTATATCAATGATAAATCCACTGGTGCTGTTGTAGGACAACAATGGTTTGGAGGTGCTAGAATGTCTGGTACTAATGACAAAGCTGGAAGTGGTAACATTTTAAATAGATTTGTTTCAATCAGAAACATTAAAGAAAACTTCTACGAATTAGGAGATTATAAATATCCATCCAACAATTAAAAATATTCATAGTAAATAGTATAATTAATGACTCATATAATAATTCTACATAAACTAACGGAATAACCTACCAACACCACTACAGACGGGACAAAGGTCTTCGTCCAACAAAAAATGAACAACACCAGAGCCTCTACAACGGCCACACAAAGCTCCACCTAAACGAGGATCCCCAGGTCGTACTCGGATTGGAGGTGGAGGTGGAGATTGGAATTGGCCAGGTGGTGGTCCGCCAGGAAACTGGTTGAAAAATTGATTTGGTATAGGGCCTGAATAATTGGCTGATGATGGACCAGGAGTGAAAAAATTCGTGGTTGTAGTGGACCCGAACAAATCATAAGATGTCGATGAAGATACTCGTACTCCATTACGAGGGGCGAATCTTTCATAACAATCCTTACAGCTCCTACCATTCTTTGTCTTGGTACCGGTATTGTTACATTTCGAACAATAGTAGCTCTTGGGGTATTTCCAATGTAAATTTGGATTGGGATTATAAGCATTCTTTCTTAAATAGTATTGTTCCCAACAATTGGTACAGTATTTTCCATCAGGCTTGTAACCTGTATTCTTACATCTCTTGCAAAAAACACCTTTTCTATACCTCCAGGGTAGACTTAGATTAGCAGTATATATATCATTCTCGCTGGGTCTAGGTGGTTGATCTGGGGGCCTTGATGGCATTGTGGGTGGATGCGGAGGAGGGATTGGAGGTCTAGAATGATTTTGTGAGGTATTGGGTGCCTGGTATGAATTACCTGTACTTCCATACGGTGGACTATTCAAACCAATGGCCTCTTCATAGGTTGGTGGAGGTTTATCTTCATCCATGATAAGTGCGAAAAAAAATACATGATTTGGTTATCAGAGAGGCAGAGTAAGTAAACAAGTTTTAGTTTCGTGTCATGTTGAGAAGCATACAACATTCAACATAGCTTGAGGTAGCTACACAGCTGAGATTGGAAGTTGTTTGATTGTTGACTCGAATACAAGGTAGAAAGTGCGTTTTTACTAACAAAAAGAATTTGGTGTAGGATTCACCAGTTTTGGTGTTCTATTTTTTATCTTAGGAATAATGACATTTTTTGATTCAGGATTCTTAGCACTAGGTAACATATTATTTGTTATTGGTATAATTTTGATTATTGGACCCCAGAGAACTATTACTTTCTTTACAAGACCTACCAAAATAAGAGGAACGGTATTCTTCGGGTTGGGAATTTTGTTAATTTTGATGAAAAGAAGTTTCATCGGATTCATCATTGAAAGTTTTGGTATTCTTGGATTATTCGGAGACTTTTTTGGTACAATTGTAACATTTTTGAGGTCCATCCCTTATATTGGTGATGTTTTAAGCAATCCTTTGATAGCTCCAACTATAGATAGATTAGCAGGTGTTAACACTTTACCTGTTTGATATAATAAATAATTTTATTAAAGGAAGAACCTCAGATTGAAAATTCACTTTCGAATTCTAACCCTTTGTCCTACTCTCTCCATCTCATCAGCAAAATTTCATCTTAACTTACTTTTGCTTAGCCAAGACGATCCCCTTTAGCCACAAGAGCTTTCTATCGGATATTACAGTACTACGATGTATATAAAGTTTCTCTATATTTAAATTAAACTTTTACGGAAAACAGCGATCATTACGAAGACAAGTCTGATAACATTTCTTACGAATGATCTCCGTTAGACTTTACCTATCCACAGTCCAGACATTAAATCCTAAAGTTAGCTCCAACTTGTCACGGTGGCTCAGTAAGTGAGACAGGTGACTCCGATTAATGTAAATTAAAGCCTATGTGATATCTTATTTCTTTGGTATGTCTTTCGGTCCGGATGTTGATAATATTTAGAGTTTAGAACCGGAGACATTGATACAGTAACCATTTAATTGCGCTTTCTACTTATGAATCTACTATTAGGGAAAATACTAAGATTTTGGTTACTATTTAGGAAGTTTAAGAAGTCGTACGAGAATCTCAGAAGAGTGCATTTTATATGGGTGTACGGAAGTTTGTGCCTAATTGGGAATGGTTTAATTGATAAAATCAGACCAGAATACATATTTGGGGTACAGAGAATATAATCCTTAAAATAAATAAATCTCTACACATGATGGTTAGTGACCGATAAGACAAATATATGCATGGTCTTCAATGAATAGGAAAGGTGTCTGGACTTTTCGGGAGCACCTTCAAAACCCATAGAATTCATGAACGAAACTAATGGATCTATCCTTGGCCAATTTGCCACACTCATCTATTAATGTCTCTGGCCCACAGCATATCAATAAATCTCCTTGATAACTTGTGAGTAAGGGACGACCATCTTTGAAAGGACGAACATTATCTTCGTTAGTGAGTAGTTCCATTTCTACTTCATCAGCTCTACTTTCTTCGCCCTCTTGGCTGGTAGTATAATTTGGACTGTTGGTTACATAAATGTCCCAGTCGTCACCTAATCGGAAATAATCGAGAATTCCGAGATCTTTCTTATTTCTTGTAACCCAAATGGTTTTGATTTTCGTTAAATCGAACTCGGGGAATTGTCTATAATAATTCAAAATTGATATGGCATATCCAACACCACTGCCCCCTACTACCAAAAGAACTTGGTCATATGACTTCAAACTCAACTTGGAATTATATGGATATGAGACAAGATATGGACTTAGTGAAGGTTTGAATCTATGACGATTGTTGATAACTAAATCTAATGTGCCTTTCGTGTCTTCGTTTTCACTCATACTAGCATTGGCACTAGTAGGACTAACATCGTTGTTTGAGGAACTTCTTTGAATAAAAGTAAAAGGATGCGAGGGAAGGAAATAGTTTGACCAGTTCATTACACTAAGTCTCAAATGGGATCCTGGCAATGTTAATGGGAAGTTTTCAGGCATTTCGAAAGATAAGACTGTAAGATCTCCGAAGGTTTTCAAGTCATGGACGACTGCCTTATTTACATTGAATTTGGACATTATCTGGAAAATCAAACAGATTACGTTAATTATGGTAAGATAATCAACACCCGGTCTTGCATGGAAATCTATCAACCCTATGAATAATATTAAAGTCACATTATGAATCAAATAAAAAAGTACATAATTGATTCTTCTGAATGGTTTTAAAGAAAATACAGCTAAGATCGAAAAAGCCAAAAATATGGCAAAACCTAATGAGTTTTCCCACTTGAAAAACTTCGTTAAGAAGACTCCTTGTAGAACCCATCTTACAAGGAACCCAACACTGTGAATAGAGCCTAGGAATAGTATCAACCGAGATATCCATTTGTGTGTAGTTATTAGGTAAATATAATTAATAAAATTGGGACGTATCACCAATAGTATATCCAAGGTAACCAAAACATAACTGAATCTTCCAAACCTCTTGAGAAATGCCCCCCAATTGAATTCATGCAACAAACTGATGAAAGTTGCAATTAAGATGATCAGCCAAATAATGCCATGAATTATGAGTGGCACATGTTTCATCGAGGATTTCAGGTACAACCGGTTGAAATTTCGAATATTCAAATAGATTAGAAAAGCATAATATATCAACGATATGAATAGGAGAATATAACCCCATTTCACATTGATGAAATGATGATCACCATGCCTCTTATCTATCAACATCAATTCGCGATGTTTTAGTTAGGATTGGAAAATTCTAGAAAGTATGCATCACTTAGGGGTTGATTAGAGACATGAGAACCGATCCGAGAGGAAATATGATTCCAGAAAATGTTGGTACCTAAATCCCAGCCTCAATGTTTGACTTCACAACCAGGTTGTTGTGGCAAGTCTGAGATTATCAGACACTTGGAAATCCGTTGCAGCGGTTTGAAAGTATAATTGAGAAGAGGAGAAAATTAACATGCGATATTCTCGGATTTGTAAGGAGTTATGACATAGAAATCTAAGGAACACCGTTTGTCTGTAACAAGGATCTTGACGACTTTTAATTATCCACTTACCTCACCACATCACCACCCACAAAATTTATTTAGGTTACATCACTTTGCTTAGCCCTTCCTCACTAGGTATATAACCGATCGATCTACAACATTTGTCTGAAACATTCTTAGTTAACGACTAATAAATAACCGACTTGCACTTATTGTATTACTTCACCACTACTTATCCACAAGATTGGAAATATTACATCACCAATACTTTGAACGCCAAAAAAATAATTTTCACTATCCTCACATTTACCACGTCATTATTCACAAATCCACGTAAACCACACCTTTCAAGACACATTCGACACTCGTTTCGTCACTTTTGAGGAAAATGATGAGGAAAAAACGGTTTATTTCCTGATTGGGAATTGTGTCTCAGAATGAGATCATAGAGAGAGGTGTACTAGCCACCGGATTTCCATGCCTCCTTTCTGTGGCCATGAGGCTCAAAATTTTTTTTGTCTCAAGAATCACCCTTCGTGCATAAATGTTCTCCGGTAGAAATTCTTAGGTCATCATGAGAATTATGATCGATGAAAGACACTTGTGGCACAACTGAGACAATTCATGAGACACTTGTTCTCAGAAATGCTATTGTATAAGCTATGACTTTATGTTGAATTCTAATCCAAATAAGAATCAAGGAGATACTTATCATGATATTTTTTCACTAGTATTGTTGCCTAACCCTCAGACACCACTTTGTTCATATTTAATCGATATATTAAGTTTATTTTTTAGAGATATTTTTTGTTACATTTCCATAATAATTTCTCTCGCCTCAATCAACTTTTAGGTTTAGAATTTCAAAAGAAAAGATGACTTCACCTCTATTAGCCACCGATGTCTTAAAACTTTACCACTCTTGGTGGATAGCACTTTCTAGTATAGGTGGGATCCTTTTATTCAACAATAAGAGTAAATCTGGTTAAGCTTTTACTTATTGTTGAACAAAGGGCAAAAAATTGATAATAATCTTTTTATCATCAATAAAAATATTGTGCTCTATTGTAGGAGAATCCAAATTAGTATATGCATTTTCCAGAAAAGTTGAAAAGTTGATGTAATGGAATTCCTCACTCGCCATAAAATTTTGTCGCAGTGATGTAAGAAAATATTTTTTAGTGGTTGAGCTGTGGATAATTCATGCGAGCTCCTGCATGATACGGAATCACAGGATTAAATGTGAAAAAGATACTTTGATAACGGATATCAACGTATTCCAGTAGGAGTTAATGAATACGGTGATCTTTCCAATGCCGAATGGAAAAGGCTAAGAACACATTTCCTTACTCACTTTATTAAAAAAAGTTAATGAGTTTAGAAGATTAACCGAGATTTCTGTGATACGTGGAAAATGTTACATCATTTGATTTCTCACTTAAGAGAAGTTTGGTGGTAAATCTAGTGAGAGCCTCGCTAAAAATCACTCGATTATGGGGAATCGACATTTCGCTGAAACAAAAATGCCTTTGTTTCATGCAATATTTTGGCCGTCATGGTGTCTAATCCGGAAATAATTGTGTGTCCAGATTTTCTTTTGCTTGAAAGGGTCGTGGTTCTGAGACAAGCGCATTATCATACACGACATCAACTAAAAATAATTCTTTGAGAAAAAAAAAAAAAATAGGACATTTTGCAGAGGTCTTATATTTTCAGACACAATTTTATGATTATTTAAATACAGACTCATTACCCTTTTTTAATTATATATTCCAAAAATTATAAACTGATATATTCAATATACTAAAAGTTTATAATCACACACATATACAAAGATAAATTAGATATTAATCATGTATAGTAAAGAATCTGCCAAATGGAAAGCATATCAATTTTGCGATCCTTTTGCAACTAATGCATTCGTTGTTGCCAACAAAATTAATCAAATTTATTGCAGACCAGACTGTGATTCCACCCCAAAGACTAACTTGAAGAATGAAATCAAATTCTTTGACAATGCCAATGAAGCTAATAAAATCGGTTTCGTACCTTGTAAACATTGTGATCCAAATGGAAAATCTTTAATCGATGTAGAATTATTGATGCAATGTGTAACTAATATTAATGACAAAATTGGATTTTTAAAACCTTTGATAGATGAAAATGAAGATTTGAATAATGTCAAAATTAAAGAAAATATTTTAATCTCCAAAAAATCTAACGAAGAAACCATTATGAATGTATTGGATAAGAGTACTGGTAATGATTATAAAAGAAGACAATCAATGCCAAACTTGAAATCTATTGATTCCATCAACTTATCCAAAAACGATGGTGATCATTATAGATTGGTTGATTTAGCTTGTAGACATTTAGCCTATGCTGCTGCCATCAATTTATTCTTCCCACAAAAATTTTTAGAAGATGACAGTAACGTAAGCATTGGTAAAGATGGTAAGAAGAAAAGAAGAAGAGGTGGAGTTTTAGGATTCAAAGAATTGGCTGCTAAATCCAAATTATCAGCTTGGCATTTCCACAGAGTTTTCAAGAGTGTTACTGGTTTAACACCTAAAAACTACGGTGACAAATGTAATGATTTCTTAGAAAAATTCAAAGATTCTAAATACATTAACCACAATTCAAACCATAATTCTAATGTCTACAACAAAAATATTAATGATACCACCTTGCACAATGATAATGACGAATTTAATTTAACCAAATCAGACTCCTTACCTGATTTGACCAAATTTAGTTTACCAACTACCCAATTGAATTTACCACAACAAATTGAACATTTTGAATCTTCGCCTAAATCACAACCAGTTATTCAAAATATCCAAAACACTCCACTTCAATTAAATGACGGACAATTTGAAAGTGTTTTCGATATTCCTGAATTAACTCAAGATTTAGAGATCAACGAATTACTTTCATCATCATCAACATCTTCATTCACACCACCAAATTCATCTCCAGAAGCCGCTCCTTCATTGTTCAACTATGAAAAACCTTATTACAACCCAATCAGCATCAATAATTACAATTTACCATTAGACAATTCTAATATAAATTATTTGAACATGAATGGTATGAATAATAGTTTTATGAACAATAATGCTGGCTTTATGAACAATACTATGAACAATATCAATTATGTCAATAATGTTGACTTCGAACTTGATGAATTTAATGATCTTAATGAATTTTTAACTACCGTATGATAGAATGTATATTATGAGTTTTTCACAATTCACTCTCTCCTAACCACTTTTCTCTGTATTAAAATTTGGATTTTTGAATAAAAATCATGTGAATATTGTCGAACATTCTAAAAGCTCGTAGAGGTGATTCCACCACTATCTTTAGTCTAAAGATAACTATTCCTACTAAAATTAAATTACTTGCATAGATCCGCTTTTTGCACTGTGGCCGAGCAACTCTCGGTTAAAATTTCATGTTTGCAAATCTGAGTAACCTGAAATTCGTCTAATATTGTTAAAATCCTTTCTCCTTAAAGTGCAGTTATAATCAAATAAAGATCAGCCGCGTAAGCTCCTATCTTAAATAATGCCGTAAGTTTATTCAGTGTTAGCTTGCCTTGTAATTCATGATTTTCCGTCTCGCAGGTTTTGTTATTAAACTTTAAAACTGTTCCTGAAATTTGTCCGCCTACCCGTCACCATCACTAAATTACCTACCGGAATCATATCGAAATGTGAAAACATTTATGGGCATAAGGTCAAAGGATACATCAGATGATATTTCTCTTGAGAAAACTTATTTCCGGTTAGTTAGAGTGAGGACGATAATAATATTGAGGTTTACGAGGATATTTTTTGAACAGTAAACGTGATTACATTGAATAACACCCGAAGGCTTTCCCATTTTGGCCTTATCATGTCTGGTTTGGTAAATAATATTGGTGATGGCTTGCCATGATTGTCTTTCATGAATCATAAATTTTGCATCTATTGTTTCAACCTAATTTCCAGGGAGCATTGTTGAGTGATTACCCAGCTTTTATTGTTTTCAAGTAACTGTATTTCCCTTTTCAGGGTTTGATACAAAGCTTTTGCCTTGCACGTGATGTCCCTATCTTCAGAAAGTATTTTATTGAAATCCCCAATTTGTCGTGTAAGCTTTGTTACCTCATGATACATGAGAATTGGAGAAGTCAATGCGTCGCTTATGTAATCAAGGGTTTTAGGGGTAATTTGTCTGCTGCTCAATTTTTCAGACACAAAATGTGAAGGTAGTGCGATGATCGATCATCATTCTCTGTAGTTATGCAATAGGTGATGGATTTTCCACTAGGAAAGTTCCATTCGAAGAATCTCCAGATCTCTACCTTGATGCTATGATGCTCCAATAAACTTTGCAGCCATAAATGATTTCTCCATCTGGTTCTGAAGATTTTGTAGTGGCTAGAAAATCTGGTGTTACAGGATTGCAATCTCCAGAGTTCAACGCTAGAGTTGATGATAATTATTGGCGTGTGAATTTAAATCAGTGCACAAATTGATCAAAGATGTTGCCCATAATAGAACTTCATGCATTGGCCGGCAATCCACCCCATAATTTCAATTCTTTGGCATCCGGCCTTGTCTGAAACATCTGAATTTGGCCGTATTGTATCATTCCATGGACCGAACTTCAATCTCACTGATTTCTCTATCGCAGTGGCTGCAAAAGGCTGTCTTTTCGGTTCACACATTTGTGCTCTCCAATAGTCACAAATCAATAACAGCTGGGGCTGATAGCGCTTTCCATTGTCAGCACTTACTCTGGAGCCAAGATCGTTGGTACTTTTATTTTTTTTTTTTTTCGTTTGAGAATCATTGATTCACAATTACTAATCATGTATTTCGAATCCTTCATTCATCCCTGAAGGCTCAGATGAGGTTTCTTGGAGCATCAATTCGACATGCTGCCCGCCTTCCTATTTTGCCGAATAACCTATATAACCGAAACTTATCAGTTAAAACCGATATACAAGGACTTTTGGATTTGTAAACCTTTCTTTCGGCCGCAGGACGGAATTAATATCAGTGGATACCATTCTTACCATAAGCCAAACATCACTAGATACTATGTTAACAGAGACCCGTCTGACAGTATTTACACCTTGGTGTCTCTACACGTTTTATCTGGCGTAACGATGTCATTTTCTAGATTGAAATATTGTTCTTTTCTTCGGTCGGTTTTTTTCGGTCCAAAATGCACAATGCTAACAAATCTAACGGCTAAGCATCGGAGATGCTATTTTGTATATTTCAGAATTACTAATTACATCACAATCTGAATCTTATATAAATAGAGGGAACAGTTCACTGAATTATCTATCAATCATAAAAGATGTCTGATTTAGTACAAATTACAAGTTTAGCTGATACCAAGGTTTTCGAACCCTTAAAGGTCGGTGATATAGAATTACAACACAGAGTGGCTTTCCCACCAACTACAAGATATAGAGCAAATGACGACCATACCCCATCGACTTTGAATCTCCAATATTATAAAGATAGGGCTTCAACTCCAGGAACGTTACTCGTTACAGAGGGTGTCCTTGTTTCTCCAAGACTCGGTCTTCATAGAAATGCTCCCGGAATCTGGAGTGAAGAACAGGTCAAATCATGGAAAAAAATCACTGATGCAGTTCATGAAAATGGATCTTTCATTTCAATCCAATTATGGGCTTTAGGGAAAGTCGGTGATCCAGAATACATGAAAGAATTGGGATTGGACCTTTTAGCTCCTTCGGCAATCTTCGATGGTAAAGACAGCGAAGAAGCTGCCGAAAAAGTGGGTGTTTCTTTGAGATCATTAACTGAGGAAGAAGTTCAATCGATTATCGTAGATGACTTTGTAACTGCAGCCAAAAATGCTGTTGCTGCCGGTTTTGATTTTATTGAGCTTCATAGTGCTCATGGATATTTATTAGATACATTTTTACAGATATCTTCCAACAAACGTACTGATAAGTACGGTGGTTCGATTGAAAATCGTTCAAGATTCATTCTTGAATTAGTAGACCAATTGGTTGCATTAGTTGGACTGTCCAAGCTTGCCATTAGAATCTCACCATATGCCACTTTCCAAGGTATGCATGGTGTTGACAGTGAAATCCATCCTTACGTCCAATTCGGATACTTATTACATGAATTACAAAAAAGGGCTAACCAAAAGAAAGAATTGGCCTACATTTCTATTATAGAACCAAGAGTTAACGGAACCTCGAATTTGAAAGAAGAAGTTGCTAGTTCTAACCAATTCGTATTGGATATCTGGAAAGGTATTGTCTTTAGATCAGGCAATTACGTATATGATGCACCGGAATTTAAAACCTTAAAGAAAGATGTGGAAAATGACAGGACTATTGTTGGATTCGCCAGGTTCTTCGTTACAAATCCTGACTTGCCATTGAGATTGAAAAATGGATGGGCCTTACAAAACTATGTCAGGGACCTTTTCTATAACGTCAAGGAAAATTGGGGTTATAATACTTGGACAAAATTTGGTGAAGAGAACAAATATGTTGAAGCTGAAGAACGGGCAAGGCGTTCAGAGTCACTTTTAGTCTGAGTTCAGATCATTTTCGCCATTGTATTCTCATGAATAGTCCCCATAAGGGAGTCTTAGATTGTTTTATAGGAAATAGGGAATGTTAATTTTCTTTTAATAAGCGCAATTTATGCTCTGATTTTTCTAAATCTCTTCTTACCATAATTGATTTCCCTTTCTTAGATTTGACATGTTGTCAGCCGATTTACACCTGATGTCCAACGAGCATAAAGTTGGTCGTAGATGCATACTTTACCGAATACGGCACATTACGTTGAATTTTCCCATCTTCAAATCGCAACGGCTGCAAAAAATTGACAAGCCGTCACCCAATCACTGGGGAATGCATACATACACACTGGTTTTCAAACTTGTGAATACTCTCGTTTTGACTCTATCAATGACGTGATGTTCTAATTATGGAGTGGTGAATAGTTGAGAAATTGTTGATTCACGATTACTAATCATCGCACGAGTCAAAACCGACTCTTGAACAAATTCTTTACCGTTAAAGAGTTGATCTGACTAGAGAAATGTTGCCCACCGACTTCTAATCTATCGTCATGATCACGCAATTAGACATATGAAAAACCCTCGATTCTTCATTCGATTATCGACGATTGTTATTGAGATGAGATTTTCATATTTCCATTTTCTCATCGCATATGTCACTGAACGCACTATTGATTCCCAATTTGTAAACATGACTTCCCAGCCGTCTCAACATCTTCGGTTCCGAGGGACAATTTTCAACTATCCAGCTCTCATTCAGCGTCAAGGCTTCCAATTGTTCACAGTGAAGCTGTCATTCGTGTAAGTATTCTGAACCAACACATAATAAAGACCAGTTTAGAGTTAAAGTTTTCTATCTAGGTTCTCTTTCATTTGCCAATTTTCCGATAACGTCAGATCTCACTTTTCTCTACTCATGCTCATCATGTAGGATTACTAATTACACCACAGCTGTGAGAACTATATAAATTGCGCAGCATCCCATGAATATCGATATCAATCATAAAAGATGTCTGATTTAGTACAAATTACAAGTTTAGCTGATACCAAGGTTTTCGAACCCTTAAAGGTCGGTGATATAGAATTACAACACAGAGTGGCTTTCCCACCAACTACAAGATATAGAGCAAATGACGACCATACCCCATCCACTTTGAATCTCCAATATTATAAAGATAGGGCTTCAACTCCAGGAACTTTACTTGTTACAGAGGGTGTCCATGTATCCCCAAGACTCGGTCTTTATAGAAATGCTCCAGGAATTTGGAGTCAAGATCAAGTAAAAGCATGGAAGAAAGTTACCGACGCAGTCCATGAAAATGGATCTTTCATCTCAATTCAATTTTGGGCTTTAGGAAGGGTAGCTGATCCACAATACATGAAAGAATTAGGCTTGGATCTTTTGGCCCCATCGGCTGTTTTTGACACCAAGGAAAATGAAGAAGCTGCTAACAAAGCAGGTACAAAATTGAGATCAATTACAGAAGAAGAAATTCAGTCAATTATTTTGGAAGATTACACTACCGCAGCTAAAAATGCTGTCGCTGCTGGGTTCGATATCATAGAACTTCATGATGCTCATGGATATTTATTAGATACATTTTTACAATCATCTTCCAACAACCGTACTGATAAATACGGTGGTTCAATTGAAAATCGTTCAAGATTCATTCTTGAGTTGATTGACCATTTAACCGAAATTGTTGGACTGTCCAAGCTTGCTATTAGAATCTCACCATATGCCACTTTCCAAGGTATGCATGGTGTTGACAGTGAAATCCACCCTTACGTCCAATTCGGATACTTATTACATGAATTACAAAAAAGGGCCGATCAAAAGAAAGAATTGGCCTATGTTTCTATTGTGGAGCCAAGAGTTAGTGGAAATTTGAATGTAGAAGGGGAGATTACCACCTCTAACCAATTTGTATTAGATGTTTGGAAAGGCATTATTTTTAGATCGGGTAATTACGTGTACGATGCACCAGAATTTAAAACCTTGAAGAGAGATGTCAAAGATGGCAGAACTATTGTGGGTTTTTCCAGATTTTTCATCACAAATCCTGATTTACCCTTGAGATTGAAAAATGGATGGGCCTTGCAAAACTACGTCAGGGACCTTTTCTATAACGTCAAGGAAAATTGGGGTTATAATACTTGGACAAAATTTGGTGAAGAAAACAAATATGTTGAAGCTGAAGAAAGAGCCAAAGGTCCAAAACCCATCGAAATTTCTTAAGCCACCCGTTTTGTCCGGGTTATAGACCTTAAAAACTTTGAGGAATATCAAAAAGGGCGAACTTACGTAGATTTATAGAAAATGCATGATTTCTTATTCGTCATAATCGCCAATTTGAGAAATGGTAGCGCCTAATCTCCCATATATGAACTTATGACAGGCCGTGCTGATTAATCTGCGGATTTAAGCAGAGGTAAGTTCAAATGTTCACCATAGTTAACACATAGCGGCACGTGATTTGTTTGTCATCAGTAACTCATCTGCATTATGGTCAATTACCATAAATTATGAACAGTATGCCTATCATGTCTACAGTTATTGAAGAAGCTTTAGTCAACGATGAATTCTTCCAATATCATAAGCTTGAAGGATACTAAAGTATTTAACCCCATCAAAGTTGGGAATATCGAATTATCCCACCGTATAGCCCTTCCTTCTTTGACAAGACTTAGAGCCAGTGTTGATAACATTCCATCCGATTTAAATTTGAAGTACTATGATGACCGATCCCAAACTCCAGGAACTTTGGTCATGACCGAAGGGTTGGTTGTTTCACCGGAATTAGGTACTATTAGACACGTCGCAGGTATTTTCTCCGATAAACAAGTTGAAGCGTGGAAGAGAATCACTGATAAAGTCCATGAAAACGGATCGTTCATTGGAGCACAGTTGGTTGCTTTTGGTAGACTGTCTGAAGCATCATATATGAAAGAATTAGGTTATGATATGTTAGGTGTTATGGCAGAACATATTGATTCACAGACCCAGAAGTATGCTGAGGATGCTGGAGAGAGTATCAGACAAATCACTGAGGAAGAAATCAAGGAAATTTTATTGAGAGATTTCATAAGAGCCTCTCAAAATTCATTTGATGCTGGGTTTGATTTTGTTGAAATTCATGCTTGTAGTGGATATTTCCTCGACACTTTCTTGCAGTCATCATCCAACAGAAGAACCGACAAATATGGAGGGTCGATTGAAAACCGTGCCCGACTCATTCTTGAAGTAGTCGATATTTTGGTTGCAAAATTTGGAGCTTCCAAATTGGCTTTGAGAATTTCACCTTGGAACTATTATCAAGAGATGAAGGGTGAATTCGATGATTGTCATCCTTATGCCCAGTTTAGTTATTTGTTGAAGGAGCTTCAAAAAAGAGCTGAATCTGGGAACGAACTCGCATGGATCTCAACAGTCGAACCAAGAGTTAGTGGAAGTGAAGATTCAGCTGTCAAATCTTCGGTTTCAAACAACTTTATGTATGACATTTGGAAAGGTAAAATCTTCAGATCCGGGGGTTATGGCTACTCAGCCCCAGATTTTGAAACAGTTTTGAACCATGTAGATAACGACAGAACTATTCTCGGTTTCGGAAGATTGTTCACTTCCAATCCTGATTTGGTTGACAGATTGAAAAACGGTTGGGATTTGTCTATCTATGATAGAGACACCTTCTATCTTTATGTGAATTGGGGATACAACACCTTCAACAAATATGGTGAGGACATCAAATTCTCAGAAGAACAGGAAATGGCTAGAACTCCAAAAGCTTTGGTTTAGGCATGCAGTTGATATTAAATTTTATAGAGTATTAGAAATAAAGCAAAATATATAATACATTCATTAGATCATTTATAATTGTCTTTTTGGTATCAGAATTTCAATTTTTTTACTTCATTTCCATCATCACTCATTTTCCTCTTTTCTTTAGAATTTTGAATCGACTTATCTAATTCACTCACTGAGGGCAATCTCTCCTTATCTTCCATTATTCCTAAACCAAAATTGGAGTTTAAATTGGTTTGGGAGGGTGTAGTAGTTATATTAGCAGGTGGGTTTAAAGTGGTAGTGTTTGTGGTATTAGCATTTGAATGAATTGATTGAGTTTGAGTGTCTTTAGTTCCAGGGACGGTATTAGAAGAACTTTGTGGAGTCAAATTACTTGGAGGTTGGGCAAATTGGGTTGTTTGAGCTTGAGTTTGATGTTGTGGAGTAGATTCTCTTCTTTGATCAATAGAATTTCTAGGAGTTGGAGGATCCATGACAGGAAAATAATCTCTTGACATAGGACTGTAACTTCTAGATGCTCTGTTAAGTTGCTGAGGGGGGTGATGAGGGTTGAGGAATGGAGCACTCGTTGGGAAAGGAGAAACTGGAGTGAAATGAGGACTTTGGTGGTGAGGACTGTTTGGGGAATTGAGTGGAAACGGTTGATAATTTTGAATTGGTATCTGATGATGAGGTGGAATTTGGTGAGGTGGCATATGAGGAGGTCCGATATGAGGAAGGTGCTGGTTTGAAGGATTATTGACAGATTGAGGAGAACTTTGCAATTGACTTGGGGGATTTGCACCGTTCTGACCATTTGGACCACTTTGAACGTTTGGTGGATGTTGTAAATGACTTCCTGGTTGAGGAATCGATTGGGTTGAAGGACCTTGAGGGTTTTGTTCTGGTCCAATACTAACACTTTTATTACCATGAGATGCCCTTAAACTATAATAAGGATTTAAAGGGTAATAATTGACCCCTCCTTTTAAAAAACCCTCATTCACGATGATGGATTCATTCAAATTTGAAATCAATGAATTTTTGAAGTTATTCAAATCGTTCAAATTGTTTGATTGTAAAATTTCGATCAATTTTATAAGGTTCTTCTGGCTGAACTTATAATCATTCAAGAAATAATCAAATTTATTCAATAAATTGGATAGTTCGTACTTCAAATTGTTAAAATTATTCAATAATTCGAGATATTTATCAATGGAAATAGAATTTTGTAAGTTTATTTGATTGTTGACAAGATTTTGATGGTAACTTGAAATATCATCAATTTGAGATGAAGCATTAGAACTATTCGTTGGTAAAGGAGGGGGGCCATTTGATAAATTTTGGAAATTGAGACCTGCATTGGAAGTTGACCTTGAATTACTCTGACTTGATGGGGTTGTTGGAGCCAAATTATTGGTGGGTTGATTCAAACTTAAATTGCTTTGAGGAGAGTAATTATTATTACTGATCAATATTTCTTTGGTGATGTTCTTTGAACTTCTACGTTTGATTAACTTCAAGCTCTCTATATCGCCTCTTTTGAATTGTCCATTACTATGCTTGAATTCCCATTTTACTATCTTATCCTTTTCATCTTTATCTTTGAGATCTTTCTCCTTTTCGGGTTCTTGATCATCAGTTTCAATTTCTTCCTTTATTTCATCATTTACTATTCTATCGACATTTTTTAAAGGACTACTCTCATTTGATTTATCAAACCTGAAATGGTTTGTTTCATAATCTTTTGATTTATCAATATTTACATTATTATCGCCATTATCTCTATCATCTCTATCAATTTCTTTATCATCTTTTTTATCATCTTTTAAATCATTAACTTTGTGGAATCCATACATATTTAGCTGTCTTATAAAACTAGCTATATTGGTATGTTTAAAGAAGAATGATAATACTTTTGAAAATTCTTCATTAGGGATAATAAAGAAAGAATCACCACTCTTACTCCACCAAATTAGATGGTTCAAATTAGAATCTAATAACATATCATATAACTTATGAATAAATATGATTTGTGGTTTATTAGAAGACTTCGGTTTACCTATTTCAGGTAAACTATTAGATCTTTGACTCATTAGCAAAGTTGAAAATTCTCAAGATTCAAAACCAATTTGAGATTATGAGATTATGAGACGTATGGCAATTTGTGAGATTACGTGAGAGTAGCTCTTTGTTAACGAAAAGTTCATTCATGTGACTAGCAACTTTACATATTACGAATAGGTTGGATTTAAGTTCCCCTTAAATATTCCGTTTTATTGTTCTACCAATAATTAGCAAAAACAATTGGATAACTTTCGAGAAGCCGGACATAAAAAATGTGACTTCTTCTATGGCCCCTTATTTTTCCGTTCATTCAAATTTTCCTTCCACTTTAATGGACCCATAATATTTTTTAAGTGATATTATGATGTTGAAGCCATCATCAAGGGAACACCAAAAATACTTTTTATTTAGTAATTTAGTACAATGTACATTTAAAGTTTGAAATTCGGAATGGAACTTTAATTTAGATTTAGATTGTGGAAGCTCCTTCTATTCCCCATTGAGTAATATTCATAGAAAAATATATTTCATCTCAAAAATAAAAGAAATGCTACATGAAACTAATAATAAGTTCATCCCTTCATAGATTGTTATAATAGAAATCTATATATTGACAAACATTAAATCTATCAATAGATTTTTACTATAATGCAATGGAAGACAATGCGGTTCTTAAAAAGAATATGAACAAACAGAAAAAAAGCAATTTCGAAAGGCAATAAATCTTCCATAAAATCTTATCTTAAAAGTTTCTTTATTCCTCTTATTCAGTGGGGAAATACACAAATAAGGAAAGATGATGATTAAGTTTTATTTTTCATTTCTGCCCATAGGGCTCTAGTAGTATATTTTCAGTCATACATTTTCGCATTACTATAACTGGTTAATTAAAAGACCCTATATATATTCAGTTAAACTGAAGTAGCTCAACAATTTTTATCGCATGAATCATTCCTCTGTATTCTGTAAAAAAATATTGTCACTCTTCTTTATTGTTAATTCTCGCTTAAAGATTGGATTTCATTAGTCATTCAATCAAACTTTTGGTATTATATTCCATCTCGAAAAATTTCATTGGATATTTCCGAAAAAGAAATATTGCGAAAAGGATTAAAAAGGATTTCTCATCCAGTTTTAGCGTTTTTATTTAATAAGGATAAAAGAATAATTAATATAATATAATAAAAAAGTCGATAAAAAATTCAAACAACATAGTATTCAAAGATTTTAAAAGCATATAAGAAGTAAATTTAAAGGAAATAGTCATTAATACCAGATTTTTAACAAAATGAATCAGTATAATAATAATGAAATTTTTAATCCCATGTATAAGGATGACGAAGTTGACAACAAATCTTTTAAGAATTTACCAATGGATATTAAAAATCAAATCAACGAAAAAATAGATGAAAACTTATCAAATCACCATCCAAGTGTATCAGGTAGTTCATCAAACAATTCATCAAATGTACCATCCACCGTAGCAACAAATTTACATTCAAATAAATTGAATATCGATAGCAAAAGAAAGAAAATAAATTTCAAGAAACAAAGATCAAGATCTTTACCAATCATAAATTTCAAAACCAATGAAAAGAAATTAATCATACCTTTAATACCACCTATTAACATTAATTCATTAAAAGAGATTGACCTCAATGAAATTTTAAAGAATCCTCAATTAAGACATGATATCTTATTCGATCCACAATTACAATTTAGACCTAATTTAGATGGTGAAAGAGGAAAAAGAAAAAGATCAATCATTGATAAGTACTGGAATGAAATCTATCATGAATGTTTGCAATTTTTCCCAGAAAATACCGTTAGTAAACCTAAATTAATTAGATTACCAAACTTGTTCAGAACTTTAAAGGAAATCTTGTTAACTATTTTACCAAATAATAATGATAAAAATTTGATCAATGAAATCTTAGATATTGATTTCATTATTCAACAATTAAATTTCAAGAATTTTAACTTTTTAAGGTTATCCAACATTTTATTCCAAATTTTTAAAACTCATTGTGCACCTATAAGAGATGATTTAGTTAATTCCATGAATAAAACTTTCATCGATTCAAGCAATTTAGGTGATTGTCAAATGTTAATTCAAGGTTTGAAAAAAATCTTCCAAATCTTAGAATGTATGAAATTAGACATTGCTAATCATCAAATAAGATTATTAAGACCTGTTTTGATTGAAACTGCTATTGATTTCGAAAAAGATTATTACAATCAGTTAATCAATTTAAAAAAATTCAACATCAACGATTCAATCAACTGGTTTAATTTAATCTACAAAAAATATGAAGATACTTTAAATTTCGAAAAAATCAATAATGATAATTTGAAAATCGTATTAGCTCACGGAATCTGTGAATTATTATCATGTCAAAAAATGATTACTTCATTCCCTCCTTCATTAACTTTTGATCATACCAGATTAATTTTATTGAGAGCTGATATTAGACAAATTATTGTTTTGAAATTATGTATTATTTTATTCCAAAATTTGGTTAAATCAAACAATTTGAATACCAATTTGTTATCTCAAGCTAATTTAGAAGTCATTAAACAAGAAATTTTATCCATTGTAACTGATAATAATGGTAATGTTAAATGGACCAAAAATATGAATAATATTTCTTTACAATTAGTTAAAAACTTGAATTTGGAACCTAATAGTACAATTGATACTAATAAATTATTAGAATTTTCAAATAATTGGTTAAATGGTCAAATCTCACCAAGTTCAAAGGTTTATGAATTAATGGAAAATCAATTTTTCAAGAAATTACTTATTGATTTAATTCCTTCATTGAATAGTGGTAAAAAGGATGGAATCTTGGGTAGATTAATTACTTTAGTTAATTTCAATTGGGATGTTTTCGGTGACTACTACAGTAAAATCTTGGAAAATTGATTTCAAATTATGATCAGGTTATTTTTTTATATTTCACAAAGGTTACGACTTTGTTTTGCATAGATCTCTAGTAGATTGGTTGTATATTATTGCATATAGATTATTTCTAGTTTCTTCTAACGAATGTCTCTGGCTCATGTGAATGAATTTTAGAGAGTAGATATGGATAGTGGTATACAAAGAGCAATCATGAAGAGTTGTTGTCATACCATTATTCATTAATATCATCAACTTTATCACTATAATCCTCCAAAATGGATGTCAATTTTGTTTCATCCAAATACTTATCAAACAATGTATCATTTCTTGTTTCTTCAGTTTTAATTGAGGGTCCACTATCAGATTCATCTTCTTTTATTGATTCCAAAAATTCGGTGGTGAATTCACTCTCCTGTTTAACGATCGGACCAGGTGAATTGGAATACTCTTCAACATAAGTTCTACGTTCTTTGATTCTATTAATTGATCCTTGGATCATATCATTACGACTTCTCATATTTTGATGGGGTAAAACGGGTATCAAAGGTTTGTCACTAAATTTCAAATTACTCAAAATAAGTAATTGTTTACTAAGAACATACCCTGAAACCATGCCGAAGAATACACTTACAATGATGAATTGGGAAAAATTAACCACGAATTCATAAATTTGAAAAATATCAATCTCTTTAATTTGCGAAGTATATAAAATTGGATAAAATGGTAAATAAGCAGTAACTATTAAAATTTTTCCAATGTACCATATTGGTATGATGAAGAAGTTCTTAATTGGTGAAAGAAAACTGGAGATTCCGAAATTTATCAAACTAATGACCTTATCAATCATCTTATTCTTCCAACCTTCCTTTTTCCTCAACTTTGCTTTCGATATGCTCCCTTTGTATAAATCACATGCATGGTCACATGACTGGAGCAAAATTAAAAAAGAAGGAAAATTTTTTGAGGGAATAAAATTGTCTACGCAAACATCATCTATTAATAATCTAAGTGACTACAGAAACAAGCAAAGTCAATTTCATAGGAATTAATTTTTTGTTAAGAAAGATTGATTTATAATTATTAAAAATCTTTTATTTCATTTATTTTCAATAATTTTATTTAGTCATTAATTTATGACAGAAAGAAAGAGTTCGATCAAATTAAGTAAATTTTTCAATTTATCTTCAACAAGTTTATCAAGTTTAACTCATTTAAAGAATGATTCAAAGAACGAGAAGAATGATAAAGAAAAGGATAAAGCAGATACTTTGAATTTGAATTTTCAGAAGAAGATGAATCTTTTAAAAGTAGATGAGAAATTGAATAATTTACAATCTAGTACAGGTACTACATTGAATGATTCAAACCAATCATCATCAAACTTAGTATCATCTAATGTTTCATCATCAAATATATCCACTAACCCTTCAAATATGATAGGAAACAAAACCGATTTGATGAATATTGATGAGAACGAATCACTCCCGATTTCATCGCCACCTATGAATCCTTCTCCAGGAAATCCTTCCCAAGTTAACTTAACTCACATCAGTTCCAAAAATAACAGTTCAAGCAATATAAGATCAAGAACTTCTTCGCCCCCAATGTCAAGATCCAATTCTATGACTACGACTACAAAACCAAGGTTCAGAATGTTAGATAATGGTTTACATGAACATAATTTAAGATCAGCTAAACGTCAAGAGAAGTTATCAAACATGTTAAAAGATCTTTTAGGAGCTAAAAAATTAAGAGATGAGGCTAAGTCAGCCGTGCCTAATATTTTAGGTGAGAATATTTCTCCTTCACAATCTCAAATTAATTTACCTTTACCAGAATCGGATAAGGATTCAAGTAAAGCCAAACAACCTCCAACTTTATTTGCCGGATTAGTAAACCATGTAAAAAATTATAGTCCTGAAACTTCCAGTATTGATCAATCATTTGTTGAAAAATATGGTAGATGTCAAGAAGTCATTGGTAAAGGATCATATGGTACCGTTAGAATCAGTCATAAGAAATTGGGTACCAGCGATGATGATGAAATACTATATGCCGTCAAAGAATTCAAAAGAAATGCTAATGAAAGTGAGAAGAAATACAATAGAAGACTTACCTCCGAATTTTGTATTTCATCATCTTTAAAGAATATCAATATCATTGATACATTAGATTTGTTAAAAGATGCAAAAGGCGATTATGTTGAAGTAATGGAATTTTGCCCTGGTGGTGATCTTTATACTTTGATTATAGCGAGTGGTAAATTGGAATATGCTGAAGCTGATTGTTTTTTCAAACAATTAATCAAAGGGGTTAATTACATGCATGACATGGGCGTTAGTCATAGAGATTTGAAACCTGAAAACTTGTTATTAACCCAAAATGGAATTTTAAAAATCACTGATTTTGGTAATTCAGAATGTTTTAGAATGGCTTGGGAGCAAAATATTCAATTATCTCAAGGTATTTGTGGTTCTTCACCTTATATTGCACCTGAAGAATTTACTGATTCCGAATTCGATCCTCGAGGTGTCGATATTTGGAGTTGTGGTGTTATATACATGGCAATGAGAACTGGTAGACAATTATGGCAAATAGCTAAAGAGTCTGATGAATTTTTCAAAGAATATTTGATTAAAAGAAAAAATTCCACAGGTTACGAACCTATCGAGAACTTAAAGAGAGCTAGATGCAGAAATGTTATATATTCAATCTTAGACCCAAAACCTGGTAGAAGAATCACGGGTAAACAAATTTTAAGTAGTGAATGGGGTAGAGAAATCAAATTATGTTGTGCAGCTCAAGGTAAGTAATTTAGACATGAATAGACATGAATAATGATAAATAATACACGTTTTTTCCTTCGTTGGAAAATCACATCGTCAAAATCTAACGAAATTCCTAATAAAAAACTTCTCTGGGAAATGTGTGGACATGGTTAAAAACTTCAACAAAGAGGTATAGCGCGCGGATCAAAACTTACTGTTTACTTTACGCGATGGTTGAGTTATCAGATTATCAACGTCAAGAAAAGGTTGGTGAAGGTACTTATGGGGTGGTTTATAAAGCCCTTGATACCAAGCACAATAATCGAGTAGTTGCTTTGAAAAAAATCCGTTTAGAAAGTGAAGATGAAGGTGTACCATCAACAGCTATTCGTGAAATCTCACTTTTAAAAGAAATGAAGAATGATAATATTGTCCGATTATATGATATAATTCATAGTGACTCTCATAAATTATACCTTGTTTGTGAATTCTTAGATTTAGATTTGAAAAGATATATGGAATCGATTCCTCAAGGTGTTGGATTAGGAGCAGATATGGTCAAAAGATTTATGAATCAATTAATTAAAGGTATCAAACATTGTCATTCTCATAGAGTTTTACATCGAGATTTGAAACCACAAAATTTATTGATCGATAAAGAAGGTAACTTGAAGTTAGCTGATTTTGGTTTAGCAAGAGCTTTTGGTGTACCTTTAAGAGCTTATACTCATGAGGTTGTTACTTTATGGTATAGAGCACCTGAAATTTTGTTGGGTGGTAAACAATATAGTACAGGGGTAGATATGTGGAGTATCGGATGTATATTTGCAGAAATGTGTAATAGGAAACCTTTGTTCCCGGGTGATTCTGAAATTGATGAAATATTTAGAATTTTCAGAATTTTAGGTACCCCAACAACTGAAACTTGGCCTGAAGTTCAGTATTTACCTGATTTTAAATCAACTTTCCCTAAATGGGGTAGGAAAGATTTGAAAGATTTTGTTCAAACTTTGGATGATCATGGTATTGACTTATTAATTCAATTATTAGCCTATGATCCAAGTACTAGAATTAGTGCCAAACGTGCATTAGTTCATCCTTATTTCCAAGATGAAGATGAATTTTCTAAATCTGTCAATATGGATTAGTTAATTTCTGTTTATGATTTTTCAAGTTTTCTCTCTTTATAGCATTGTATTTGGTACAATTTTCATATTATAATTTAATTTTATCTCTCTATATATCTTTGAAAAGCTGTAGGAATTTGATAATAAGTATGACAAATATTATGAATGATTTGAATTCAGGATTCTTTTCTAGGTTGCTTGTGTTTTCGTAGGGATATATTATGGTGGTTAAAGCAGTGTTGGTATCTATTATTATGTTCTCGATTTGTTGGGGTTTTGTTTTTGCAGTCAATTGGTTTAATTTGACCTCGATTCTTTGATAATTGTCTGATATCCTACTATGTAGAAATTCTATATATTTCAAAGTATTGGAAAGATCGAAATCTTCTTGTTTATTCAGTTCCATTAATCCTGCTAATGTCATTGAAATCTTCAAAACTATGATGACTTGGCTTGATGCGTAAAAATCAATTACTTTACCTAAAATGGATTGTTGTTTACTTTTACTCCGCGCACGACTGGTCCTTCCAACAATAATTACTTGATCAAGACAATCATCAACAATAAGAGGTCCGTAAAAGTAAGAAATGATTGATATGCTATTAATAAATGGTGGACAAGAACTGAAATGCTATATGACTTCGAGGACGAATTCGAACAAACTGACTGACAAACTGAGGAAGATGATAAGAATGAACATGAAAGTTATTCTACTGGTATTCTTTTCATTGATGGAATCGTTCACAATATCCAGGAACTCCAAGAACACTTTGCATCTATCGTTGATCACTTGAACTCTTTGATCGATATCCAAATAATCTCTAACAGCAGAATATAAAGGATGTAAAGCCGGTTCAAAATCCCAAAAGAAGTTAGGAGTATCTAGAATTGATCCTGATAGATTAACATCTGATCTTAACTTGAATAATTTTCCAGATTTCTTCAATAATTGGTCTCTTCTTAAACCTAATTCACCTGTCAAAGCTAATTTTTTGGGTAATCTTGAAATACTTGTCAAAATGTTAATCATTCTACTCTCAAATAATCCTAGCTTTGTCAGTTGTGCAATGGCATGACTCATGGTTAATTTGATTAAATGATCTGCTGACCTTAAGGTGATCATATCATTATAAATTCTTGGTCTATGTATGGTTTCGTCATAGTCGAAATGGAACTCCTCAGTCTCAATGTCTTGTTCGTCAATGGGATTTATCATGATGGGAACATCCTCTTCATAAAAAACAAACGAAAGATCTGCCAAGATGTTCTTTTCGTGGGTTTCACTGAAATTCCAGAATACAACGATACCATAATCAAATATAAACATTTCACCATGATGCTTTGATAATTCATAGTCTTCTTTGTCTGTAGTAGAATCCTCTGTTGCTGTTGGAGATGAAGTTTGTTCTTGAGTTGTCTGTTCTTCGTCTTGTTCGGGAGCAAAGTACTGGGGTTCTGAGGGATCGAACGCACCACTGTCATTTTCAGTTTCTGGATCCATGGAGTAATTATTTGCATCTTCTGGAGTCTCTACCCCAGAGTAATATTCATAAAGATAATCCGACTGCTCAGATTTATTGATAATCTTTTCCATGAATTTCTTGTTAATCTGAGATTTCTGTGAGTTGTTAGATTTGATTCTGTATCCGTCAGTCCCAGGTAATAATGGTAAAGAATATGGAACATAAAGGGTTTCATCATACATTCTAGGTTTAACTTGATGTTTTTTAATCAAAAAAGTCTTCAATAATTCCAAATTAAACTCCTCACATATGAAATAAGCTGTCATACGACTAAACTCTTGAGCTCTACGTTCTTTTGGCATAGTCTCAGCCCTTGATCTCTGTATTGATGGATATTCAGGAGGTGACAAGTATGTAACTTCGTTGGACTCGTCTGGAATTAAGACCAATTTTTGGGACTTCTTCGACGTTCTGGTAGGTAAAGGATTGGACAATTTTGGAATAGATCTCATCCTTTTATCCACTTCCATGGGAGGCGGTGAGGTATGACGAGGACTTAACGTTGGTGAGTGCGGACTGTTCATACCACTAAAAGGTGGACTAAAAGATGGAGGTATTCTTCGTTGTCCACTCGGTATATCACTTGATCCACTTAATAATTTATCAACACTTATATCTGCGTACCTATTAGGTTTCCGTAACAATTTTTTTCTTAAGTTAACAGTATCAGATTGATTTTGTTGCTTGTTAAAATTACTACCAGCAAATGGCGCTCTAGCACCTTTAATTACATGAGTTCTTGAGTCAGTAACAAGAATTGATGGTGACCTTTTGGCTGTTGGTCTATGAGGAGAATTGGACCTTGAGGACATTATCAACCGGTGATAAAATTTCAATCAGTCGTCTGATGACTTCAAAGATGCGATAGTAAAATTAACAATCTACTGAGTAATCTTTTAGTGCGAATCCGTTTGAAAAATTTTTAAGGATGTCAACCTTAACAATTGCTTGTAAAGCTGCTGCTTTACCATATTCTACTATTCTTGCTTCACAATTGGTAAATGAATCATCTTCAGAAGAATCTATTAATTTAGAATTCATCGATGAAAAAGATGTCGAAGGTGAATCAATCAAATTATCAAATGACGGAAAGATTTTATTAGGTCAATTATCAATCCTTAATGGTTTAAGTGATAAATTCCCATTAGTCTTCGGATCTTCTGAAGATCAAAAATGGATTGAACAATCATTAACTAAATTGACTGTCAAAAACTTCAAAGAATTATCTGTTGACTTAGAAAAATTGGATCATGATTTAAATTTCAAATCCTTCATCAATGGATACAAATTATCCTTGAGTGATGTCGTTGTTTGGGGTGTCCTCAGAGCTAACGCTTTAATGGGATCTATCATCAAAAACGAGGTTTATCCTAACATTTCTAGATGGTACAATTTCATCGGTACTACCAATAGTTTCGAATCAACCATCGATAAAGTTACCAAATCAATCGTTGAATTAAGAAAATCTGCTACTAAAGCTAAAGGAGGTAAAAAAGAAGGTCACAAGGCTAACTTCGAAATTGATTTACCTGATGCAGAAGTCGGTAAAGTCGTTACTAGATTCCCTCCTGAACCTTCTGGTTATTTACATATTGGACATGCCAAAGCTGCTATCTTGAATGAATATTTTGCTCATGCTTACAAGGGTAAATTAATTATCAGATTTGATGATACTAATCCTACCAAAGAAAAAGTTGAATTCCAAGATTCTATTTTAGAAGATTTAGAATTATTAGGAATCAAAGGTGATCAAGTTACCTATTCATCTGATTATTTCGATCAAATGTATGACTTAGCTATCAAATTAATCAAACAAGGGGATGCCTATTGTGACGACACCCCATTGGAAAAGATGAGAGAAGAGAGAATGGTAGGTGATGCTAGTGCCAGAAGAGATAGAACCGTTGAAGAAAATTTAAAAATTTTCACTGAAGAAATGAAAAATGGTACAGAAGAAGGTCTCAAGAATTGTCTTAGAGCCAAAATCGATTACAAAGCTTTAAATAAAGCTTTGAGAGATCCAGTCATTTATAGATGTAACTTGACTCCTCATCATAGAACTGGTTCTGCTTGGAAGATGTACCCAACTTACGATTTCTGTGTCCCAGTTGTTGATGCTTTAGAAGGTGTTACTCATTCTTTGAGAACTATCGAATATAGAGATAGAAACCCTCAATATGATTGGTTTTTAAGCACTTTGAAATTAAGAAAAGTTCATATCTGGGATTTCGGTAGAGTCAATTTTGTCAGAACTTTGTTGTCCAAGAGAAAGTTACAATGGTTCGTTGATAAACAGTACGTTGGAAATTGGGATGATCCAAGATTCCCAACTATTAGAGGTGTAAGAAGAAGAGGTATGACTGTCGAAGGTTTAAGAAACTTCGTCATGGCTCAAGGTCCTTCCAAAAATATCATTAATTTAGATTGGTCAGTTATTTGGGCTTTGAATAAGAAAATCATTGACCCAGTTTGTCCAAGATTTACTGCTATTGATGAAAAGAACTCCGTTTTAGTTAAATTGTCTGATGGTCCATCAACTGTTGAAACTCAGAAGAAACCAAAACATAAAAAGAACGCTGAAGTTGGTGAAAAATCAGTGCTCTTCTATAAAGAAGTTTTGATCGAACAAGAAGATGCCAAAACTTTAGCTGAAAACGAGGAAGTCACTTTTATGGACTGGGGTAATGTTATTATCAAATCCATCACCAAAGAAAATGATGTTGTAAAATCTATTGAAGCAGATTTGCACTTGGAAGGTGATTTCCGTAAAACTTCTAAAAAATTAACTTGGTTAGCCAACACTGATGATAAAGTTGAGGTCGATTTAGTTGATTTCGATCATTTAATCACCAAAGATAAATTAGAAGAAGGTGATAACTTCGAAGATTTCCTTACTCCTGAAACTGAATTCCATTCATCTGCTTTCGCTGATTTAAACGTCAAAGATTTAAAGAAGGATGAAATCATTCAATTCGAAAGAAAGGGTTACTACAAGGTTGATGTCCCTTACTCAAAAGGTACTAAGCCAGTATTGTTTACTATCCCTGATGGTAAAACTGCTCCTAAAAAATAGGAATTGTGAATATACAAACATAATATCGAAACTCGAGCCTCTAGCATCCGGTAGACATCATATTCCCAGTGCTGTTGCGAATGGATTAAAAAAAGTAAAAAATATTCCGATACCGGGAGTCGAACCCGGGTTTGCTGCGTGAAAGGCAACCGTGCTAGCCGTTACACTATATCGGACTTCTTGAATATAAAACGTACACAAATAATTATGAAGGGTAATTCTAGCAAAAAAAAGTTTTCCTAATTTTTCACCACATTCCTTCAATATTTCAATTTAAAGTTATATAAATTCATTAGAAAGAGCTGTTAAGTGTATGAGGGCATATTAACATGTATTTATATCTATCTTTCAAACAGCTAATGAGTGACAGTTTCCAATGAATAAGCATACTTGGAGTAAGCTCTAATTCTTGCTCCATAATAATAGAACAAATAAGGAATAGCACAACAGGCAAGTGCAATAAATGCCATTAATGAGGTAGCCCATTGGTATCCCAATTTATGGTACATTTGAATAGTGAACAATGGTACACATGCACCCCAGATTGATCTTACAAAAGTTTTCGCAGCCAAACATGATGAAGCGTAGTGAAGATATGAATCGACGATGTAGTTGTTAGCAGGATTGTAAAGCATTGTAAAACCCATACCACAAAGGAATCCAGAGAAGGTAGGACCAGCCCAGGAAACTGTTGGGTAAGAGGTCCAAGCCACAGCAAACAAACCTATAGGAATCAACCAGCATCCAATCATCATAGGAATCAATCTCAATTCAGGTGGTGGTAACTCCCCATTATCTCTATATTTTTGTGCTCTTTTATTGTAGTCCCTATTGAAGTAAATAGAAATTATACTCGTTACTATGACTCCAACTCCAATTGGAATAAACATCACACCTGTCATAGAAGCAGACCAATGTTTTCCCTCCATGTAGATGATTGGATATGCAAAAAAGAACATATACAACAAACCATAAACAACCGACATATAAAGCGTTATTAAGGCAACAATGACCTCTGTCACTAAAATGAAAGGTCTCACCATGGCTTGTTTCATCACTGCAGCCATTGAATCGTGCTTCAATTTAGCCAATGTGACATATCTCTTGTCACCTGTAAGTTTGATTAATTTTTTGGCTCTTTTATTCAAAATGGTAGCTCCATGAGTTTCTGGTACTACTGCCATAAACAAAACGTACATGAAAGCTGCTATTATCAAAAAAGACCAATAAATCCAACGCCAAGTTGGGGCATTATCAGCCAATAATCCTCCAAAAATTGGTCCCATAACAGGACCTAAAAAGGGAGCAGCACTGAAAACACTCATAGCCAAACCCCTTTTTTCACTTTCCCAGATGTCTGCCAAACTCCCCCCAATTAAACACATCGGAGCAGAAAATGCAATACCATCAATTAACCTACAAATTAAAAGTGTACCAATGTTTTTCGCCAAACCACAAGGGATGATAAATATAAGTGAAACAAATAAAGTGACAGCATATATAGGCTTCCTACCAAATTCTTCACTTAAAGGTGCAAATACCAATGGACCAACACCAAATCCAATAACGAACATAGTTACAGATGCTAAGATAATTACTTCCTCTGAAACGCCGAAGTAAGCAGCAGGTGTGTCCAAATCACCTGTTACTATGGCTGAACCCAAAGCCACGACGAAACACACAAATCCCAAAACGAATGTGAAAACCCATTTTCTTGCATCTGAAAAATTTTTGGGATCAGATTTATCACCTTTAACAAAAACAACCAATCTTAAATTTTTTTCCTTGTCAACTGGGTATTTCCATTCATCTTGTTCATTGAAATCTGAGCTATTGGAATCGACTTCCGTTTTTTCATCAAATCCTTTATCAAGTATATCTTCATTCTGAGGAGTTTGAACCAATTCATTCAAATCTTCTTCTGGAAAACCGTGAACTGATTCTTTATCAAAATTTGTAGACATTTGTAATAAGTGGTATCTTAGAAAGGATTTGTAATACTTTATATACCTGATCTTTGAGTTTAATCGGTTTTATGTTATTTCCGATTTGCGGGTAACCCTAGATAAGCTTAACAGCCGTTGTTTACTTCAAAAGTCAAATTGAGGCCGACAGTAGAACGATATCGTGGAATGATTCAACTCACCAGTAACATTTCTGGCGATGTTACACCCTTCAGACACTTGAAGTCTTAATTGCTGAAAATTCAACCTCAGATTGATTCCTATCAAGACTAAATCGGCAAGGCTGAGGAGTTACCCTACCTGTCAAATTTGAGTATCGTGGTTACCCGATTTTCACCTTTGCCGCCCTGGTATTGTCAAACATTTCCAAATCATTCCCCCTGTTCCGCTATGGGTCATTTTGAAATTCAAGAATAATATCACTCATAGCACGGAAAAATAGGTACGATCCAACTTTTCTAATCATAAATCAAATGCGCTGGGAAAAATTTACGCTTTTATCGAATAAGGTTTCAAACTGTGTCACAAATTCGCTTTACCATTCCCGCTCCAGGACGTCTTACAATAAGGCTTGGGATCGGAATCAAAAAAAAAAATTAGTGAAGGAAGCGAGGTTCGAACTCGCGCGGAGAACCCTCCAACAGATCTTAAGTCTGCCGCCTTAG